AGGTTCTAGTCCTCATGGCAATGTTAGACACGCATACAGGGGTGCCACCTCCTGGTTCCGCCACACAGTGTAATGCATGTGCTCGATGCACGTACCAGATCCCCGTGTCACACATACAATGCAAAGGGGGAGGGTGCAACATGCAAAGAAGAACTTGCAAACCCAAATGTTTAAGACAACATCTGGATAGAAATCAGCCTCAGTTTTCTAACAGAAATGGAATTTTTATACAGATATCCCTCCTTATAATACCTTGTAAGTGTATTTTAGAAAATTACATTAATAAAATGCAAGATTAAGTGGTTATTTGAAGTAGAACATACAGATTATTTTATTGAATGTGTGTACATACTTAGATCTTATGTGAAGTTATAAATTAGATGAGTAGACTGCTCATAACCATATATGATGAGCAATTTTTAAAAAAAATCCCTATTATATAATTAATAAACACAGGATTGAACATATGAACTAATGAGTGCTTATCACATAGTTATAAAATAGGCCATTTAACAGCTGTCTGTATAAACTTAAAAGTACTTATTAATAACTATCCCTTATAAAAAGAAGAAATAAACCTTTCAATATTATTTAATAACCTACTTCTTAAAATTTTGATATGCAAGAATATAGTATTTTCCCCAGAATTACTCTATTTAATATCCACAGTTTAGATATTAATCACCTTTCACCACATGCATCTTTCGTAGAGTCAAATAGAAATACCAAGGGATATCAACTGATGTCAATAATCTGCTGTTGCACACAAATCATGACTACTGATTAGTAAAGCAATTATCATATTAAAAGAGTTCAACAGGGCTCAACATACTGTAAAATTAGAAATCGGTCAATACTGCTGCCATTATATAGAACATCATTGATTGGACGTACCAAACGCTGGCCTTGATGACAATTGATCACGATGAACTCTGCTCACAGAGGAGTCTGGTACACTAATTGAGGAGCCATCGTTAAACAGAATAATAAATAGAGGAAGAGGGGAGAGGAGAAATGGCTACAAAGCTGGGGTCCTTCCTTGTGTGTACAACAAAAACCATAAAAAGACAAAGAGCCAGGAAGGCCTCTGTCTCTACTGTATTTCCACTAACTTCTAAGCCTACATTTCCAAAACCAAATGAACCTGTGAACCCCTCGCAGGTCATCTCCACAATCTGCACCACAGCTGGGAAACAAGCTCAAAAGAGCCTGAACAACACTTCAGCACAAGCGTTTCCAAAACCAAATCCCACAGAGAGGATAGAAAGCCCAGAGGTCTCACCCATAGCATATCTGTGACCTAAATCCATTGGCCTACTTGAAATGAGGCCTCAGACTGCACGTGTAACCAAAATATGTTCCTTGAAGCTACAACCAAACACCAGGGGAGGAGCCACCCAGGCTGCTTTCCTTGTTTGGTTCATGGCAAGCTGCACATGAAAGAGTTTCAGTGAAATGCAGGCTTGTTAAATTTGGCACTAACAGTTCGCTGTTCTCACTACAGCTCAAGGAAATGCATGCTGGTAGGAAACAAGTTCGGAACATCTCCCTTATTATCCTGAAAACTTGTTTTCTTCTGAAAGCATCATCAGTCTCAGATCAGGAGCAAACTGCATCAAGGTACAGAAGAAACTCATCACGGCAAATCCAAATGTCCTACTGCCTTCAGGTTTGTTACCTCCACTGAGTTTTAAAATACAAATAAAAGCCCAGGGGTTAGACTCATACCTGATTTTGAATGAACTGAAGGACAGAAGTAGTTCTGACTTTGGTTTGTCACAGGGTAGAGATGACCTGGGGAAACCCCACACAACACAGGCTGCCGAAACTTCGAACAAGCACAAGCTTTGCTGGTATTAAACCACGACCAGTAATCAAAGATCCCGTGCTGGGGGTACACAGCATTATTTCTATGTTTTTATGGTTTCCTGGAAATGTAGGAGAAATAACAGGCTCATTTATCGGCATTTAGGGCAAGCAGGTTGTGCAAGGCGGAGTTTGCTACTAGTTGAGTGGACGCCACCAGATGGCCCCCGTTGCCCGTTTCTTCTAATGCTCGTGGTGCAGCCACGGGAACGTACCTTGAGCCGGGAAAAAGAGCTTCCCAGTAACGCAGAGCTGGTCAGCAGAAGTCGAAGAGAGATGGGCATTTCAGACGTTCCCAAAGGTAAGACACAGCTTTAGAAAAACGCATTTGGATCCAAGGGAATTAAGGACCTGAACTACATCAATTGTTAACATGCAAGTACGTTACAGTGAAAGATTATCACACGTTTTAGCCAACTTCTGTTCAGTTGTCACAGTACAAGAGGTCATCAAGTTGCTTAACACTACATCTTCTAATAATCCACAACATTTCTATTGTTATAAGTAACTCATGTTTCTCATGTCCACACTGTGCTCCTAATAGATAGAAGGCACTTGACCATCTCTTTATATACATACTCTGTGTGTGTATAGACAGAAAAAAATATTTATTTGTAAATATATATAAAAAGAAACCTCAAAACTCCTGGTCCCATCTTGTATTTGAGTCAAATACGCTCCCGGAGGCCCAGGAAATTTAGAGAACCTTCCTGAAAAACAGGCTCAAATACATTAAGGCAATGGTGGTCATTTACACAGAAATTCACCTTACACTGCTTAACACTGAATAATTACAATCTGTTTCAGGTTACTTTACCCTTGCAGCAGAGCAGCACAATATACTTTAAAGATGAATAGGGGTAACATCCAAATAATCTCTTCTTAATCCACAGATGAAAAGCCAGAAATGAAACAGATGTTGAAGCTATTTCAGTCTGCAGATTTAGTTTAAAGGGGTCAAAACATAACTCACCTTTACAAGTTCTACTCCCAACTGAGGAAAAATTAGGTAATAGCAATGCAAACATTCAAAAACATGTTTTCAGAGGACTCCTTCTCAAGCTGTGATTTTGGAAGCCTGCCTAAGGAAGAAGAGGCATGTTACACGCAGTGACCCAGCCTTTATGGGATTTTGTAGGGTGCCCTTACTTGTTCAAGGCTTCAGGACTCTAAATATAGGGAACACAGCTCCAGCCTGAAACAGGATAGCACCCAAGTGACTTGAGGTCCGGAGCCACCCCAGAACCCACACTGTGTACAAAGATTCTGCACTGTGCCTTGACCATGCTGCAGTTTTATTAAGGACATAAAGGAGAAGTTTTTTGAATATATCTGGTTTTCCATCCGCACAGCTGATCAAACAGTGATGTCTCTGAAAGTTAGAAACAGCAGCTATGTTCAACTCTCTGTCTCTGACTCACTCACATAGCAAGAGGGTATGATTTTACTGTTACCATGCCCTCCTGCTGGAGGTGTAAGACACACTTATCTGTGGTGTCCTTTTGGATAGTAATCAATTCCTCTATAACCTTATCACTCTAAGGGCAGTATATAATTTCAGGTAAAAGTAATTGCCAAGGTCACTGCTGATATATTCTGTATTTCATTTGCATTTCAAAAGAATGGAGGAGGTGGAAGGTAGGTAAAGAAAGCATCACTAAAAACCACAAACATTTCTTTAAAGCAGGACAAGACAAAATAGTCTGTGTTTCAAGTTAGGCTGGTATTTTTTAGCAGCTAACAAAGCACACTTCACTCATCATTAAGAAGTTCTTGTGTTCATCACTTGCTTTACATTTCCCTATTCTATATGTATGTACCTACTTCAGAGTTTTCAGCTTCTTTTGTCAAGACAGCCAAAAAATGGCAGAGGAAATACTGACAATCCCACCATCCTCCCACAGATGACATGTAATACTCATACCTTCAGGGGTCTGAGCTATACTTTTACAAGACTTGGAGTCATAGATATGAGGATCACAGGTTCAAAGGCTCCTCTTCTCTTTTTTAGCTGGGGAAGTGTAGTAGGCTGAGGAAAAAGGCACATCATCTCCTAATTTCTTACAGAAGCAGAGCCCAGATTAGAATATCTCTCTTCCAACAGTCTTATCTCCCCATATTTTCCTGTCTCTGCCCCCTTTTTTTTTTGCTTACTCAGTTTCCCCTTTTACCTCTGAGCAGGAAGAAAGCACATAGTAGTGTGGGAAGGATGCTCCCCACACTTGTCTTACTGCAGCCTCTGTTAGTGACTCTCAGACAGCAGTCACACAGAAAGAAAATCTCTCAATTTTAAACTCTGGCACATTGAAGAGATTTAACAGTTTTCAGGATTGTCTACCACATTTCTTCACATTTTTATACCTAGAAAATAAATCAGCAGCTTCAGCAGCCATGGAAGCACAGCTTACTACACTCAGGAGCCAACAGCCCTCTTTCACAGCAGGAGAGCCTGAGGCAGTTCTCCTCTGTAGACATACTGCTAGCACTCTCCCTACTTGAGTGGCTAAAAGCTTTGTAGAAGAGCAGTTTCTTCTACTGCTTACCTATGGCACCAAAATTTGGACTGACTGATCCACCAAAAGGATTCACATACCTGTAACAGAGCCCAGCCTGGCCCCAGAAGAGGAGAGCTCAGTTCCATGCCACTTCTGTGCCATGCAGCCTCAGGGCAGTTATCACCTCTGTTAGCCCCTCCTCTGAATATTAGTTTTCTAGACTCTCCAGGGCTGGGCAAAGCTGTATCTGTGCATCTGTGCCTCTGCAGGGTGTGTTTGTGATCACCACAACAGATCCTTCATCTCTTCATCAATGGGCTCTCATGTAAACCTTATTAACTGTCCTTACCAACATCTCTGTCACAGAGCACCTATTTGCGTGTGTTTCATTAGGGCTATTCAGATCATTTAAGAAGCCAGATCCTTCCATATGGGAGCTACTTACCAGGAGAGCAAATATTTTATACCAGTAAATACTGTAAGTGATGGAAATATTTCCATCTCATACTTCTTTTGTGCAGTTGTTCTATTTATTTCTGGAGGGTGGGCTTGTCAGAGAGCAAATCCTTAGCCTTCATATCGAGTGGTAACATAAGCAGGTGGTTCTCCAGAAATAATGATAACAGAGAACAATGGATGTCACATCAAATGTTTTCTTTAATTTGGGTAATACATACAAAGAGACACAGAAAGGGACACAACAAAACTAGAAGATAAAATGTAATTTAAAACCACAATATATTTTCTTTGACACTGTCCGTGGCTGTGACTGATTTACCTCAGCATCACACACCCAGGCATCAGGGGCATGCTGCCCTGGACACTGTTGTGCTCTTTGTCAGAATAGAAAACTTTCTACATTGCTGTCCCTGGTCTTGTGACATGGAGAGGAAAGTCAGCACGTGTTTTTTTTCCCCCTCTGACATCCAACACTTCCTCTCCAACATACAATTTGGAAAACATGTTTTGGTGAACTGCCTAACGTCTCCTGATGTGAGGAGCTCTCCACAGCAACATGGTTACTGTGGCTGACAGGAACACTGCTAGTCCAAGTCACTGAGACAGCAGGCTAGGACTACAGAGTTGTTTTGTTAGAAGCTAACAGGTAACCATTTAAGTCCTCAAGGTATTGCAAATGTTTTAAAATGGTGTTTTAATAAGCCTAAGTAATTTTATTGCCAATTTTTCTCACTCAACATCGGAGAGAATTTTACTAGTAGATTGTATATTTTCCTATTTATAAAATTAGAGTCTTTTGCATTAAATAAGGATATCTCTTTATGGTTTCCCTGCTGTGTCATATGCAAAATATCTTACAGAGACAGAAGGAAAACATGTTTGGTTTCCTATAAAAACCAGTCTATTTTCTGGTAGAGATAAGTCATGGAAAAATGAGATAAAATAAATACCGTTTAACAAACATTTCCATTTCCCACAGATCCATTTTCTATTACTATCTGGCAATATTTTTTCTGTTGCTCTTCCTTGAAAGACTCTTTCACCTTTTTCCTTTTTAGTCCCCCATCCCTGAAAGATACAGAAAAGAAACAGCCTTGAGCTCACTTCAGGGTCAAGGCAGAAAAACATTGCAATATTTAGACCGCGTAGTTTCCACTCTTTAATGTTGGATTTTGTACAACAATGTTAAATGATCTGTACTGCCAAGTCTTACCACACAACTATGCCCTTTCTTAACCCAGCATTTAACAGTCAAATAATTCATTTTCACCTAACACTGCCTGCTGGCTAGATCTACCTGTCAGCTCTATTTCTCTATATATACTATATTATTCTATTTATTCTAATGGAATTGTTCAAGGAATATTTTCTGGATTTAGAGTCAGTAAGGGTGATGGACTACAGTGCAAGCAAAGCAAATCTGGAAGAAGTTTTAAAGGATTCCAGGCTAATGTTTCAGAATACAGAACACCTTAAAATGCTTTAAACCCAATCTCAGAGGTGTTGCTTCTTACCAAGGAAGTACAGACATTCCTCCCCGAGCAGCAATGGCAGCCTTGACTCTGTTGGCAAAGTGAACAGCATCTTCTTCTTCCTGAAAAATATAGTAATTATTTGCTTTACAACATAAACATTTTTTCTGTGCCTCACTTAAAGACATTTTGTCAGACAGCAGGCACTTCCAGACCCACAAGCCAGATGTGACTTGCAGGGCAGTTCCAGCTGATCCTGGGGAACGCTGCCCAGTTTGCCACCAGTCAGTGCCAAAAAGAACTAAGTGGAGGCGCTCTGGTTTCTGGGGCAATCTCAAACAACACACAGTATGAGGTCACAGGTCTGGCCAGAGCAGGGGATGTGTCTGCTCCCAGTACTTCAGCATCAGTCTGAAGCTGGGAACACACTGACAGGATCACCCTTGCAGGAGACAAGGTTCTTGAACAGGGTTGGGCCTGGTGCATTCAAATTTTTGTGAGCTCACAGGACTCTGCCCAAACTTCAGAGGACTGAAGATACATGCATTACAGCAGCTTCCCTGCCAAAATTAGGGCTGAGCAAAGACCATGGTAGACAATACCAAACTAGGGCTTTGCTAGAGAAAAAGCCTTGAGCACTTTGTCAGTGTCAGGGTGGTATATAGGGCAGTGGGCTGGGAGGCTCTGCCAAGTTGTGGGGTAAAGCTGCTGGGAAAAGGATTAGCTGGATATGCTGCAGGGCTGAGAAACAAGGTGGTGGGAGAAAGCTGTTACAGAGAACAGGGTGTTGGGAAGATGCTGGTAGTGGGGGGGGACACAGAAGGCAGAAGCGACCCTGTACGGAGTGAAGAGAAGGCCTGAATCCATGTATCCCTTCTAGAGTAAAAACAGGAGGTCTGTGCCAGACTGAGGGGCAGGACTCCTGCAGCATAAACCTATGTCTCTTCTAGTCTCAAGGATCAGAAGAAAGCAATTGCACCGGAACCCAAGTAAAGGTTTTAGCAGCAATAGGGAGCACGGTGGAGGAATGTCTGAATATTTTCAAGGTTAGTTTTTATTTGAAGATAACTAACCCACATGAATCCATGCTCAATTTTAAGACTGTAGTGTTGCTTTCTGGTCTTAGTCCATTAAGTTATCAATAAAAATTCACAAACACTATGCATAGTAACACAGACAACATTTTAAAAGCATTTGCAAAACTTAGAAAAGCATAAGTACTTCTTGGACCATCGGTGGCAGGTACCATACGTTACAGACAACAGCCCAGCTGGTCAACAGATTGAAAGTATAGGTCATCATAGAATGCTTTGTGCTGTTCCAGAAGGCATCTCCAAATCGGGGGTCATACTGGAAGACAAGAAGAATAAGCACAAGGGCATGATCTGCTACCTTAGTTTAAATCACATAAGCTGCTTTTTTTCGGCCACAAAGTCACAGTTCAACTTATTAAAAAGGGGTAAATCTACTCATACCTCCTAAAAGCATCAGTTAATTCAAAGTAAAGCTCCAACAGTCATTATAAGTTTCTAACATTTTTCATTTACAAGCCATGCAGGACCTCAAACTGTAACAGACCCACTGAAACACAACTGTAACAAGAGATTTACTCGAAATGTAAAGACTTGTCATCTACAGATATGCTGACTATGAAGGTTTAATGAAAAATGTTCACACCACTTTTAATGATTTCCTTAACATTAGGCAATGTTAGAGTTCCAGAAAAAGTAACTAACATATCTAGATCTAGGGCAACTTGGCTAAAGCTACTCAGAAAGACTTGGAAGTGCTAAGCAAAGTGCCTTTATCCTCAGAGCTCACAAGAGCCAGGAGCCCTAGGACAGAATGAGCAAGCAGAACTGAACACACAACACGGCAAGGGCCACTGTACTTTTCAGGTCGCTCCTAACCAGTTGCAAAGATCCTCAATGAAACATTTCCCATACTGCACTGAACGTTGCAAACCATCAAGTTTTCGTTTTCTCAGGGTTTATTCAGTACCTCATCACACCAAACAAGCCCCTTTATAAGGTTTACACATGAACATCTTCTCTGACATGAGAAGCTTTTGCAAACAATCCTCCCACATTTGGAAAACTGCAGTTACATTACCTTGATTGCTACTGGATGGATGGTCCCTCCTACCTCAAAGCTTCCCTTCTTAAACATCATTACTGATGTGTTGTTAATGCAGGTACCTGGCCAGAATTAAAACAGATGAAGAGCTTAATCCATTCTGAGAAAAGTATCAGCAAATGAATCATAAACTGTTTTAAGGAGACTTAAGTTGCCAAAGGAGAAAGTAAGCTTTAGTTCTGGAACAAAATCCCAGAGCCTGTACTCTCTTCCATTATGTTATATGCTAAAGCAAATAGACTGTCATAAAACTGTTGTAAGATACTAGAACTTGACTTTTAATATCACACAAGAGCTAATTAATTCTACAAACTAAAAACAAACACCTCACTTGTAAAGACTGGATATAATAAACTGCACTCAGTGGCAAGAAGTGAGAAGAGCAATAAAATCAATGTAGTTGTTTCCTACCTTCTGGGAAAATTAAAATGGGTAATTTGGCCTTATCTGCAATGTGTTCTCTAATTCTGTGGAGAGAAAATAAAATTTCACTGTATATTTCATATTTGTATTTGTCCAAGCATCTAAACATCCATTACCTCTTACATAGGACAAGAAAAGCCCTTGCCCTGTTGTCTTTTGCCAGGCAGTAGCCTCAGCTGGGACATGTGATAGTGAGACACAGGCCTGAAACTCTCTCTTGCTAATTACAGAAGTACATTTTTTACAAAACTGTATGAAGTTTCATTTTACCATTTTAACCTAGTTAACATGAAGCCAGAAAATGGTGGTAATTGAAGTCCCTGAAAATAACTTCCCAGGTTGCAGCTATGAACACAGTCGAACTTGCCTGACTGAAGTATATTCCATATTTCTAGTTTTCATGCCTTCTAGGTACATAGCATCAGTTTTACATGTATCTAATGATTCTCTACATCTAGTCAAGTGACAGGCTGCTATCTTACTACATTAGCTGCATCACTTAAAAACAAATGTATCACCGCTAAGCAGATGACTGACACCAAAATCTGTTGTTTTCCAAGACACTCATCTTTCCTATGACTCAAGAGCATGCAGCTCCTCTCCAGTCTCCATTAAAGAACAAAAGCAAAATATCAGATATCATAAAATAAAAAAAAATTAAAAAAGGAGAATGATCTAGCATAGGGAACCCTTTCCAATTTTCTAAGGACAAACTGTCATAGATACTTTATGTAGCTGCGTTGCACCCTTTTTCAAGAAGATTTAGGACGACAGAACAGTCTCTGTAAACACCTGATTCTATAAGAACTGTCATACTGAGTCAATCCTGTTTATGTCCTTAAAGTCCAACATGTTATCTCTGCCAGGAATCAGTATTGCATGTCTTGAGAGCATCATAGGCATTAGGCAAAAATTTTATGATACTACTCCAGGTGCTCTTCCAGCTTCTAGCAGCTAGGTGGTACCTTGGTTTTGGGGGTTTTTCTTTGCTGCAATCACTCTCCCTTTATACTGTGATAACAGCAGATACAACCAGCTTTGATGCTCAGAGCTGCTGAGTAAATGTACCAGGACAAGCCATGATCTGGGAAGCAGAAGTGCAGATAGAACTCTGGTTTCAGTCCTGACATCCCAAATCACAGCCTCAAAACTGAATGAATAGGGTCCTGCCTGTGGCAGACAGGGCAGCTGTAGCAATGTGGAAATTCCCAGAGGTTACATGGCAAATGATCAAACATGGAGTAGAATTATTAGAATAGTTTTGGCTGGAAGGGACCTTAAAGATGATTGCTACACCCTGCACCTTCTCTGACAGAGCAGTTCCAAACCTTACACCAATGACAACCTACAGCTGCCCACCAAGGAGAAATGCAGGGTAAGAGCAGCCTCAGCTTACGCTTGAACCTCACAATTACTAGACTTGACCAGACAATTAAGCAAACAGCTCACACTACCTTACTTTTTCCTCACCAGATGACGGTCTTTCATTTCCGAACGTTCAAATACGACATGCTGACCGGTCCGCATGCAAGATTTTTGAATGAGTCCTATAAGCCCTCCGTGTGCCTGGCCAACCTGCAAGACCAAAAGAAACTTGTTACTACGCAAATGCACACACGCATCTGTTTCTAAGCTTAATCACAAATTGTACCAATTCTCTTGGTCATAAATGCACACACACTTGCCTGCATGTGCTTTCTTGCAGTCCAAAATGCGAGTTTGAATGCTATCAAATCCCCCTCTTTCGACCAGTTAGTTTATCCTCTTCCCCAACACCACATCTGCAGGCATCTCAACGTTACTGATATTTACCAACTCTCTTGTTCATACCAAGGAATAGCATCCATCGCTGACCAGGATTAGGACATCTAATGGAGATGTGTGGTTGGCTACACAGATGCCTCCTTGCTGTGGTCTGTTTTCTCTGCAATGACAACCATAAAGGTAATTATTAAACATTTATTCTCCAGACTACAGGCCCCATCAGATGACCCATCCAGCAGGCATACATACACAATCAAGACTGAGTGACAAAAGCATTTCAGGCCCATGGCTTATCTGCAAATCCGTAGGAAGTGAGAGAACACAAAACATTTTAAAATACTAGTATTACAACATATATGTTAAAATTTCTGGTAGTACATTACAGCAGATAAGTCATCTTTCCTCATACTTTTGAGAGTCCCTTCACATTTCAGCAGTTCTGGCATTTCACCAAAACCAGTTTCCTTTTAGCTGAAAATACGAGATTTCCCTGGATATGCATTTTAGCTGCATATATTACCATTCACAGAGGCATGTATCAAAGAATATTTGGACACCAAAATTCTAAAAGCAAAGGCGCTGCAGCATGATTTTGCTTTTCTTTCTAAAGCACAAACAACATATTTCAGAAGCCTCCATGACATAAAGCATACCATTAAGCAAGCAAGACACTACAAAGATTTACCAAAATACCTCCCATAACTTACTTCAGCAGAGAGCACGAAGAATTAGTTACTAAACAAATTGGCTACTGGGACAGATGAACATTTTATGGCAATATTTTTGCATGTGGTTAAAACAAGTTCACGGCAAACATTGAAAAATGTCTAAGTGTCTACTTAACCAGGAACGCAAGTACTACTTCACCTACACATACCCTGCCACTACACAACAGAAGACACAATAGGGCATGCAAACATCCTGACAGAGTCTAGATGATCCAAACAGCTTTTTGGATAAATTATGCCATCATAGTATCCATGCAGTAATGGAATAAGAATCCTTCTCTGAAACTTGAGACATTAAGTACTGTAAGAATGAATACCAACCCATTGAGAGCAGACTGGAACCACTCACCTGTTGTGAAAATGGACAAGACCACTCAGACATCGGACACCTAGTGTGGCACATATCATCTGAACCTGGTTGCTCAGCCAGCCTTTAACTCTAAAAGAAATGAAGCCATACATACATTTCCAGTTCTATATAGTCAGCCATGGAACACTCCAATGTAAACTCTCCAGATTATTCCAAATACCTGTTACTACAAAGCCCATACTAAGAGGATTCTCTGCAGTAACAATACCACACAGAAGGAGCTCATTGGTATGAGAGATATTCCACTCTCTTACTGTAATCTATTCTAAATCCACCAGACTCAAAGCAGAGAAGATAATAGGGTTTTGTTTTATAGATTTCTTCTCATTCACTAACATAAATTTAATATAGCAGTATCTAGCTGGTGAATCACATTCGAGTTTCTTGCAGTGAGAGGACACAACAATCTCAAAGTATTAATATGGAATTGCTCAGGACAGGTGATTTAATTGCCCTGTTCTGACTCAGGTAGAGCATATTCTATTTTATGCTCTAAGACATGCTTCCAGCAGTATCTATCTGGCTTATATTGCATGTCTGCTTTCAGATACCATTGCCATACTCTCTCTCATAGCACTCTGTAAGTTTACAGTAGAGAAAAAGTCATCCCATGATAGTCCGCATTAATCCTCTGGTTACAAGCAGAGTGTTCCAACTACTAGTTCAAATCCTTAAAGAAATGAAAAGAAATCAGTAGAGCCCTCAGCAAACACCTACCTGCCATTTGGAAACTGTCCTACTACCATACTGGCCAACACCAGCAACAGGATGCTGAAAACAGACAAGCAGACGCTACAAAGTAAAATAATCTTAATTAAATGCTAAGAAGCAAAACTGGAAGAGTAAGCAAGAAAACATTTTATTTGGCCCTTTGATCCATTTCACAATGCTTCCCTCCACCATAATAGCATCTAACTAGCAATAGAAACCACTAAAGGCCAACGGGACAATACAAGCACGTTTTCACGCAATTAATCCTGCACTGGTTACAAAACCTTGTGCTGCTTGGAGCCTAACTTCCAAAAAGCACCATGCTCTGATCTGAAAGTATCACATGGTGAAGAAGCCATGGTGTTCAAAGAGGACAGCAAGTAGTGGCTGGTGTTCTTTTATGCAGGTAAGATTTCTCAGGGCCAAAAGGGTCTCAGAATTTAATTTTTAAAAACTTATCCAGAAATTTCAGTATGTATTTCCACTCTAAAAGGATGAAAATTAAATTCTGTTGGTTACTAATGGCTGACTCAACCAGTATATTGAAGCCATTTCTACACAGATGTTGTCTTCTTAAGCTGTATATCTAAGTTTACAGGCAGGTATATGTGCTTGGCTATGTGACTGGTACAAAATTCCACCATGCACTTCAGCTAGGTTGTAAGTATATTGCCCACCCGTCAAAAGAATAAGGAATTTTAAAAGCTCCTGTTGTTTGCAAGAACGCATGAACATTTGTAGTGGTTTGGTCAATATGACAAAGGTTGGGTTTGCTTAATAGACAATTTTAAAATGCTGAACATTTAATACATTCCAAGTGGATGTCTCTTTTTTTCCCTCCATTCAGCCCTATGCCCCATGAACGCTGGCTTTGCTTCAAATCCCAAGTGTTCAGCACACAGTCTCCCTGTCTCTTAGGCAAGTGGAGCCTGATCCTTTCAGTTGAAACAGCTGTTACTTTACCCGACAAAAAGATATCCAGTTTATTCCTATACAGTTTTGCTGGATTTTAAAAACAAATGAATTACTAATTACTATTAATTAATTACTAATCAAACATATGGAACATGAGAAATTTACATCTTTGGCACCTCTTTTTTTTCTTTTAGGGATATCTGAGTTTAGATGGCATCTTGGAAAACAGACAAAAGCCATATTATTTCACAACTTCCCTGAAAAGTAACATGAAAAGCAGATCCCAGCAAATTACATCTGGCTCACCGAAAAGGCAGCAGGAGACAATACCGAATTAGGATCCCAATGACCCACACAACAGTGAGTTGCCAGCTGACACGGTGCAAGTTGGCATTGGTTCTGCTGAGGAGGTTCCAGGACACCAGCTCCTCAGAGGAGAACCGTCGAGTGACTTCATCTTCTGCAACTGCCTCACACCCCTTCTTGGAGAAGTACATAACATCAGCAAGGCTGAAGCACCCTTGGCACCGGCCAGCAATCTCCTCTTCCATGGGGGTTTCGTCTCTCTGGATGATCCCTGCATGAGGAAATGAGTCCTCCTTCCACACGGTGAAATGAACAACATGGGTTCCAAAGAGAGTAAAATACACGTGCTTTTTAGAAATAGCTTTCCTCCTACTCAAGCACCATAATTGCATTGTTATGCCTCATTCACGTACTGAACACTTAATTCCACAAGTTACTTCTCTAACCCTATGCCACATAACCCCCCCTAAATTGCTGAGGAAAGAGAAAAGCATTCAGATCAAGCTGCAAATAAAATCTTGAGCACAACACCTACTTCATTGTCATTTACCAAACAACATATGTACACACACCTAGAAATGTCAACAATGCACTGCCAAGGTTGCAGATCCCTCCTGGTGCCCTGACTCAGATTCAGCCAGTGCTTGTATACTTATTGTTCTTGTTGCTGTTGATTAGTTTTACTTTTTTCCAGCTGTAACAAACTCCTTCCTCTGTACTTTTTTTCAGACCCATCTTTCTTCCCCTATCCCTTCTCCTTTAACAGTCCCCTCACTAACAAGGAATTGGAAGAGTCTAGATTTCCCCCAAGCCCCAAAACATGCATAGTGTAACACTGCATGTTGTTCTTCCAGACACATTGTGCTGGAAGAATAAAAACACATTCATGCTCTTCTATTTGTAAAATTACACCCCATCGGACAACCACACAACAAGTTTCAGTATGTTTGCTGAGGTCACTCTGAGACCAGATTCTTATCTGGCTGGTTGAAGTGACTAAAATTGTCTTGATTCATACCAGCTAACACTTGGCCTTCTTGTTTGCCTTTTGTTGTTTTTTTTTTTGTTTTTTTTTTTTTTTTTTTTTTGTTTTGTGTTGTTTTTGGTTTTTTGTTTTTTTTTTTCTGTTTTCATTAATTTTTTGTTTGGTGGTTGGTTTGTGTTTTTTTGGTTTGGTTTGGGTTTTTTTTTTGTTTTTTTTTTTTGTTTGGTTTGGTTTTTTTGGCTTTTGGTTGTTATGTGGGGTTTTTTGTTTGTTTTTGTTTGTTTGTTTATTTTGGGGTTTTCTTGGAGGGGGTGTATTGGATGACATTAAATGCGCATTACTCAAAATACACTTAATTTATCTTAATCAATATACTACCCCCCACCAGAATCACAAAACTTTCCTCCAGCTGCACTTCAGTCAAACTTTCAACATCCAGGAAATCATCAGACCCAAAACTTATTAGCTGACAAACCAAGCAGTCTACATGACTAATGACTAAAAATGGCACTACAAGTAAAAGGATTACCATGAGAACTTAACCCACTCCCCTCTGGTCAAAGAAGAAAGGAAAAATATTTGGGGGAAAAAATTACTCAGATTTTATCCTCGTGCCTAGACAAGAATGCAAAATTTAACTGTGATCCATGGGATGCTGTAACTCCTTCACTTGAGAGACCCTGGGTTTTTTGCATGTGAGGAGTTACAAGAAACAAAAGAGAATCCATGCAGAGCAAAGTCAAGAGCAATGAACACTCATTCAGTCTTGTAAAGAGAGAGCTGATGGAGTCAGAAAGAACAAAATACTCATGAAAACAGGGACAGCTTCCCAAATGCTTATCAGCAATGTCTTTCTATACCCACACTAGTCTCTAGGTCCTTTTATTCAAGAAGACTCAATAATTTGCAGATTATCTTGCTTATAACATCCTTCTGTAGCTTTGTAACTTCAACAGTTATTTGCCCATCAAACTCCTTTCTAAGTAAGATTTTTAAATAGTTGCCTTTTTACAAGATGAATAGTGCTGTGTCCCCTTCATCCAGAGATCTTACCAGTGGAGATTAAATTTTCAAGTGCCAGCGCCTTCTGCTTTTTTACTCCCTCCTCAATCTGCAGGGTGGCCCACTGTTCCCAAAACAAGAAAAGTAGATGTTGATGGTTTTAATTTCATCATTTCTAGACATTCTGTAATTACCTTAGGTGAGTTGTCTGAGCCTCTTTTACTCCTACACGGTCTTAGATTTTCATTTTTCAAAGTGAGCCTGAAGGCTGTCCTGCACACCTCCGGTTTCATTTGTTACATAGACTACCTTTTGCCATTTCCAGGAAAAATTGTTTGGTTCAAACTTCTTTTCAGGACACAGTTGTTTTTCTTCTGGAGGCTCAACAAATTACTGAGCTACTTGAAAGACTATGAGATCCATGGGTCCAAAACTCTCTCTTTTCCACTTAGCTTCAGGCAATAGAGTTATGCAAAATACTATCACTGACATCAGAGAGATGCTGAAAAAATAGATCTAAAAAAATTAATTTAAAACAATAAAAGAGATTACCTCATTTTTAGGGCATTAATGTGATTTCTGTTAACAGAAAACAGAGGCAGCAACATTTTGTATCCATGGTATTTCTGAAGAAGTAGCTTTGGTAATGGGTTTTCACCCTTCCCTGTCTTCACCTTTTTGAGCTAAACCAAGTTTCTCCTCCATACGCAGAACATCATAAAACTCTCCATTAGCAAATCAAATATACCAATACACCTAATTTTTCAAGTTTTCATAGTTTTGAATGTTTTCATCATACATATATAAATAGTAGCTCTAGTGAGTCCTAGATCTTCCTGTATTTATGTCAAGATATCTGGCCTAACAAAGGACACCGGATGCTTGAGTGTAGGCTCTGCTCATTATCAAAGAATCAACAACCCACTCATCTTATGCCTTCACCTGCTATTAAAGCTACCCATCTACAACAGATAAGGATAATCCATCTGCTTCAGGATAAACTCCTGCTTAAAGTGTATTTCCTTCTTACTGATGTGTGCAGCCATTTAAGTCACCACAAAGCTGATCTCAAATAGTCTTCACTACACTACAATGTGTTGCATGTGCCAACAATATCAATTAGTTTTTTTGCCATCCTGAAGTTTTGCATGCTCTCTACCAGCTCCTTCTGCAGCATTAAAGTCAGTAAAAAAAGGGATACTTTGCCAAGGCGTAATTAGGATATTTTAGTTACCCTTCGTGAACTTTTTCTTAGCAGCCATCTTAAAAGAAAAGAAAAAAGTGAAAGCAGAATAGGCTTTGATGGGGTATTTTAAACTCCATGTAAACCATCTGTTATAACACCATAAAACAAACAAACAAAATCAAAAAAGAAGAAATTAAAATAAAAAAAATCCCACACCACAGCCCGTCACTATACTTCCCAATTACTCTCTTGAAAAGGTCAACTGGTACATCACCTGTCTCAATCTTTTGCAACACATGAAGAGTCAGAATTGTGGAGCCAGGGGATGTCATGAAAACAGCAGCCCACACACTGAGAAATGAAAGAACATCCGGAACAGGTACAGCAATGTTGCAAAAGAGAGTAAAGGCAGACATGTGGCAAATTTAACCTCTTTATAATGTACTGCTGGTTCTCACCCCTTCCCCAATATTCTTTTAGGATACTTGTATGGCATGAGGGAGGAAAATAAATAAAAAATCACTGAGCTTGACAAATAAAGCCTTTTTGCCTTACTCTCTGCTTTCCTGTCTCCTGTCTACCACCCTTATCTTGCCTATCACAGTCCTCCTACACAGAGAGGCACCTGGCAGCCAGCAAGCACTGCGAGAAATGAGCTTGCTCATACTGTCCTAGAGGATTTGGAATGCCTCAAGGAAGCTGGCTTTTGATTGCCAAATAGAAAAAGGGTGATAATTACTGACCAAGGTGACTCAAAATATATGTTAACTAATTTAAATAAGACAAGACAAAACCAACAAAAATTTATAAAGATTACTAGTAAAATATAAAGTCTTGACTCATAGAACAGAGAAAGAGTGAGACAAAAGTGGCGGTAACTAAATGGTCAAGGTTACAAAGACGAGGGGACAAGGCAGAAGAGAAGGAGCTTTCAAGGGCTGAACAGTTACACAGGGTTTGTCAGCTTGGCCAAGATGGCAGGGGACAGAGGTCTACAAAATCTGGACTGGCACAGGGCAAGTGCATAAGGTACAGTTATCTATTTTCTAATACAAGAACTGAGGTTCATCATATAAAAGTGTTGGGCAGAGTGTATGAGCAAGAAAAAGGCAATATATTTCCACAAAACACAGTTAAGTTGTGAGTTCATTGTCCAGAACATGTCACCAGAGATCGTTTGAAATGGGAGCAGTTACAAAAAAAACATGGATGAAAATTATTGTGGAACACAAAACCCTCCCAGCTCATGAACTGGCATGGGAGACTGAGGTAACAAGGAGTGAGGAGGGAATCTGACCATACAACCACCCAGCTCTTCAGCTTTTCATCGAGCAGTTGAATTGAAGCCTGTCAAACTGTCTGTCTGGGTCAAACTCTGGACTGACTCAGCAGACTAGCTACTATGTTGTTTTGCATTCAGTTGCATCTGTACGTATAATTTGTTTTTAAAAATGAAATAAGTCTTTGCGATCACCTTTGTATTGCACAGCATTGAGACAGAGCTGTCATGCTGGTCTTTGTTGCAAAACAGTAATGAAAGGATGTTTTAAATGCCTTACAAAAAAAAAAAAACAGATGTTGCAACTAACACAGAATTTAAGTATTAAATGTAGCAACTTCATTCCTAAGTTTGCTGACTGAACGAGAACTCAGCTGCTGTGCTTTCCTCACTTCCATTTCTGAAGTGATGAGGACACGAGGAGCCCAAACATCCAGTGGTTGATCCCAGATGGAATACTGAAGGCCTGACAGCTTAACTCCAACAGTCCATTTTTTTGAGCTTCCTGTAATTACATTCTAAACAAAATAAGAATGTCCAATACTTGGTTATATTAATTATTTTCTTCATAGTACCTGACAGGAAAAACTATACAATATGGAACATTGATTTTCTGAAATCTCACTTTTTGTGGTTTTTTTTATGAGGGTTTTGCAGTTTTTCCTCCCTTTTCCATTTAAAGTACTCCATTTTTCTATACTATGTAAAAATTCAGTTTTGCATCTCTTCCCATATTTTACTACCTCTTCTCCCATATTCTTACAAGAGGTTTTTCTAGTCACTCATTACACTGGCTTTTCTCAATCCTTTTCTCATGTGTGACAAAGGCTTTGGGGCATTTACTCCCCATAGTCTTCCAATACAATGGCAAAGAGAAGGTCAGTAGGTTTTTAGCACAAACTAAAATCACCATCTAAGATCAAGCAATTGGGACCTTTTCATCCAACAGTCCTTTCTGTCTGGCCTCATTTCCCCTTTCACATCACAACCAAGAACCCAGATCAAATGATCTGAGTATTACATTGCATGCCTGAGAGAATGTGACTGTCCACCATCAGATTGTGAAAAGGACTCACAAATCTCCTGCCTGCTTTAGTGAGAGCTGATGAAATAGGTTGAGAAGGGTCACAAACATTTGTTTGGAACAGGAGCACAGGTGTAACTTGTTTGGGCTTTGTTGCAGAGGCTAGCTCAGGATAGCCATGTATTTGAAAGCACGGCAGGGAGCTTCTTTCACTAGTTTAAGTGTCAGCAACATCTGCCCATACTCCAGTGGGAGTTTACAGCATATTAGCTACCTCCGTATAGCTATCAATTCAAAGACTATTCACAAGTATTAGATGTCTTTCCTACATGTGAGTATTTCTCAAGAAACAACAATGCTCCAATTTCATACAGAAGTTCAGAACTCAAAATTCCAGAAGATTCTTGGCAAATAGAGCTACAGCTGTTCAATATGTTTCTTTGACTCTCCACAGGACTGCGAGAGCAAAGGCATTTTCTTTTGGAACAGCTGGAATACCGTCCCTAGAACGGCTTCGCTAGTATTGTCATTTCCATCAAACTCTGATATAGACAAGCAAGTACAAACTCACAGAAAACACATTATTTACAAATAGAAGTTTACAAGCATATGGGAAAAAGTAACCTTATCAGAAATCAAACCACATTCATCTTTATCACTTCTAGATGGTACAAATTATTTCCATACATGATTACATCTTTTCCATTTGTTCCAGTCACTGTTCACAGTGCTAAAACACTTCAGTGAAGTCAAGAAATCAAATTGACTTATCTCATCATATGCCACCATTACTCATTGCTTAGTAATAGATCTGAAAACTTAAGCTTTATTCTAAAACACATTTTTTTTTGCTCCCAGCAAATTCAGTAAGGGCTACAGATATGATTTCTTTGAAAAATATTTTCTGACTTTGAAGTCCTCAATTTCAATCTCTACTTTTTTATTTTTCTCAAGCTGACAAACATAGATGAAAATAAAACATGTTTTCCCTCTGCCTCCCTATTTGCCATCTACAGCTGTAAGAAACAAATATAAAGTGTTGCCAGGTGAGAAGTTTTCTGTTAATTTTGCAGGTCTACATAACAGACTAAATCAAATGCAACATAATGGAGAATCCAGTCATAGTGCTCAAGGTTGGATTTTTTTGCTGAAACACCAACCAGTTGTTTGGTACTTCCTAAATCACTGATATTCCTGCAATATAATCCATAGTGTGCTAATATATGACTAAGCATCTGCTCTTAGCATTTTGAGCTTAGCTATCCGGTTTGGCATCCTATTTCGCCATTGCGGATAAAAACAGGAAACATGGTCTGTCTCTATGCATTACCCCATTAGCAATATCTCAGGTAGATAATGTCACAGCTGGAAACCAGTCCACCCTTCACTGGGCTTTCAATGTCAAGTTGTTAATTTCTCAAACAAGCGGTGCATAGAAGCCTGCTTAAAGCTGACTGTATCCCAAGCTGCAATTTTGGCCATATTCTGAGGAATGAGCCCCAGGACTCAGAGAATAGGCCCAGCAATTACATGCACAAGCTTTAACCCAGCATTTCCCAGTCGTACTCTTCCCTGCAAAGAGCCTAGTGGGCCACAGCACAAGCAAAGGTGACCTAAAATTCCCTCCATCCTCTCTCCCTCCCATTTCCCCCCAAAATAGCTCTTAGTTACTCTTTTGGCACAATGAAAAGCATTTGAGCAATACTTCAAAGAAAGTCGTTGGAATTACCTGTCAGATGAAAACAGAAGAAACTCCTTTTTTGCCCATTGAACAATTAGGGAGCAACTTTGAACTAAAACACAAAACAAGCCAGTCTGAACTGCAGTGCATGGAATTGTGCTGTTCCTGTTATTAGCTGCTGTGGCCACAGGGAACTAAACATAAAAGGCTCACCTGATTACATAACAATTAACTTTTTAATTATTTCTTTTTTGATAAATTGATCCTCCACATTGTGAACACAAAATTGTCATGCTTATAACCTGTTACAAAAAACTGTGGAAAGAGAAATATCTAATGTGCTTCACGAAAGAATTGCCTTCCTATATAAAGCACACACTGAGTGAGTCAAATGTCTCTCAAAGCTGGAAAGTGCACAGGGTGGGGGGAAAAATACGGAAGTTATTTTAATGTCTGGCAACTGCAGCGGCAAGACCTGTCCAAAGACCTTCTCAGATTTGATATAAGCGTGCCAAGAAGAAGGTACCAAGAAGCATTTAATTAGCATAGCACTAGTTGATTAAAAAAACATATGACGTATAAAGGCCAATATTACACATAGCCACTCCAGGCAGTCATTTGTCATTAACACTGGTATCTGAAAAAGCAAGTAACCCCAAACTTTGCAGTCCTGTGCACTATGCTAAATGTTGTTCATACAGCTGAAGACAGATCCTGCCCAAGAGCTCTTAATCAGCATTAAAATGAAACAAAATAAAAAACAAACACTCAAACAAACACAAACAAACAAACAAAAAGAGATAGAAGAATTATAAGACAGAAAAAAAGACAGAATTGGCAAGATAAGATGATTATGATATTAACTATATCACATGGCTACAGACATGTTATACTGCACAAATAGATGACTCCAACAGTTTAATAATAATAATAGCAATAATACTAGTAATGTGTTTTCTGCCACAAGTAGAAAGTATATTCACAGAAAGCAGGTTTATGCCAGAAGCACAAAGTTAATCTACTGGAAAATGGAAATCCTTCACTGTTCAGTATGATGAATTCACCGCACCTACTTCTGGCTAATGATGGATACGAAAAGTCAAACTTGAAAAACTAAATGGAATTATGGCTTATTAAAACCCCCAGAAACCTCTTACTGATAGTAGCAGAATTAAGATCTTAGCCATGATCAGTTCATCCCTAGAAAAATTACACTTTTAGAAGGTTGCACAGACTCCTCGAGTCTCGTACAACAGAACTTGTAACTGCTTGATCCTCCAGATTTACATCTGGAAGAAGCAACACACAGAGTGAATATTCTTACCTAGAATATTAATACCATGTAAATAAAATAATCCAAATAAAACCACTGAATCTTATGTACATCTAAAATACATGTTCTTATTACTTACCAAGTCCCATAAACTAATACCTCTTTTTCTTTATATCTGACTTTTCATGAGTATGCTACTTGCATGAAGTACTTTAACCAGCCTGAACTAGAATAGATCATGGAGTCTCTATTTTAATCCAGGAAAACCTCAAACCAGCAGCAGATTATATGTAAGACAGCACATAACTCGATATCATTAAAGACACCGCTCAAAGTCTATCATGTAAAACAAAGCTTCAAACAACACATCCAAGTTAATGGAATTCTTTCTGCTGACTTTTATGGCTTCTATAAAAAATGTACAGATTTTATTATTAAACATGTCCTGTAGCAAACACATACCTTTTGAACCTAATTCTCAACTTACCTCTAATATTTTTATTACAATATTCACATAGAAATGAGAAATCCCCAATGACACTCGGAACATCGAAGGCAACAAAACTAACGCCACAAACAAAATCATCCAGATTGACAAAATCTTGCTTTCTGCAAGACCATGGCCCTCTCTATTTTCTTCCATGCTTACTCCTCCAAAATGCCAACCAGCTGCCTTTCTGAGAATATATGCTCATCCGTAGTGGAGAATCTAGCAAGCTTCCAGAGATGGAGCCAAATAAGAATTACACATTCTAAGAGCCAAAATTATGTCTAGGTGAAGGCTGCTGCTCTCTGAACCTAACACCACAGATACTCTCAATGATAATGTGACTTCTACCCTTTATCCCACCCTAACTCCACCCACTTCCTTGTAATTGATAAGCATTTACTCGCCAGGGGAGAACAAAAAAAAAACATGATAGGTAATAATATATGTTAGGTAATTAGATACTGTCAATAAGAAAACTTTTCAGTGTGTCAATTAGTTTTCACAAGGTGTCCTGCCAACAAATTACAATACAGAATTAGGTGGGTGTGGTTTTCAGACTGCCTAAAATCTTCTCTTCTAAACCTCATTTAATACACAGGAAACACTTCTCCAACTGACATTTGTGCAAATTGGTGACTTATTTAGTCAGATTTTCTACTTCATGAGGAAATAACTGCCTCATTTTGGTATTTGACCAAAGGAATGAAACTGAAGCTTGAGGTGCAAGTCAGGCTTTTTTATTTTATTTTTTAATAACACACATGAAATGAAGACGCAAGTTTCAGCAGGCAGGGATTGACAATATGATAAACCTGCTCTCTCCATTGCTCTACCAGAAATTAGCCAAAAAGCCTGTATTACAGGGTTACAAAATACACCGTGGTGAAGTAACAAGCCTTTCATCCTTTCAAACCTTTTCATCTATTCAACTACAGAATTGAAATGCAATAGATAATCCAGTTTTTCCTTCTATCCTATCAATTGTCAATAATTTAATTCAGTATTTCTTAGGAAAGACACAGTTCAGACCCTAACAGCCACCTCTCTCCTGCCTTTTTGGATGCAAACAGAATGATTTTGGATGTCAACAGAAGAGGTGAATAACTCCAGAATTCAAGGGGAGCCCACCAGCTGCTTGTTTACAACCTTCTCACAGAACAAATTAACTAACTTTGATAGAATAAGCAAAACTTCCAAGACAGTGATATGCTAGTCCACAAAGCATCTTCCCTTTGCACATACTTACATTAGCGTGTTTTTCTAAAGCTGGGGCTGTCCTTTTAAAATATCCCCATTCCCATGTACTATTGTTTGGTTTGTGGAGCAGTCTGAGTACACACAAACTGGATTTTCTTGGAAATGAAAGCAGACCCAAAGATCCTCTGTAGAAAGTGCACCCAGTACCCTCCAGTCAGTAACAGAAGCAGAGGTGTCAGAGTGAGCTGTACCACCTCCAAATCCTCTAGTTTATACCACATGCCCAGGCACCAACAAGCAGGATCCTGACATGTTCTCAAGCTCACATGAATCTCTGGCATGCTTCTTGTGCCCTATAGTGAGTCAAGTAGCTTTTGTATCTTCAGATTTGCTGCTGAATGACATCCTTCGGGTCTTGCAACTATATTGCAATCTTTTTCAGCAGTCTAACTTTTCTTTTGCTTCTTCTCATTATTTAGCTTCTTTGCCTTCTCTCCCCTTTCTGGCTTCTTTCTGAGCTTTCTGTATCTTCTACAAAATCTTGCTGATTTGTCTGTTTTTTTCTGCTTTCCCATTGCTCTTTCTCTCAATGGCAACCTCAAGCCCCTCACTCTCCCATCATGCTGCCACTGCCAGGTACACCATCAACCACTATTTTCTCACCTGCCCCACCAAAAGGCTCCAGTTCCAGGCTCCCCTGGGAACAGTGTTTTATCATTTGTAAAACAGCTTTACTCACCCGTTTCTGTTTAGCTACCACTCCTTACATTCTCACTACTAGTCTCCTCCTCGAGTGGCTTGTCCAGCTAACACATGATCCCTAGGGTGGCATATACTGGAGAGCTGGATGGGCGGGCGCTGATGCGCCTGGCACAAGGCAGTGTCTCTGAAGAGCTGCCATCAGCCCCAGCACAGGGGATCGGTATGTATGTCGCCTGGGTGCTAAAAACCTTGTGGGCGGGAGGGTGGAGGTAGTTTCTGGGACCTGATTGAGGCAGGAAAGGTGGGCAAAATTAAGTATTGATAGGACACCACCAAGTAACAGGAAGTTGTGGTGACTCGCTTAATGGGATGCCTCAGCAATAAGTTTGGACACACAAAAGACGGATTCTTTCTTAAAAGGATAGAAGGGAAGACAGACTTGCCTACCCTGGGTGGGAGTAAGAAGATGTTTCCCCTCCTGAATACAGCAGAATTGTTTTCCATCCCATGAAACCTTATCATTTGCACTGCCTAACTCTTACAAAGTCATATTCCCCACTACACCATGAGCACAGACACTGTAATCCTTACCTGCCACTTTCTAAAAATACCAGAGAGCAAGCAACCCCCTCCCATGTTCACCCATCTATTATGCTGAATTATGGGATTGTCAGCTATAATTTTCCCTGGCAAACCACTCAGCCCAAGACACATGAGGTTTTTTGAGGGTTGCTGAGACAATTGTCGCAGATGTATGAGGAAAAAAAAACCAAAACAGGTTTAGAGGGGGAATAAATAGAGAGATCTTGGCAGTCTATTGCTTTTCACCAAACATGTCACATTTTCCACACAGCAAAAGATAATTACTACACCTATTCCACTCAGTTTGCTCCTGGACACATAGCACTGCAACAACCCACTGCAGTGAAAGCATCATCTTGAATTCATGGGCCAGCCTGGCAACCCCAGCCCCTTGTAGGTTTATGAAAGAGGAGGCCATAGGGATGGCATTCCAAGTGAAAGAATTGAAGAGTTGCTAGTAGCCTCTCTACTGAGGTGGTCAAACTATCCAGCCCAAAGGCACTACAAAATCCATATGGATTGGAATTTTATCTCTGCCCTGAATGAAGGTGATGCACTTGCTCATGATGTGAAGAAGGAAGGAAATCTTTTATTTCTCAAGGCAATTCATAACACAGCTTCCTGTTTTTTGGTCAGAAATTTGGCATAGCTTTTTACACCCCAGCACAATAATTGATCTTTTATTATTTCCAAAGAACCACTGAACTATACGTTTGTCAAATCCAGTATGAGCTGAATAACAACAATTTGTGATGGGGCTACACAAATTTCCTCGGCACAGTAATTTCTTTCAGAATTAATTCTGCCAGCCACTGACCAAACAGAGCTTCTGCATGTCATTCTTCTGCCCTCTTTGTCCCTCTTACCAACAGCCAGCCATGCTGCAATCATATCCATTTCTAAGCTGGGAGAGGGAAGTGTGAAGGCATTGCAAATAATTCAAATAAACATGCAGCAACAGAATGTAGCATTCATTTGTAAGGTCTAGTATATAACAGCTGATGAATTTATACCAAATAGCCACAAGCACTTCTTTATCACAAAGTACCCTGAATGTCAAGAAAAGCTGCAAGACAATGTGCAAAAGTCTCTGTTCACGAAATCTAACTTAGAAGAAAGAGATGCTGGTGACACAGGAGGAATTCAAGAGCAAAGCTCCCTTTAATTTAATGAATCTCAAATTGACACCCACAAGCATAAGAAATTCACTTGAAACAATCCTGGTCTCCTAGGGAAATGAAAAGGAGACAAAATGGGTGTCAGCCGCCCACTCTTGGCTCTTGATCCCTTGGGGTCATTCTACTAATTTCATATTGCAAAACATTGCCTAATATCTAATTGCCAATTGTCACATGGAACCAGAATTATGACCCGTTTATTTTTTCAGTGCAAGGAGAAGCAAACACGGCACTGACCTCTGCCTATCTGTAGTGCCTTACATGGAAGGGTTAAATCAGGTATAAACAGCCTTTTCCTGTACAGCAGTCAGCTTTCGAGCAGATGCATATACACTGTGAACAGATGAAAAACAGCAAGGAGGTATAACAGCTTTCAAGAAGTGCCACTATGGTTTTGCCTTCCCAATACGCACCCTACTGCAGACACAGACTGGAAATAACACTTGGCATGGCCTCAAAGAGAAGGTATCACACAGTCACAGAAATTTTGGGAACCACTCTTTCCAGGTATGCTTTCTTCCTGTTCAGTACTAACTATTCCAGTGACTCTGAGGGGATATCCTACAGGAGTTTGCAGCCTGCCTTTCTTACAATGCCTTTCTTATCGGACTACCAGAACATTGTATGTCCCCAGCAGATACTGTTCCAAAGGAGCACTGACACATCAGCTTCAGCCACATGGTGCTTCAGATGTTAAAGTAATACATTCCCTAAAGGTTAACAAAGAGAAATTTCTATCTGAAGCGAATGACAATGACCACAACTATCAATCCTGGTCAACCATCTATCAGTTGATCTTTTTTATAGTAAATATACAGGGCATATTGTTTATGGTAAATATAGTATTTTTTCTATAGTAAATATACAGGGTATATTGTTTAACTGTTTTGAGTTGAAACATGATCCAAAACTGCTTACATCTAGAAGTACAGAAGCACACACAAGCATTGCCATTAGGCACACGAAGGTGTTACTATTGCTAAATGCTCTTCTGCCTCCAGTTTTAGGGCTCCCTGGTATTTCTGTGTGAGTTTTGCTATGCTACAAAGCAGGCTGATCTACTTAGAAAAGCCTTGTAAGTCAATGACAGAGGGTCAAGAGAGCAAACCTGGGCTGATTAACCAGCATCAGTTAATACTCAGGGGTACCAGGATTATGCTTTGCAGGATAAGAAAGTCTTTCAAACAGGACTGATGAGAGCATTGTGCACTTCAGTAATTCTGATGTGTGTACTTACACATGAAAACTACTAAGAATATATCTTTTTCAATTGCAGATATTAAAAAATAAAATAAAATAAAATTTAAAACCAAAACCAAAACCAAACAAAGAAAAAAAAAAAAAAAAAAAGGGCCTTTTTGTTTATGTTTTCTCTATGTTTCAACCTCAGATTCCACACCTGATTGCTACTCACGGGGGAAATAATCTCTGGTAGTTTTGTTTTGATATTTATCAAGACTGAGGTTCATGTTTTACAGGTGAGAAATCCTCCAAAAAGCCAGAATAACCTTAAAGATCACCTATTGCATGTAATAGCAATGTCAAGTGCAATATTTATCTATAGAAACTACACTGTTTTTGGGCACTTAAATGCATCTTTGTACTCCTCTGCATTAACATTCGAACTGATCTATGTCTGCTGCTCTTAAGGTCTGTACAGATCCCATCTACACCACTAAACAGATATGTGTTTATATCTGACCACAGTAAGATTGTGCTATTTATGCTTTATCTTTGGCCATCAACAGTTGAATTATGAAAACATTGAAGAAGTATGTTTGACTACTGTATCCCTCATAGAATGACTGTAATACATTTAGCTCTGACCACACAAGCATTATTGTTTCCACACAACATAAATTCAACAATTATAGAACCTTATTTATTGTATCCTGTAGCTTACAACAGGCTTGAGTCTTTGTATCACAAAACAGGGAAATCCACTACATGTTCTGACTACATTTGTTTGCCTTAGCAATGCATGGATATCACAGGTGTGTAGGCATTACACGACTTTCAATATGTACCTCACATACTGTCCATATAAATCTTGTATATGATTTGTGTATCACTGATGCTAAATGCAATAAAATAATTTGTCAATGCCCAACATTTATTGCATTGGTTAAATGCATAACATTTTCTCCCGGCTCTGGCTTAGGAGTGACTGCAAACACAGCACAGGGTCCTTTGGGGCAATTCCTGAAAGACGTCAGCATTCATCCCCTTTCATCATTTTCTCCACAAACAGCTATGGAATATGGACACATCCATCAGTTCTTGTTGCCTTCGCCACGGCAACATGGTCCATAATGGAATCATTTTTCGCAATATATCACTTCAGTTGCATTGTACTTATTACCCCTTTTTTAATACCACATGGCTTGCATTGTAAGAAATGCATGCTAACTCTTTCCCATTACCCTCGTCCATCATTCTGTATCATTCAGAGACTTGTGTTCCCCTTATCCAGAGATCTAGATCATTTATGAGTGTGTTGAGAAATAAAAGTCCTAGCTGGTCCCTCTCTCCACTGTAACAACAGCTAAGAAGCACAACAATTTTCCTCTTCTAAATTTTGGCACCATTCACATATATTTTAAATAATACTTAAAGAATTTTATTTAAATATACCAGAACTAACCCTTCTCCTTCTAAATCTTGCCAACAAGTTTTAATGGAAAAAATATTACACTAAGAATATTAATTTTATATGCAACATAAAAAAACATATTTGAGATCCCAAAAGCATGGAAATACAACTTAAAAGACCACAGGAGCATACATTCTATTTCAAGAGTCAGGCAATTAATGTCTAAGGCTAAGAATGTGCTTACCTATAGTCCTGGTGAGGGATGAAATCAAACATTTGCTTGCCTGATGTGAAGGGGTAAAACTCCTGCGGTCTTTAGACCAGAATGTTGTCACTTTTAACTCTCCCTTCCTGAACTTGTTTTCTAGACCTTTCTTCTGACTGTTATGTCAGGAACATCCGCTAAAATGGGTAAAAATACATTACTACAAGTATTAAAAATGAGTAAAATGTGACAACTGAAAAAATACAGAACGTATATTCTGCAAACTCAGTCTATACCTGACGAAGAAGTTGTACAATTTACTGTTCAGCATTGTTGAGCATTATCATTTTATTAATTCCTTATCACAATTTATTAGGTTATTAACTCAGAAAATTCTCACCACAATCCTAAACAGTACAGTGCATCTCCAGACATCCTCACAGCTGCATGGCCTGTTTTGAAAGGCATGGCCTTGTTATGGACAGCAGGTCAGCCAGTGCCATGCCTTTTCATATTGCAGGCTGGCATGACACAATCCTCCCACTCCCAAGACATGAGCCCAGCTCACTCCACCCACACTCCCAGCAGGATGATGTGGGCCAGGCAGCTCAGTTTAAATGTCATTTTGATGAAAGCATCAAACTAAAGCTCGTAGTGCAGCTCAATGAGGCACTTCCATGAGCGCAAATCCTGCCTTTCGGCCTAGAGCTAGAGCATCAGGTCCCAGAGCTTGCAGGCAGGAGACTGGCAGCCATGAATGGGGCCAGGACACCCTCGGGACAAGCCCTTGGGCTGCACTGACAGACATTCACAGAGATGCAGAGGACTAAGCAGCCTTCCTAAATCAGAGCAGTGTTTCAATTGTTTCAGTCTGCAGGAATTTAGACTTAAGAACTGTGCCATTTAAGGCAAACTGCAAGGGATGATTTTCCAGAAGTCTCACTGGGCAGGTGGCAGGAAGAGGCTGGGAGAGTGAGGGAAGATAGAAGCAGGCACAGAGGAGGTGAGGTCTGGTGCTATTGTTCACAAAATCGGATTCATTGCACAGTGTGTAATAAGCCAATAATTACACTACACACTTGAGAGAGATATTGATTATCTATTTCAGAGTTGCACAATCATGGGTCCTCGGTGGTATTTCACAAATCAAGCACGCCAACTATCAAAATTTTTCACTATTTATACATTTTAGCAAACAAAAGTATTAATGTTCATTGGTTACAAGTTACATAGTTGTCCTTTTAATTAGTATTGTATCTTCTATTGTTTAATGATTCTCTTGCTTCTTATGCCAATTAGTCCACAGGCTCGGTCTTTCTCTTCTTTTGGGCCAGTGGGTTTCTTGAGTTGGTGGCCATAAGTCAGTGGTTGCCATCTACCACTGACAGAATCACCTTTCATGCAGCTGAAGCTGATTCAGCACAGTTGCTGAGTTGTCTTCATTAGTTTCTTCCTTATCTTGGGAATTCTGCCAGATGTCTTTGTGGCCCATAAACATTGCATTCTTTGTGTCCACTATGAGTGATACATCCTTCTTTCCAAGCTTTGCTAACCTCCCCATGGGCTGAGATCGTTGAAGCATGTCCAGCCCTAAACCTTAACAAGGCAATTTTACCAACAAGTAATTTGTCTTTCTGACACCTGGACACCACTTAGAGATTGTTTGTTAGCTGCTATCTTGTAGTCTTAAGCTGAGCCAGGGGAGATTTAAGTTGAACATTAGGTTGTATTTCTTCACAGAAAGAGTGCTTGGGAATTGGAATGGACTGCCCAGGGAGATGGTGGAGGCACCATCCTTGGAGGTGTTTAACGAGACTGGATGTGGCAGTTAGTGCCATGGTCTAGTTGACACCGTGGTGTCGGTCATAGGTCGGACTCGATGATCTCAGAGGTCTTTTCCAACCTAATTGATTCCACGATTCTGTGATCCGTTTTCACCGATCAAATCGCCTTTTTTTGTTGATTAGCTTTGAAAGCACACAAAGACCAAACATCAGAGGACACCCTTTCTGAAGAAAACGTTTACGCTTTCCACGTTTCGCCCGGCGCGGGCGGCTGAGGGGATCCCGCGTCCCTGCGGGGCCGGGCTGTGCCCGCCCGGGCCCGGCGCGGCGCTGCCGCCAGCGGCCGCTGGGGGCTCCCGCCGTGCGGCGCGGCCCGTCCCGCCATTGCCGGGGCATGGAGGGCGAGAGCACCTCGGCCCTGCTCTCGGGCTTCGTCTTCGGCGCGCTCGCCTTCCAGCACCTCAGCACCGACTCGGACACGGTGGGTGCCGCGGAAGAGGGGAACCGAGGAAGCGGAGGGAGGGAGGGAGGGACCGCCCCCGCCGTGGCCGCGCCGGCGCCGGGCCTCCCCCTTGCCCGGGCTCCCGGCGCGGCCCCAGGGCTGCGGGTCTCTGCCGCCCCCGCCGCGCACGGGAGTCGCTTTGTGTGCGAGCGGCGGGGAAACGCGGGGTCTTCCCGGTAAACCGGGAGGCTGTGGCGGCTGCAGCGCCGTGTCTGCCCAGGAGCGAGCGAAGGGCTGGTATGGCCGCCTAGCCCGAGCCTGGGCGGCGGGCAGCATCCGCACAGCCGTGGGCTGCTCGCTGCTGAACGAGGAGGGACGGGAGACAGCCGAGGAGGATGCATCACTACTTGTTGGGGTTTGGTTTTTTCCCCCTCGGAACTACGGGCTAGTATTGAAAAATTAGTGAAAACCTCGTCTGTTTAAAAAAAAAAAAGTTCATTTTGACACCTTTTTTTCCTTTTCTGAAGACAGCATTTGGACTTAATATGAGAGGGAAAATCCTCTTAGAATATCCTGAGTTGGAAGGGACCCATAGGGATAATCAAAGTCCAGCTCCTGGCCCTGCATAGGAGGACAGCTCTAAGAGTCACACCACGTCCCTGAGAGCATTGTCCAAACACTTCTTGAACTCTGTCGGGCTTGGTGCTGTGACCACTTCCCCGGGGAGCCTGCTCCAGTGCCCAACCACCCTCTGGGTGAAAAACCTTTTCCTTTATCCAGCCTAAACCTCCCCCGACTCAGCTTCATGCTGTTTCCTCGAGTCCTGTCACCAGTCACAAGAGTGAAGAGATCAGTACCTGCCCCTCCTCTGCCCCCCAAAAGGAAGCTGTAGACTTCAATGAGGTCTCCCCTCAGTCTCCTCCAAGCTGAACAGACCAAGTGACCTCAGCCGCTCCTCATACGGCTTCCCCTCAAGGCCCTTCACCATCTTCATGGTCCTTCTTTGGACATTCTCTAATAGCTTTGTATTTTTCTTATATTGTGGCACCCAAAATTGCACACAGGATTAGAGGTAAGGCCCCACCAGCACCGAGTACAGCAGGAGTGTCTGTTCAATGCTACAGTTAACATGAACACTTTTTTCCTCTTCCCCTTTACAGGAAGGTTTTCTCCTTGGAGATGTGAAAGGTGAAGCCAAGAACAGCATTACTGACTCACAAATGGATGATGTTGAAGTTGTTTATACAATAGGTTAGTCTGTCCATATTTTTAATACCCTGCTTGGTTTCAGGCAATATATGAATGCTTTAGTTTTGAAGGAGGGCAGTCAGAAACTTAGAGCAATATCAAAGCTGTGAGATCCAGGAGTGAACGTTGGTGAAAAGAACATTATTTTGCAACATTTTAATTGCTACAAAAGTTACAATACTACTGCAGAAAACAGAGTAACTTTAAATAAATACTAGTTCTTAGTTCCTTGAATAGCTGCTCTTTACCAAGTATCTCATCAGATTAAAGGTAATTTAGGGTTTAGACTGCTACTTTGTCTTGGCCACAACACAAACTCTCCTGAAAAACTTGGTCTATTTCAGTGATGTGACCTGTAATGTATTAGCATTTATTACCTCATTGGGAGCTTATAAAATACTGTGTCTGAAGGCTGTAAGCTGTTTATTGATTTCATTAAGCAGATGTCAGATGTATTTTTTTTATAGTCTTCACGGGATTGGAGTGGATGTGCATTTTATACTGGCCCTTACATTTGTATACATACATGCACACACAGTTAACTCCATTCCTTTCAAATGCAGTTATACAAAAAGAAACAGAACAAGGTAATGCAGCATGTGCCTTCTTGCCAATCTTCCAGAAAATAAGGTAGGGAGAAATTACAACTCATTTTCTACTTTTACTCTAGGATACAATTAAGGTGTAACACCTTCCTTCACAGAGTCTCACAGCTGAACCAAAAATGTGGGGAATTTTTTGCAGCGGCATTGATCAGGTTACCCAGAGTCTCGTCATTACATTCTCACAGGCAGACTTAGTTGCTCTAAAGTTTGGAGGTTTTTTTCAGTTATCTTGTGAAAATGAAAACAGTGGAGAATTTAGGTTAAAAAAAAGGATTTAGAATGCCATTAGATCACCTGCCATTTTTTTTCTGGTTGTCAGCCTTCCATTTATCTACCCTGTGGGTTTCTGTTCTTCAGCCTCATCTTACTAACGGCATCTATGCCTTGTTGCAGAGTAACTCAAGGGAAATCTTTCATATTACATACTACTCCTGTACTTTGACAGAAGGGAGAGAGAAATAAAATGCCCAACTTGATTTTTCATTTGACAAAATACACAAAAAAATACAGTTTACAGAAGTGGTTCCCTTTACATTTGAACAAATTAATTAGAATATTTTTTTAAATATTTCCTTTCTTCACCTTATTAATGCATTTGTTTTTAAGAAATTATATAAAATTATTTCTTGGTTCTGCTATGAGTTTAATACTGATCATAGCATACAGAAGAATATACATCATGAACTGATGAACCTGGTGTAATATTACTTTCACTTTCCAGATATACAGAAGCATATTCCCTGCTACCAGCTGTTCAGGTAAGAGTCTTAAGTAAACAGATACAAAATGCCTAACTTGAACTCTTCAGGATTTAAACTTATATTACATTACTTGAAAAAATCACACAATGTAACTATAGTAGCCATATCAACCTCTTGGAATAACAGATGCAAAATGCCTTATGTTATTCCTATTCTTTTTTATTATGTCTTTTTTTTGGTCTTTGCCTATGTATATGGAAAAAGAGATATGACACAGTGCACCTTCTGGTGAGCTATGATACCATATAAAGTAAAGAATAATATCAACATACTGAAAAAAACATTGCTTTACTAAAAGCATACATTCTCGCCACTCACCCTCAAAAATAATAATAATAAAAATTTTAAAAATAAATAAAAAGGTACAGCCATAGGCTTCTAAGTGGGTCCATAAAAGAACTTGTTAGCCCCATAGCAGGAGTAGTTTCAAAAGTTGGTATTCAGAGTTCCATCATAGATGGAAACACAGCTGTGCAGGTTTACACCCCTGTAAGGGGAGAATCACAGTTTCCTTCTCAAACCTTTCTGAAAATTAATAAACCCAGCTCTTATTAGAAATGCATTTTATATCAAATTGAAGGCATCTTATTTTTTTGTAGTTCAGAGAACACAGGTGCTACTTTAAACTTATATCCCAGCAGCACTGATGCTAGAAGAGGATCTGGGCTGTACAAGACCTCCTACAGAGCTATTTGAATAATGAAATCACCTGCTCTGTCCCAGCAGAGAAGCTGTGGCAGCATATTGTTATGCTTAATAGGAGGGGGAAAAGACTATTAGAGATGATTACCAGAATGTTAGTGAATAGTTATTTCTACAGTAGCATTTTTTCCCCTCTAATTGTCCTACTTTTCTTCTAGCTTTTATAATTCTGCAGGAGAACTGAATGAACTTGCCCTGAAGAAAATACTATCAGGCTGTAAGAAGGTATTTTATTTTCAAATCTAAACCATACTGAGGAGCTTACTGAAATTTTGGAGGCTGTTCTGGATACCTTTTGCATCAAGCTTTTTTTCTCTCCTCATTTTAAATCTTTTATCTAGCCCTATATGCTGCTGGTCAAGGCAGATGCATCATCTCTTCCCCCTAGAAAACCAGATTAGGTTATCTTTGGTACATATATGTAGGGTTTGCCACATATACGTCACAACTTTTTTTGTTCTTATTAATTTCCCAAGTGAACGCTTCAAGTATCCCAAAGGATTTCTATCAATTTCTAGCTTAAGATGAGTTAAGGTCAGCTCGCTCAAATGGTTAAGCACCATTTTGACCAAAAAAAATTAGTCTTCTCCACAGAAGAAATTTTTACAGGGGGAAGGTATAAGCTGAAAAGAAACAAACCACAAAATAGCAGAACAAAGTTTGCAGAGTTTCAGCTTGAGCACAAGCTCAGAAACAGGCCAGTTCAACACATGGTTTTGAAGGAAAGAAGCTGCAATACTGGAATTAGGCTTAGATGTTTTAAGGGTTTCAAGCTAACTGCTTGAATATGTACATATCACCAAGCAATTCAGACTTGTGACTTTGTACTGTATCAACCTTGCTTCACTGTGACACACAGGGACAGCAGAATTCAACACTAACAATGATTTTTCTTCTGCCTACAGAGTGTAATAGGATGGTACAAATTCAGACGCAACACAGACCAGACCATGACATTCCGGGAGAGACTCCTCCATAAGAACCTGCAGACACACCTATCAAATCAGGGTCTTGTATTCCTTCTGTTAACCTCTAGTGTGATGACAGAAAGTTGTTCTACTTACAGACTGGAACATGCTTTACATCGGCCACAGGAAGGGTAATAATTGGTTTGTTTTCTACAGTGTGTGCTCTAACTTGAAACAGTTGTGTTTTTTTTCACTTTGTTGCAAAGGAATTATTAACACTGTTTATTTTACCCTTGAAACTTATACATTAGGTAAGATCCCTCCTTATATTGCTAGAGCACAGTTCAAAGCTTACCCTGGGACTCTATTCTGGGATGTCCCTTTATATCTGTAGTGCCAGCATCACCAGGCAGACACTGTCAGCATATTTATGTACATAAGCTGTTCTTGATCAAGTTGGTTTTCTTTTTAGGACTTCAACCATCCATGGTGTTTATCTTGACTAAGATATCTAAATTGGTGGTAACTATTTCCAGAGACATGCTGCCCACAGGCTAGGCTTAACAAGAAAGAGGCTAGGCTTAACAAGCAAGTATTGCATTATTGTGTATTGTACTCAAACAGGGGAAATAATACAGGCTCAGTGTCTGGTTGCTCCTGGAGTTTGCCTTTAGCCTCATCTCTGTGTCATGTAATACATTTAGCAAGGACGAACTATACTGTAAACCCCCATCTGGGATGCTTAACAGTCAAGAACTGTTAACTATTAAAAAGAGGCCTCTGGATGTTAATAGATCACGTTTTTATACTTCTGCTTTTTCAGTCTTTTCCAGAAAGTCCCTTTGGTGGTTACCAATCTGGGTATGGCAGAACAGCAAGGCTACAGAACAGTGTCTGGCTCCTGCGTATCTTCTGGCTTTGTGAGAGCAGTAAGACAACACAGGTACAATGACATATCGACTGACAGCTGTTGCTTCCCGTTAACATAACTATACTTACCTTTCTATAAAAGCATTTAAGTGTTTTTGCAAATGCTACAGCTATATCCTGCTCACTTTTTGTCCTTTATCTGCAATTATTTAGCACTCCACCACACTTGGAAATTAGTTCAGTCCCATACTCTGCCAGGAGAGCAGCTGTCTGTCTCAACATAGGCACCTGCTACTGAAGCTCAAAATGCTTATTTATTCTTTAAAGCTCCTACTAAGTAAGCACTGGGATAACTAACTTGCAATTATAGTGTTACATTCTTGGCCCACAGGTCAGAGTTCTTTCATGAGGATGGATCCTTGCAAGAGGTTCATAAGATAAATGAGATGTATGCCACTTTGCAGGAGGAACTCAAGGTAAGCCAGGCATACCTGCCTCACCTTTGGTAGTACTACAAAACTGAAGTCAAGCAGAGGGTACAACATCTTGCACTACATGAGAAACAAACCTGTGTCTTGGAAGGGCATCCGAAAGATCAGGGAGTTCCATTTACTATCAGCAGCTGCACATTATGTTCTCAAAGTTGAAGACTTAAGGTTCCATTTGATAGAAGTACACTGATAAATCTTCAAGTTCGCTAATAAATTCTCAGAAGAGGATTATTTTGAAGGAGTACTATCTGTAGTTTGTTAGATCTTCTTTGCTTAGATAGGAACAAATAAAACAACCTGCACCTCATTCAACACAAGGTTGAAGTGATCTCTAAAATCCACCTCAACTTCATTACTTAAGCTTTTACTACTTTGTGTCCAACTTAATTGTGAGTATCTTTAAGGATTTTGCAACAAGGTTAAAGTCAGCTTCTGTGAATACTATTAATCTGATCAAATGCCCTTTTTCTTGCAGAAAATATGCTTTACAGTAGAAGTCAGTGAACGATCTGTAGAGAAACTTTTAGCAGAGGTGAGGCAATTAAAAGAAGAGATAAAGAGGAAAAAGCAACAAGGTTGTTCAGGTAAGTTAACCAAATGTAATGCCAGCTTTAGACTTCCAAAATTTGTTCAATTGGCAGAAGCAGAAAACACTTCTGAACTTGAGGCAGCCAAAACAGCAGGGGTAGGAGTGTGCAAGAGGTTTTGCAACTGTAACTTTTTTTTTTCCCCCCCAGGAGAAGACAGAAACTACACAGGAGAGCCAAAGGAGAATGTTCTCCTTTGTCAGGCACTGCAAACATTTTTCCCCAATTCTGGACTTCAGACATGTATTGTTTCCTTCAAAGGCCAACAGATATCCAAGAACTGCTGTAACATTAACCATAATATTAATGTCACGGACAAACTGACTCTCATGGTAGAGGAAAGAGACTTCACTGAAGCTGAAACAAGACATCTAACCAAGCGTAAAGTCAGAGGGACCACAACAGTATCAAAGTCATTCAAGAAATCCAGATCATTGCAGCTTCACCGAGAATCACTTGCAGACCCAGAGGACAGTGACCAGGACAGGAAGCTTACACTGAGCAGCACTGAATCAGACGAGGATGTGTTGGAAAAAAATAGAGACACAAATGAATACCCACACTCTCCTACTTTCTGATCTGTTAATGATTTGTCAGATGACTTCACACCAAAAGCTACTGCCAGCATATTCAAGTGATGTGTCAATTTTTAGCACTGCAGGGATGTATATAACTTAATCCATTTTTGCAAAACATACAGGGTTTGTTTGGGGTTTCTGTCCAGTGCATGAATCCTGTTCAGCATAACAATGTCCAGATGACATTCCCTCATTTTGCCTTCCAGAGTTCCATCTGTAGTCTCTCTCTCAGGGTTTAAAGACTATGCCAGCAGTCAGATAAGCACATACTGCCTCAAACTAATACAACTTCAAGCTGCTGTTGAAGAAGCAGTACTATCCTTTTCTCAGCAGAAGCTGATGCAGGCAGCACCAAATGAACACAGATAACTTAGAATCAGCAGTCTACTTGAACTGCCACATTTTAAATACTTTTAATTTATCCTTAGGAAACCAGTACTTGTTCATTTCCCCCATCTTAAAATCCAGAGAGGATAAAAAACAGCCACCTAAAGTTTAACGAGACCTGTGAGCTCAGAAAGGGGTCCAGAAAGCTGCCAGTTTCTCTTACTGCCTTAATATTTCATACTTCCTTCAGAAAATAAATTTTAGATACTTCATAAAATTAATAAAAATCCAACTGACATCCACCTCTCAGTCAACCACGCACTATGCTAGAAAACCACATTTCCAGTAAGCAAGTATATGAACATGAAACACAGTTTTATTGTTTATTTCTTTACAGCATTTTACTCTGGATACTTGATATTACATATCTTGGGGTCTGTGAGAAATTGTGGGTTCTTAAGCACAACTGGCATAAATCCTGTAAAAAGATAAGATGGAGGTATTCTTAATAGAAAAGTAAGCTTGCCTTAGAAAACTCGGAAGCATAATCGTACTTACCAAGTACTTGAGCTCTTCTAATGGCTTTTGTAACTTCCCTCTGCTTCTTGTGGCACAAGCCTAAGGAGATGAATTATTTTCAACACTAAACAAGCCATTAGTCTAAAGGGTGAAAGGGATATTACTGATAATTCCCTCTATCTTTGTCTAGTCTTCCTAGAAAAATGCACATGTGCTTTTACTGTTACATACAAAATGCATATAACTAAGGGATATTTTTATTCCTTGATGCAGGCTACTAAGTCAGAGGAATACTCTTACAAAACATATAGAGTTGGTAGCAGTTACTTTTGGAAAGATTGCTGATGCGCAGTTACTTAGAAGAACATGAATATTAACCAGTAAATTTTTAATTTAATACTTCACATACCTGTTATATGTCTGCCATAAATGCAGCCAGTATAAGGAGAAACAAACTGGGAAAGAAGCTACTTAAAAATAAGAAAATCAAAGTCAGTTTAAGAACTTTTTTTAGATATTTATGTTACTACTTGCCCTCTTGTTTTTCTTTTTTTTTCCCCCATCTGTTTTTACAAAACACAGTTCTACCTAAAGAAAAAGTAGAGCTTGGAACTAAACAGTATTTTCTATGGCATAACATTTAAGCTGTATGACAGATGGATTGTAACCAAGGACCCTTATTTGGTAAATGACAAAATTGTCACACTAACACACAGAACTAGTAGCTTGATCAGCTTATAACTACATTATTTGACCCTTAATCTGCACACATTTTCAAGTTTTAAACTCCTACACATATGAATGGATTTTTATGTTTGGGGGGTTTTTTTGTTTGTTTGTTTGTTTGTTTTTTCCAGTTCTTGTGGACTTCTGACACACACATTTAAAAATCATAAACCACTTACCTTCATCCGAGGACATGAGTTTTCACTCACCTGCACATTCTTGTAGTCCACATTTATTTCACATAAGATACATCTTTTTGGAGGCTCCTTATAAGGGTTCTCCATTTGTATAGGCTGAAATTAGAGAATTTTTAACATCTTTAAGCTTCACCAGAAAATAAAGAACATTTGTTACTTTGAATCCTTCAGGCAAGATAGACCTTGAAACCAAAAGAGATATTTAGGGCACCACTGAACTTTTTAAATAACTTCCCTAACTCTGTTTCCCTAACACACTGTTTGGTACAGAGCCATCTAAAAGACTTCTCACATGTAAACAGCCTTTTATATTCTAGTAATAATGATACTGTAACAAGTCTATTAAAGCATTCAGTGAGATGGTGCTTACACCTGTTACTAAGAAGTCAATATTTGCAGAAGCTGGTAGTGAGGTAGCTCTGTCTGATAAGTCACAAGAGTCTCTTTTTGAAAAGAATTTCAAAGCAAGTGGCCTGAGGGAGCTCCTGTCTGCTCGCACACTTTAAAGAGAGATTTCCAAGGACTGAAAGGCTCCTCAAGCTTCAGAATACACCCAACACCAAATCCTCGCAAGAAATCACAGAATTGTCAGGGTCGGAAGGGACCTTTGGAGATCATCCAGTCCAACACCCCTGCCAAGGCAGGGTCATCCTATTGCACAGGACTGCCATCCAGGTGGGTTTGGAATGTCTCCAGAAAGGGAGACTCTACAACCACCCTGTTGTGGCAGCCCGTTCTAGTGCTCTGCCACCCTCAGTGTACAGAAGTTCTTCCTCATGCTGAGGTGGAACTTCTTGTGTTTCAGTTTATGGCTACTGCTCCTTGTCCAGTCACTGGGCACAACCAAAAAAGGTCTGGCACCATCCTCTGGGCACCTGCCTTTGAGGTATTTATATGCACTTTGCAGGCACAGGTAGAATTTGGGCAGAAAAGGAATATTTTAAGAAGTTTTTGCTGGTGCCAAAACCCACATATTTTTTTAATGTAAACCTAGTGCACTCTCTTAAGTCTTTCCCTCAGCTATATAGAGGAAACTAGCTGGTGCCACCAAAGCTTTTGCTCCACATTCGGGTTACTGAGGCAGCAGGTTTAAGGACTATAGTTAGAATTCTGAAATACAGGTCAATGGTGCCGTAACTCTCAGCACCCGGTGACCTCCTGTTCTGTAACACAACGGATCCGTAGCCACCAGGGCAAAGCCTTTTCAGACACGGCTGAAAACGGAGAATCGGGCTTTTTCAGCCCGGCCGAAGCCGCTCCTGCGCAGGGTGGGCGGCGGGACGGGGGTTCGGGGGAGCCTCACCTGGTCGGGGTGCTCGGGTTGCGCCTGGGGCTGCCCCTCGTGCTGCAGGCGGCGCGGGCGCGCCCACAGCGCCGCTGCAAGGGAGAGAGCGACAGGGTTAGTGGCGGCGCTGTGGGCCGGGGGGAGTGAGGAACGGGGGGAGGAGGGAGCGAAAGGGACGCACCGGGAACCAGCCGCCGCCAATAACCCTGCGCCGACACGGCCCGCGCCGCCATGATACCCGCGCACGGCCACTTCCGCCCGCGCGTCACTGCCGCCCGCCGGCCAATGGCGGAGTGGTCTGCCCCGCTCGGGGCAGGCGATTGGCCGTCGCGTTGTCACGTGCCCGTCGCGGCGGGTTGTTGCCGGAAGTGCCCGCTCCCGCTTCATGGCGGCCGCACCTCGCCCGCGCGACTGGGTGTCCTCTCGTCCTGTCCCGCCGCGGCCGTGACGGCCCCGCGCAGCCCCGGCCGCAGGGCGGCGGCTGGGGCTGGGACCGGGGCATGGCCGAGCCCGGCCTCGCGGTGCGGAGGAAGAGCCGCCCCAGCTCGGAGCGCAAGAGGAGCGGCGCCCCGGTGCAGCCCAGCGCCACCAGCTCGCCGGTGGCTCCCAAGAGACCGAGCTCTGGTGGCGAGGGGCCACCGCCGGCGGAGCCCCCGGTAGGGGATGGCGGGGTCCTAGGGCTGGTATCGGGGCGGGGGAGCTCCATCTGGGAGCGTGGAATGTCCCAGACCGAGCCTGCGTGGCGTGTGTCGGGAAGGGCCGTGCTTTGTACGAGAGGGGATGATCCCGTTTGGCTTTACCTTTAAAAAAGCTCATCTCCATCAGCTCTCTGTGCAGGCATCCATCCTGCTTGTAGGTTTGGTTTCACTGAGTCAAGGTGTGTGTTCCTTTAGAACTCGACCTGGGTTTCCCCCACAGACAATATCAGAAAAGGCAATTTTCTTTTAAACTGGGGAAGACCTAGATTATTTGCATCTGATGTGCGTGCTGCACAAGTTATGCTACCTCCTGTGGCGTTGCTTCAGAGTATTGATGCTCACTGTTCTGGTTTTACAGTGCTGTAACGACAGTGAGGAAGACATGTTTGGTGACTATGACAGCTTCTGTGGAAATGATTCTTTGCTAGCTCAAGTGGATGACATCGAACACAAGTACCTGCAGGATAAAAACATGGATGTGAAAGCAGCTAGAGAAATCACAGTTGGGAATCTTCAGTCAGGAATTCACCAGAAAAAACAAGACAACTTCTCTGCTTCAGAAAAGGCATCTGTCCTTAAAGCTGACAAAGAGGGTGCTTGCCAAGTGCAGGACAGAGACCTGGTGGATGGCAGTAGAGAACCAGCTGAATCTCTTTTAGACGACTTGCCATCATCACAACTTTTGTATTTTGAGAAAATGGATGAACTTTCTTCTGCTTTTAGGACATCGCCAGACTCAAAAGAGAGGAGTGAATGTGTGAATTCTTCCTCGAACAAAATCAGGAGCCCGTTGTCTTATTGTGCTGATGCTGAACACAGGAACAGACCTATGGACTTTTCCTCAGACTCCAAGTGTGTTTTATTGAAAACTGAGAGTCTTAAAGATCACCTAAAAAGTGCTATGACTGGGAATGCTAAAGCCCAGACTCTGCAGGTCTCTAAGACCAAGCAGCTTAAAGAAGCTGTTTTATCTGAAGAGATTTTTGTTGCTAGGAAAGCTATTGAATCTTCTTCTGTTGATATAGGCCCTTTTTATGGATTACCTAGCAAAGTTAAAGATTTATTCAGACAACTTCGAGGGATTGAAACACTTTATGGTAGTGTAACTAATGGTTTGTTGGAAAAAAATTGCTAATGGAGTGTTGTCTCTTTCACCCATTACCCTATAAAAATATTTAAGGTAATTTTTGATGTAAACCATGTTGGAAAATAGTTGTTTTGGTTTTGTAAATGGCTTTCTTGGTGTTTTAGGTGGGTGAAAAAGGTTTATATGGCTTATAGAATATACTGTTGAAGGCTTCACTGCTGAAGACTTCTAGTGGTTTATTGAGGAAAAATCCTCAAACACTGGGCTTAAAGTATTCCATGGGAAATGCAGGCATTGTGCTATTGGCTAACATGCCCCTGGGATTGCTAATAGTTCCTTTTTGATTTTTCAGAGTGGCAGCATGATTGCTTAATGTTAGAATCTCTACAGCAAAGAAAGAACTTAATATACTCATTGCCAACCAGTGGTGGAAAAACACTGGTAGCTGAAATAATGATTCTCCAAGAACTACTCTGCAGGCAGAAGGATGTTCTGATGATCCTGCCATATGTTGCCATTGTCCAAGAAAAGGTCTGGATACAGTGTTTCTGATACTGCTTTGTTTGATACTTACATTTTCTGATATGTTTCGTTACCTTGTCGCTTGGCTGGTTTTCAGCAAGCTCCATGATTTTTATGAATATGTGGTGGGAAGTGAGTGAAGTGAATGACCCCTCCTAGATGCTGTTTTGAGGGTCAGTAATTTTGTAATGGAACAGTCATAAATCGTGAGGTGAGGATGCTGAGTTGTAAAGTAAATTTTATGTACGTATATTTATATATAAAGTGAATTTTGAAATAATGGTGCTTTTTTAATGTTTTGTATAGTTCTGCAGCCCAAGAGCTGAGCTGTCCAACTCGCTAAAGAAATGGTCTTGAAATAAAAGCTATCATTTTTTGGTGTAAAGGGAAAGTTAGTTTTAGAGAACAGATGAAACACAACCTGATAATATGTGCAGACACTTCAGTTTTGCAGCTGGCATAGATAGTCATAGCTAATATGTTTTCAGTAATTCAAGCCGTTGATTGTGGTGTGGGTTGATTATTTGTATGTTGAGTTCTTGAGGCAGCTCTGAAATCCAAAATGAGCATGTGTTTGTTCTCTGATTTTTTTCTTTACAGATTAGGGGTTTATCGAGTTTTGGGGTAGAACTCGGTTTCCTGGTTGAAGAATATGCAGGAAGTAAAGGAAGATTTCCACCAATCAAAAGGAGAGTAAAAAAATCTCTTTATATTGCTACCATAGAGAAAGGACATGCTCTGGTGAATTCCTTAATTGAAACAGATAGGATCAGTGACCTTGGTCTGGTTGTCGTAGATGAGGTATGACACAAGACTTACTCAGTTTGATCATATTTTTCTAATATAATTAGCAAACAGTGGTTCTTTGATTGCTTGGTTTTGCTTTGGGTGTTCATCATGGAATTACTACTACTTAACTAAGTTTTTTTTCTGCATTGGTACATAATTCTGTAATATTGAAAGTTATTTTTCATTAACTGAAGCACTTGTTGCTGTATCAGGATGATTCTATATCGAGAGATCTACAGTGTTAATGATTGCTGGTGAATTGTTTAATAACTACTTGTCAATTAGACATCTGTATCAGATTACCAAAAAGCATAAATCATTTTAGTTGTATGGAATGTATTTTATGAAACCCAGAACTTAGCTCCTAAGTGTGAAACCATGTGACTTTGTGTCTGGTATTAACAACTCAATGGAACATTAAAAGAAAAAAAAGAAAAATATCAAGTGACATTTGGCTGTGAGGATTGCCCCTTATTCTGCTTTTTAGTGGTGTGGCTGAGTTGTGCTACTAAGGGTTGATTGTGGGGTTAAATAACATGTATAGGGAGGCTGTTTAATTCATGGAATGCCTCAGGCTGACGGACCTTACTTTAGCACAGGAGCTTCTAAACAGAAGACAGCTGTAGCATTTAATTCTACTCTTTCTGGGAGCTGCCTACTAGAAATTTTTTACTCTGAGTGTTGCTTAAAATGCATTTTGTTGAAAATTACTTTTGACTGGTGAATACAAAAATCTCCGCACTGACTTTTTACTGTCAGGAGTTAACTGTTTGGGTCAATTATGGTCTAGTTAATTGGAAGGTAGATCTTGTCTACATTTGGTCTTGATTCTTAAATGTTGTTTCATTGAGGTTGTACTTCTGGAAGGAGCTTAGCAGTCAAAATTTACAAGCAGAAGTCCAACAAAGAATCCTGTAGTATTTGTTTAGGTCTACATAATTTGTTGGGGGTGATTTAGGTTGGTTTTTTGGGTTTGGTTTTTTTTTTTAGAAATACTCTTAGTAGCATTCTTGCATTTTCTTTTTCTCTTCTGTGCACAGCTGCATATGCTTGGTGAGGGAAGTCGTGGAGCAATACTGGAAATTACTCTTGCGAAAATCCTTTACACCAGTGGTAAGTCATGGCTGCAGTTAATGTTATTAACATATTGTAGTGATGGCATCTCTAGAGGGGAGTCATGCTTTTGCTTTCTGGATTTATGGTGTTCTGGCTGCTTTTGAAAAACATGCCATGACTCCATGCAGTAATGATGTTCATTGACCCTCTAACGATGGGCTGGGTGTTCTTGAAACTTTTTTGATACTTCTCTGCAAAATCCTGAGTATCATCAGTTGTCTTCCATTTCTTTGTAGGAGCCCCTAACCATTCCAATTAAATGCTCTTTTTTTACATCTCAAGTAGTATTTCTTAGCCTAGATCCCCCTTTAATCCGTCTACTTCAGCATTTACGAAAGACTAATGATGAAGAAGCAGGCCTATTAATTAATTACTGAGCAAAAGTGTTAAAAATTGGTCATGTGACAATAAATTCATCTCAACTTCTGTTCTACAGAAAACACACAAATCATTGGAATGAGTGCAACGTTAAATAATGTTGGAGACCTGCAGAAGTTCCTGCGAGCAGAATACTACACCAGTAATTTTAGACCGGTCTGTATGCAAGATACCATAGACTAGTAAAGAAGATATTTGGCTTTAAAGTTACAGTAAATCTGTTTAGGATTGCATCACAGCTTTTTTGCTTAATTTCACTGTACAGTGTAATATAATCCGTTCTATTGCTTGCAGTTGTTACCAATACAATAAATTTCACTGTGCATTTCTAAATGCACAAATGTAGTAACCTTTATATTGTCCTGTTAAGACATTTGTGTCATTTTAACTAAACCAATTTCTAAATTACAGCTACTGTGATAAATCAGTTCTTTTGATGTAACTAGAATCTCTATTACTGGTGCTTGTATGCTGTCAGGACAGTGGTTTTTAATAGTTCATGGGATACTGTATTTATCATTCTTCATCATGATTCAGTGCCTTATCAAGGCAGATAATTAAAACAATTATCTAAAAAATTCTTGATGGGTTGAAGTGTGTGCTTGTGTGTAAGTATGTATATGTCATGTGATGCTTAGAAAAAAGCTTTAGCTGTACATAAGCAATAGCTTGAGAGAAAACTTAGTAATTTAATTAAAGTTTCTGTTCATGGCTTCTATCTGCTAGGTAGAATTAAAGGAGTATGTGAAGATACGAGACACCATTTATGCAGTTGACAGCAAAACAGAAAACGGCTTTACGTTTTCACGTCTCCTTAATTTCAAGGTAAAAACCAAAGTGCTTATAGTTTCTTTGAACTGTTTTTATGAAATGTATTATTATACATTGATTATTTTTAATAGGCTTTTTACTAGAGAAATTGCTTAAACATTATAGTTCATTTGTAGTACCTGTGAGAAAGAAAATGGTGAGCTTTGGGGAGGAAAAAGGCCTTAAAATACTGAACACTTAACTTGATTTTCACTTTATTTTCACTCTTTGAGGTAGAAGTTTCTTCAGTATTTTGACCTGTGAAGAGTAATGGGTTTGAGTATTCCAGATACCCAATGCTTTATGTTTTGGAGTAGATTTTCTCAATGGTTCATCACTTAAGACAGTACTGAAAGAAGATACTTTTTGGGGGGGTTTCCAGCTTATTGCTGGCTTGTAGGGATTCATTTCAACCTTTACAAAGAAAAATGTGTCTTATGGTAGACTGCCAGTATCACAGTATTTCTATGGTGTTGCTAAAAGAAAATGAAGTATTAAGAGGAAAAAGCGAAGAATTTGATTTGTCCATCCTTGTATCCCTGAGTCCAAGCTAGATATGTTAATAAACTCTTTCAAGTGAGAATTGGGAGAAAAGCTTATCGTTCAACTTCTTGAAATTATGCCACATTAAAATAAATAGGTGTATTCTAGCAAAGGTTGAGAACAAGTATTACTTAGTATTGCATACTTAGGTTATGACTTATTAACAAATATTTAAACTTAGAAATTCTGTCTTTATTATAGTATTCTAGTTGTCTGGAGAAAGCGGATCCTGACCACATCATTGCACTGGTTACTGAAGTTATTCCTAATTATTCCTGCCTAATCTTTTGTCCCACCAAAAAGAATTGTGAAAATGTGGCTTCAATGGTGTGCAAGTACCTCAAGAAGTAAGTGTATGTGATGGGGTTTTTTTTTAATTATATATATATTGAATAAAGGATTTATTGTCACTAGTTTGCAAGTGACTTTCCCTGGTGATTAGAAGTAAATACTCTGACTATGGAATCATATGAAGTTGCTAACTGCATAAGTGACAGCAAACCATGGAAGGCTTATTAAAAAAAAGGTTTTTTTAAAAATTCTTGCTTTTAAACCAAATTAGTTGAAAAATGGTTATCAGAGGACAAATGCTAAAGAAAAAAGGAAACGTAATTTAACTTTGTATCCCTTTGGCACTGGTGTAGAAAGAAATTATATTAAAATAAACAACCCCCCTCCCTTGCTATGAAAATTGAAACAATTTTTAAATGTAGCTATAATCTTCACTACTGGCCCTATTTCCTTTCTTTGGTGCATTTAATACCCACACACAATCAATAAATGTTTGATTCCCTTTTGTGCCTGTGCTTATAAATGAGAGGAGAGTTCTATTGCAACTAAATCAGTCCTGTGTATTGCTGTTTTAAAATTACTGAAAATAACCATTTCTCCAACCTAGATGTTAGAGGAATGGATAATGAAGAGAAATAGACAGTAAGCATGTTTCTTAATTTATTTTTTTTTTAGTTAATCGTTGGTCAAAGTCTAAAGAAATACTTTTCCTCCTCCAAGAGAATTTAGAGCTCACAGGGAGAAAGAAAAACAAGATCTCGTCGAGAACCTAAAGAATATTGGAAATGGAAGTGTCTGTCCTGTTCTGAAGCAAACAATCCCTTTTGGTATTGCCTATCACCACAGTGGCCTTACAAATGATGAAAGAAAAAGCATAGAGGAAGCATATTCTTCAGGTGTCCTGTGTCTACTTGCTTGCACAGCTACCTTGGCTGCTGGAGTCAACTTGCCAGCTAGAAGGTTAATAACCAAAACATATTTCATTTTTTTAATAAATTTTTACTTTGTAAAAAAAAATGCTTTAATAAGTTGGAAATATCAGTGCTATTTAAAGTGTGTTTCTGCTTTTACTAGCAAATTGGAAATATAAGGGATTTTGTGCTCAACTTGGGACACAAGACTGCAAAGTTTTTATGTAGGAAATGTGAGTCAGTAGCAAGTCCCTCAGAATGCATAGCTGAAGAGCACTTACTTAAATAGAATAAGGAAATGTTAATAAATGGAAGAAATATTATAGTATTTTACTAATGTTATTCAGGAGTATAGTGGTTTCTTTAGAATTTGACCTAAGAACAGTGTTTAAATTGGAAAATAAATATTTTCTAAGGAGTTAGTTTGAACACAAAAAGTTAGTTTCAACACAAAAATGCATTATCTTTTCATGTACAAGTGTTGATGATATGATTGCTGTACTCTGCATGACCAAAGACTATTTGCTAAGAGTCCACTTCTGTGTGTTGGAATTCTGAGGGGAGAAACAAAATTCATAGGGACAAGTCTTGTCTTTTTAGCATAACTCATGTATGGTCAGTGTTGAGCATGTTTTTTTCTGTAGGATTTATTTTATATCTCAGTGATTTTCATCTTAAACTCAGGCCTAAGTACATGTAAAAACTAGTTTCAAAGGTTCTGCAAAACATAATGAACATGGCTTACCATTTAATAAACCTTAAGTTGTTAAATGCTTTGCATCTGATTTACGCATCTGTTCAAAGAGGTGCAGTAGATTTTTATTAGTTATTAGGTAAGGAGCATATGTAAAGAATGAATTTGTATCATTTTGTTGCTGCTTTAGTAATTTGAGTATAAAGTATAACTTATTAAAGGCTTCTTTACAGGGTTATTCTCAGAGCTCCTTATGTTGCTAATGACTTCCTGAAGAAGAACCAGTATAAACAAATGATTGGCAGAGCTGGTCGAGCCGGTATTGACGATGCTGGAGAAAGTATTCTCATAGTGCAAGAAAAAGACAAACACTTGGTAATTTTTACAAAACTGTTGGTAATTTAAGTTGCTGTGTTAAGTTGGTGAAATAAGCAGGAGGAGCTGGGCTGCCTAGCTTAATTTTTGTTCACTTCTTAATGTTGCAAATATTTAGCTTATATAATAATACCTTTAAATGACCTTTATGTGATTTGTTTTCAGATCTGAACTGTAAAATTTAGATGTTTACACTTTTATTCTTTATGAGCTGAATCTTGCATATCAGTGTGGTTTTTTAAAGTGTAAAATTAATGCATAAATATTTCCCCTGTACAAGTACATTTCTTGCTCTTTTTAGGTTCGGGATTTAGTTAATAGTCCTTTGGAGAATTGTTACAGCAATCTTCTGCTGGAGTTGACCAAGGGAATGCAGAGCCTGTTGTTGTCTTTGGTTGGACTGAAGGTATCAGTTAACTCTTCTCTGTGAGTAACTTAAGTGCTTGGAAATGTGAAGAAAATGTTACCTGTTGATTCTGTAGAAAAAAAGCAGACTTCTTAAACTTCAAAACAGCTTCCAGTCAGATAAGAAGGGCAAAGGTTTGATTAGTCTTTACTTAATAGCTGAGTTAAATAAAATAATGTAATATGACAGTTTCCTTATGTGTAAAAGCAAAAATGGTATCTACCTTATTGTACAATACAGTATTAATATTTCTATTTCTGATACTTGATTCAAATAGAAACAGTGGAAACAAATTAACATGATGTAGTAGCTCGAATAATAGACCAGGTAGAGAGCAGTCCCATCAGATCCGCCATAGGCTGCCTATCATGCTGTTTGTTGTCGTGTGTTCCTATAGAAACACATCAACAGGATATCAAACTTCTTCTCTGTTTGGTAAATTTTTTCCTATATCTTATGAAATTATCACTTCCAATACTGTTGCAGATAGCAGTTACCTGTGAGGAGGTCAACAATTTTATGTGCGGTACATTGCTGGGTGTTCAGCAGCAGCTGCTGTCTAAAGAGAAGAGCCTCTCAGAGGTAATTAAAGATGGACTAGAAAATCTAATAGAAAAAGGACTCCTAAAAGGAAGAATATCTGAGAAGGACCACAATTCCAAATGTACACTAACAATCACACCGTTGGGAAAAGCTACGTATAAAGGTGAGGCTTTTTTTATTCTTCTTATAATATATATTCCAACAAATCCTTCATTTCAGCCTTATCTCAGTTTGGTCCTTTTTCCCATCTTCAGTCTGAAACTGCAACAAAAAATAAGTTTAGAAAGTTTTACTGAATGATGTGCTGAACTGAAAATGGGAATGAACAAGTAGCACATGGCTGAATGGGATGGGAATGAAGTGTAATAATATTGATCCCAGTGGGAGCAAAACCAGAAGTGTACCCCTAAAGAAATTACTTAAAAATTTGATTTAGTGGTTGTGATCAAAGTGCTCAGGACCTTGTTTTATAATTCATTGTTATGAACAGTCATTGTGAACAAAGGGATTTCTTGACTAGAGGGAAGCTTAAGATGGAAAAGGAGCATATGACGTAAACCAATTGTAATAATGAAGAGAACGTATCAGGAAGTTCTGTTTTCCTGGCATAGCATAAAGATTTTGGGGTATGGAACACAACTGGAATAAGATGAATCTGAAAGGTTCCTGTGTCTACCACACAGAACAGACAGACATGGAAATAGGTGGCTACCTTTCCTCAGTTTTGTTTCACTGCTCGTGTTAGGTTAGAACAATTATTCAGGTTACAGGTTATTTCTCCTCAATTCAGATGGCATAACAAGCTTTTGTGGAAGATAAAGATAATATTGACTATGTTAAAATCTATTGCACTTGACTGCGTGCCTGTTTATAATTGCAATACACTCTGTACTTATTCTAGGATCTATAGACTTGGCATACTGCAATCTTCTGTACAGGGACTTGAAGAAAGGTTTGGAGGGGCTAATTCTTGAGAGCAATCTTCATCTCCTGTATCTGGCAACTCCTTATGATGTGACTTCTAGCTGTAGCCCAGATTGGATGATATACTTGAGACAGGTGAGAATTTGCTAGCAAACATGCATTGGGACATAGAACAATCCTGCTTATTAAATTTGCCGTGAGTTTATATGCATAGGAAATGTAGCTAGCAGGGTAGCAATGTAATGACAAGATATGTTGTTTTATTTTCAGAGGCAGGGCAGAACTGCTTTCCTGTGCTGCATAAAAATCTAAGTTCTCTTTTGTACTTATAATATTTGACCCTGTTTGGGGAAAACAGTGGCATGAAACATATCTAGAGTTGCCAGTACTCTAAATCCTACCTCTAACCTTGGTACTTGCCTTGCATTGCCAAAGTCTGGTTTATCTTAAACAAGACTTTCCTATAAACTAGTTATATGTAGCCACATCACTGTCATCCTGCAAGAAAACCACTATTAAATTAATCAAGAGCCATGTTTACCTTCTGATGAGCATTCATTTATATGTGTAATTTAAGGAGCAAAATCCACTAGAGATTTAACCATTTTTTGATATGTCTAATGATGAGTCTAATACTAAACTCCAGCCATGACTGTAGCTATTACACTGTGGCCAATACTTTTCCTACAGACTATGTTTGTGTCAGCCTAAGCAGCACTGCCCTCATTCTAGTCTTGCATGCTTTGCAAGATCCACCCATAATTCAACTATTCTGCTTTCTGTAAAGTGTTGTGTACTGGGGGAGCACTAAAATTTATTTTAGTGATGGCATTCAGAGATGGGCATTTACAGATAATTCAGATAAGTGGGAAAAGAGACTACAGATCTGACTGTCTAGTGACTACAGTACTAGTCCAGTGATGAAGTACTCTGTAGAGATACTGAAAAACATTCAAAAGTGTAAATAATACACTTCTTTCTATAACATTAAGAGAACTAAACATCTGAAAATTCTTTGTGAAATCTTATTTTAGTTCAACCAACTAAGTGCAGCAGAGCAAAAAGTAGCAGATATTGTGGGAGTGCCTGAAAGCTTTATTACAAAAAAGGCTTCTGGTCAAGCCATCAGAAAGGTAGGCTGGAGATTTCTCATACCTAAGATGACTGTTTAGTAATTTTATTTGATTATTTACAAAATCTAGATTGTTTACAAATTCTAGATTATTTTTCTGCCAGTGTTCCCTATTACTGTTCTAATTATTAAAGTTCTTTTAACCTCATTGCTTGGTTTTCTTAATGTTTAATGTCTTTGGGTATAATATAGAAATGTTTTAGGGCTGTGAAGGAGTAGAAAGATGAAAAGAATTTCCTTACAGTAGTAACAGAAAATCTGCAGTTTGATATGAGGTCTGAATTTTAGCTTGTTTTATTCCTAGAATGTGGACAGTGCTGTGGTAAACAGGCTCTACCTGACGTTTGTCCTTTATACTCTGGTGAAAGAGACCAATATATGGAACGTTTCAGAGAAATTTAATATGTCTCGAGGATATGTGCAAAATCTTCTTAATTCTGCTGCCTCGTTCGCCTCCTGTCTTCTACACTTCTGTGAGGTAGTGTGTTAAATGAATGTAAATAAATCCTCTGTGGTTGGTTTTGCAAAATCTGGAGTTTTGTTCTCTTACTTTAGAACTGAACTCGGGTGTTGTATTTCACCTTTCCCGTGCAAAACTGTCTTTTCATCTTTCCTGTTCAAAATTATTTTTCCTGTTGAGAAAAGCAGCCTTGTAAAGTCATTTTTCTGATACTAGAAGTAAGCTTTATGCACTGAGAATGTGAAAATACGCAAACTGTATGGGGCAGTGATCAGTGTTGTTGGTGAAATATATGGCAGTTTTACCTTTCTCTTGGAAATAAGGTCATCTGGTTGTGGAACGTCAGCTCGGGAAAAGAGTTGTCTTGTTCTCTTGGGTTTCTTTCCTCTATTGAAATAATGCATTGCTTGTCCTTCAAAACTGCCCCAACCTTGGGATGTTCAGCTGGAGTGCTGAACACAACTCTGCAACTGGCTAAAAGGATAATTAGAAATAACAGTGCTTCCCCTGTCCAAAAGCCAAATATACGCTTGTTACCGTAGCAGAGCTTTTATCAGTAGTGTCCCCCAAATACAGAATTTAAGATCTGATTTTTAGTGATCTCTGTCTCTGCAGGAATTGGAAGAATTCTGGGTTTATAAAGCCTTGCTGACAGAACTTACCAAGCAGCTGACATACTGTGTTAAGACAGAACTCATCCCTCTGATGGAGGTAGCAGGGGTTCTAGAGGTTAGTAAACGTGGCTTTATGAAATTTTTCAGTGTGAACTTGTATGTGAAATGTTACTGTGCCTTTCAAGTATATCTGGAAGATCAGGCTAGTTTGTTATGGAGAATTCAGCAAAATGCAGATATTCTACAACAATCTGGAGGTTGGGGGAAAAGTGGTCTGTTGAGGAAATGTGAGCTGGAGCCAATAATGTTTTTCTTCTGGCTGCTGCCACGGCAACAGTGAAAATCCTCTATTTGGACAATAATTTAGCTGTATCCTCAGTTGGAAAACAGAGTCCAGGTTTCTTTTGTGGTAAGAATTCTTCAGTTCATAAGAGTAAAGAGGAATAAGAATTTACATATTTAAATTAGAAGATCCTCACAGAAATATGTGAAGTCCTATTGGGAACTTAGGCTTTTGCAAATCATTTGCAGCGCTACATGTACTTTAAATAAGAAATTTAACCAGTTTCTGAATCAAGGATTCCTATTAAAGTATAAAATCTTTTGGGGCTTCAGTCCAAGGTTATACTCTCTGCAAAATGATTTAACTTGCCTGTCCAGCCTGTTATAGAATCAGTTTGTCAGGAAACCATTGAATTTAGTGGCAATAAGGTTTTATTCTCAAAAGCTAAACAATGAAGACTTGAAATCTAATCAGCTGTTGGGTTTTTTATATATATCAAATTTTTTGAAAAAGATAAGTAGTAATTTTTTCATGGCTCACTCCATATGAAACCATTTCTGTGTAAGGCCAAAAACTGCCTGGACAGCATGATTCTGATAAAGTTGTGTTTGATTCTGATAAAGTTGAAGGAGACCCTTCAAAAAAATTATTGCTGTAACCAAGATACTTCTGCCCTGGAGTTTAAATTATACCAGCAGCTGATATTTGTAGCAGGTAAACTGTCCTCCTGAACAGATGTAACTTGCTTAGATTTCTGTGGAGGAGATGATAGAATCAGTCTTGAGAGTATTGTCATGAAAGAGAATTATTTACACATTTACTTGGGCAGTTTTCAAAGAGCAATCTAAACCCTTTTCATGAGATTTAAGTAATTAGTTGGAAAAGATTCTATGTTATTTGTCATACTGTGCATATAACAGCCAAATAGGGCACAGGAAATACTTGTTGGCAATTAGTCGCTACTTCTGGTGAAATTAATGACACCTATTTCACATCTATGAACATGCATGGAGGAAGATTATATATTGTAAACTATTGCCTGTTGGATGCTAAAAGACCCCAAATTAGCCATCAAAGTTTTTCTATTCCTTGTTGTCTTTAAAAGAGGTGAGGGGGGAAAAAACCCAAAAGGTAATTAACCAAATGTTTGTTCCTCGAATGGGCATTTATTTCATAACTCATATTGGGTATGATACATTACTCCACTACTATTGTAGAAATTCATTTTAATTTAAGTTCTAGCATTATTTGTTTTGCAAAAGAAATTTGTTTGCCCAGAGACCCTCCGTTAAGCAAATTCTGCTTGGTTGCTTTACATAGGCAACAGGATCAGAGTCAAAAGAAGCAGATAATGCCCACCCTCTTACACTGTTGATAATCACATTCCAGAGAATTACTCCTGTGATGTGCATCTCTCCTGTGTATGTGGATTCACAGCCATGACTTCGCACAAAATTGGAGAAATAAAAAAGATTACTGTGATACTAAAGGAAAAATTATTTATAAGCTTGAAACAGAAAGTGTAGCCTCTTCTGGAATTTTGTGAAAACTCTCTCTGTAGTCAGCCCTCCTTTCACTTAGACACCTCCAAAGAATGTGAGACAGTTGTTGGTGCCAGTGACAGTGAATGCAGAAACCCTGATAACAAGAGAAGATGGCAGAGTCAGTATCATCTAGGCTCAGAAAATAAGGGGTTCCTAAGAGCTGGGGGAAATTGTTGGGGGAGGTAGATTTTAGCGGTAAAAAGCTGTGCTTTTAAGGAGTAAATTCTCAGTGAGTATTCATATTAGGGAACAGAGAATTGGATTGATACACAGAATAAAATATTTGAGGTTGGTGCAGAGATTGGCACTTAACAGTAATTCTTACTGCCTGTTCTAATAATCTAACACAATTCTGTACTTTCAGGCAAGAGCAAAACAGCTTTATAATGCAGGGTACAAAACTTTAGCACACTTGGCTAATGCAAATCCAGAAACTCTGATAAAGATGATTGAGCACTTGTCACGACGTCAAGCCAAACAAATTGTTTCATCTGCAAAGGTAAGTTAGAAACAAAGTTATAAAAACCTGCTTCAGAACTCCAGCATGTCAAAAGTGGATGTTTGAATGACATTAAAAGTGAAGGATTCAGTTTACTAATTAGTGGATATTTGTGATCCAAATACTGATCTGTAGTAAGAACAACCTGTTACATACAGGATAGTTCCAAGTTGTGCTCCTTTTCAGAGGGGAAGCAAAAGGAAAAAATGTTTGACGGCTTGTCTGATAAAATACAGGAACTAAATGACTACACTGATCTCCCTGCTGAGTTGTTGTAAGTGGAAATGCTTGATTCTGCCAATATCTCAGGACTTACCTTACAGAAATTCTAGTGGTAGTTGTGGCAACATAACAGTATTTTCAGGATTCTAGAAATGTAAACCAACAAGGCATAGGCAACTACCTATGTAGTTGCTTTTGTCATGCCCTGTTATTCTTTCCTTCCTTTTCCATTTTGAATAGGCATCACGAGAAGAGCCTTCACTTAGTATCTGCCTCTAAGGTACCCTTATTGCCTTTGACACACATAAATAAACAAAGGGAAAGGTTCTGTAACAAACATTGAATTTTGTCTAAACAAAAAATATACAGGAAGTACTTTATCAATGGTAGCATTTTCTCTCCTCTATCTCCATTAATCATCTGCTGCTACAATGGTATTGGCTTCATGTTGGATTCTGCTGAAAGAACAGGATTTTGGTGAAGTAAGGAAATGTCTAGAATGAATGAATGGGGGGTTGGTGTAAAATTGAGACGGTCAATAACGAAGTCTTGGTTTGTATATTCTCATGGAGTAAACATACTAACTTTGAGGTTTATGCACTTGAAAGGTCACATTTGTTTAATGTTGTTGTAGGCTTCTTGCTGCTCTTTTTTTTCTTATGCTGCTTTGTGAGCCAGAAGAGAGGGATATATGCAGATTCCTCATCCACATCAATGTCAAATCCAACAATCTAGCTTACGCTCATGCTCAGATATTAAATTAATGGAGTTTTCTCTAACTGGGAAGTTGGAAGAGTGCTTGCATGGAGGCCTGTTCTTCCCCAGCTGCCAGCAACAAACAGCTCAGTTGCTGATACTGGGACTCCTCTATGTCTGGTGTAAAATGCTGTAGTAAGAAATTTCATATAAAGCAAGAAATTGGCAACTTGTCAGGCACAACTTAAAAGTGTTTATTCCAATGTGGAAAATAAATGTTTAAGGTTAAAGATTATCCTTAGTAGTTACAGACAAAACTGTTTAGTTCTGTAAATTTTATGTACTGTGGCAGAATTGAGAAAAACAGCTGTGTACTGTATGAATTTTTATGTGACTGCTTTTTATATGGGTGTATACTAATCAGTAAGACATGTTGGTAGTAGTACTTGTGCACAAGTTAGTCCTTTGAGGCAAAGGTCCTGTGATCACTGTGGTCCTGTGGGCAGCAGCAGAGGTCTTTCACAGACCAGGTGCAATTTTGGAAAGAAACATTGGTGTTTTAACCTAACAATTACATCTAATGCTTGTATTTGTTTTCTAATTTTTTTTGTTTGTTTTTGTCACTGTAGATGCTGCTGAGTGAAAAAGCTGAGGCTTTACAAGAAGAAGTTGAAGAACTCCTAAAGGTGCCTACAGATATCCCAGGGACCCACTGACCAACTGTCATGGAGAAAAATCATGTCCAAAATTTGGATATTTTAAATTTTTTAACTTTCCCGTGTAACGCTGCTGCAATGTAATAAATATTTAATGTCTTTTGTATACCACAATTCTGTGTGAGTTCTGAGTTCAGAATGTTTCTTGGAAAGTTGACTTCATTTGAATGGTTGGATTATGAGCAGTAGGCTAGAGTCAGAAGATGTGATCTTAATTCATTCCTGGTTTCAAACATAGCCCTAGGAGTGCTTTGGGGATTGGACTAACTGCCTGGTGTGTACTTCTGCTGGGAGCTTAGGTTCATAGTTGACTTAAATAATATCTTTATTTTGGATACTCCCTTTAGGACACATGGGCTTGAGTGAGCTACTCCAAAATTCCTACTTGGAGGATTCTTTGTTCTCTAGGTATAGCTAACAGAAGGAGAGAAATAGAGCTGCAATTCTTAATAAAGAAGCTGTCCCAGAGTTGTGCAAGAAATTGTAAATGATGCCTAGTTTAAGCCTTCTTAAAAGATGCAAATATAAATTCATATTCAGCCTTTGGCCATTCCCTGAAATAATTTTTTCAGGATGTATCTGTAGCTGTCTTCCAAACAAAAAGTTTACTTTTTTTAAAATGTTTTTTTAATTACTTACTTAAATGTAAAGACGAAGTTTTGAAGAACTGACTTTTGAGAAGCCGTATCAAGTTCTGAGACTCCATGGGCATGTGTCAGTCACAGTTAGGATTTCTAAAGATATCTGAACCAGATTTGTTCCAGCAAAAAGTTAGGGCTCGTGGAAGTAGTTCTGAGGATGCCTGAAACTTCCTCAGTTGTGATAAAGTAAACTTTGCAAAGCTGGTGTCTAGTACTGGACAATGGTAGAGCACTGCCCATTAAGACAAACTTGAAAGCTGGGATAGAGTGGTGGGTTAAGTCATAGAATCATAGAATGGTTTGGGTTGGAAGGGATCTTAAAGATCACGTAGTTTCATCTCTGTTTTAGTCAGGGACACTTTTCACTAGACCAGGTTGCTCAGAGCCCCATCCAACCTGTCCTTGAACACTTTCGGGGATGGGGCATCCTCAACCACTCTGGGAGACCTGTGCCAGTGTCTCACCACCCTCATAGAAAAAAAATGTATTCCTAACATCCACTCTAAATACCTCCATTCCCTCTTGTCCTATCACTATCTGCCTGTGTAAAAAGTCTCTCTTCCTCTTTTTTTATAAGTCCTGGAGCCTTCTGCAGGCTGAACAACCCCAGCTCTCTCACCCTGTTTTTATAGGAGAAGGGCTGCAGCCCTCTGATCACCTTCATGACGTCCTCTGAACCTGCTCCAACAGGTCCCTGTCTTTCTTGTGCTGAGGACCCCGGACCTGGGTGTAGTATTCCAGGTAGGGTCCACAAGGACACAAAAGTAGTTTTGAATTATGGTAGCCAGTATAGTGGCACACCTGAACATGGCATTTCTCTGCAAAATCAGGTGTCTCTTCTCAGTAAAGCAAAATTAAGATAAACCTTATTTAAACTGTGTGTTTGTTACTCAACTTTGGTTAATTATGTTGCCGTTCTGGAAATAAACAAGAATGGTTTTAAATCCAGTGGGGCCATTAAATGTTGAATGCTTGATTGAAAGGAGTTATGGTGAAAAACTGATGAAAATGCTAGTATTGTACTGCTCATAGGTAGCAATTGAATAAATTCTTTATTTAGCAAAAACATACCTCTACTTATGATAATTCATAGTGGCTTACGAAGTTTGCATAAGTGCAATATTTGAGTGCATTCAGTATTAAACCAGGTCAAGAATTTAAACCCAACACTTTTTAGAGGCAGCATGATTCATTTCCACTGGTTGATTGAGTTCCTCTAGAGGAATCCTGTTACTGATCCTGAAAGCTGAGGCATAAATGGCTTTGGAAACAGAAAATTAAGTTTACTCTAGCAATAATTGGCCCTCAAGGGCAGAAGCAGTATTTGCCATGACTTGAGGCTGTGTAAGTCTGTCTCTTAATGCCTTACCCTTCTAATTGAGATATATTTTTCACCAAATGATAGATAGTTTTAAATTCTCTATTGGTTTATTTGTGTTACATTCAAAAGACAGATGATGCTCACTCCAGCATAACTGTATGTACCTAAGTAGTTGATGTAGTACACATATAAGAAAATTTTAGTGATGCTCTTAAGGTCTAACCAAGTTGCTCTAAAGTTTTATTGGTGGTTTCTCCAGAGTTTGGTACAGTCTTGCATGGATTTTGGGGGGAAAAAAACACCAAAAAACAAAACAAGGAGCAAGTTACTGTAAAATTATTCACTCTGAGTAGTGATTTATTGCAATAACTGATGTTGTGGGAATAATCCATTAATTACTGCGTTAACTACGAGTAGTTAATGAGGCAGTAACCTCTGTCACAATGATATTTGTACTTGCATGCTTATCAGAGTGTACGTTTTTATTTTTATACAGCGGAGGGGAACAGGAAGAATATTTTTTCCTACCAGTTGCTAACTGTAACCTCACACTGTCCATCACTAACAACCAGCACTGTTGCGAGTTCAGATTTTGACCTGATGGATGCTTGGAAAGGAAGTCAAGTATTCCCTAGAAATGTCGGATCTTCTTTGAAAATGGTAGGAAAAGCTAGTTTGAAACAAGTGAGTGGTTTCAGATCTGCATGAAGCTGGTCTGGAAAGAAAAAGAGGCTGACATTTGTTGTCTCTGCTGTTCTGTTTACACAGGCTGTGCTCTGCCAGATGGATGAGTGCAACTCCCCCAAGGCTTTCTCTGTGACCTTTGAGAACATCAGAAGTGAAATGAATGAAGCTGCTCTAATTTGTACTGAAACTCTGATATATGTAGCTTATCTTATTTTTCTGAAATCAAGCTTGTCAAGCAAGGCAGTACGTGCACTTTAGACTGCTTACTGTTTCTACAATATGTATTAGTGTATGATCAAATGCTTTTCATATAAAGCTTTCTTACCTGGGCTTTTCCCCTGGGTGGAGATGGGAAAAGGGAAAAAAGGTATAAAACAGATGTTGGTCATGATATTTTTGTGCTGCCGGATGATGCTGAAGTGCTTCAGTGTCAAGTACACTACTGGGCTCATTATATATATACATACACATATATATATATGTAACATGTAGGTGTTGGAATGGGTATGGTTTGGTTTGGTGGATGTGCTATGGGAAAGCTTGTGGTAAGGATGAGTTCAGGATGCTTTGTAAAGCAAAGATTTCTCACTTGCTTCAATGGGATGTTTCTATCCTAAAGCCTGTGTTAAAGGGAAAGAAGCAACATTGATGAATTTATCTTACTTCTATGTGAAATAACAGCAGGTGCTTCAAAGCTAAGGTAGGTCATAAAAATATGCCCTGTAGGATGTTCCAGCCAATGCCTTCATAACCCCCAGTAAATTGAATCAGAGCTATGGTGTGTGCAGTCTCTTCAGGTGCAAAATAAGTGTTCTGACCTAAAACCTCAGAGCGTATTTCTTAGTCTTTGTGCCTATTCACTCCACTTTCCAACTTATCCACAGAGACCAATTTTTTGTGTATGTGTGATTCCCTTCCTTCTCCTGAGTCATAATTCTGTGCTTTTAGGAATCCCTGTATGTAACTTATTTAAAATGTCTCTCTGCAAAGACTGGTAAGAGGGTCAGCCTTAGGTTAACGTTTAGCTGTTAATTTCTATTGTGTGAACAAGACCTATTGTGTTCCTCTGTTCTAGAAAGCCATTTCCACATGAGTTAGTCCTGCCTAGGCAGCTCTCACTTTGTCCGTCCTTTTAAAGCTTCATTTCATCTCTTTCAGCACGGTGGTCCAGCTCTGTGCATCAGTTGCAATGAGAGGCAAATATTCTCACTTAAAAGCTTTGTTCTGCTTAGTGGGAGGCGGAGTGATTTTGGTGTGTTCCACAGCTCCCACCGCACCTGAATCTGTCAGTTGCACACTCGGTGGAAACAGTCTTTTAGAACTATCTATAAAGCTGTGTGCACTTCAAAGAGAACTGCTAAAAGCTAGACCCACGGTGTTATTTCCAGCTCTGGATAAACAGAGCGTGTGCTGTCTCAGCCTCCTGTAACCAGCTGAGTTCAGAAATAAAAGCAACTGAGAGTGCTGAGAGCTGTGTGCTCTGTCTCTGTCAGGACAAGGTCTGGCCGGGGGCCTGGGGGCAGGGAGTAAGGATAGCTTACAAAACCACTTTGATAGGCATCTCTGTTTTTACAGTTTCCATGCTTTCTTGGCATCAACTTAGTTTCATCTTCCTGATGCTTCTTATACAGAAACAGAGTGCTACTCTGGCACAGGTCTGCTCTGTTCATCTATGAACACTGCTATGTCACAAGAATTGTTTGCCTTTTGTATAACTCTTCCCTTCAGAATTCCCTTAATATGCAGAAGGTGAAACACTGATTATATATATATATATATATATAATATAAAACTGATATATATGAAAATATATCAGCTCTTGGTGCTTGCCCAGGAAGAGCAGTGGGGTCCCTGTTAGCAATAGCATGGTGCCGCTGCTGTTAGACAGTTGAAATTCCTGGAAAGTTTTATTTTTAGTTTTCTCTAGTTATAAAAACCTAGTCAGCACAATGTGCCTAATGGCATCGCTGGCATGGGAGAAGCAGAACTGCTTTAGGAGCTGCATAACCAAAGCATTTGAATGTCACAAGGCAGGGACTAGGCTTTCTGTGGAGTGAGGAAGTGGGATAGGGTGCTCGTTCAGAGCTGGCTTCAAATAAGACTCAAGTGAGCTTAAGCCTAGTCCTGGTTCTTAAGCGTTCCCCTTGTAGTTCACGCGGCACCACTCAAATTCTGCCCAAATTTCCATGGGAGTCCAAATACCTCTGTACTGATCTCCCCTACTTTGCAATATTTAAAAATGGGTATTAATGTGAAAAATACCCAGGCAAAAGCTGCAAATTCTTGTTTAGTACCTCTAGCTCTCATGCAAATGCTGGAAGGCATTATTTTCCAAACACCTGCTAGACCTTATGTACACACATCCGTTCACAGTGACTGAATCCAAAACATAGCCTTGGCCATTTGAAATACGCACCTTGTGCCTCTGCTGTTAGAAATACAGCACAGTGGCAAGTGGTTTAAGGCATCTCTCCCCGAAGAAGCAAACTGAGGAAATGAAGGCAGAAGTAGTGAATTCCAACAGAAAAAAAACTGTGTGCAGGCTTCATCCACCCTGACATCTGTTAACCTTTTCTGTAGTAGCAACCTTAACTAGCTACCTGTAGTAGCAACCTTAATTAGGTTTGCAGCAGTGATTTGTCACACACTTGAGCTACATTCTTATACCCTTGGTTTGCTCATGGGGCTGGGTAGTTTGTGTGGTGCTCCAGTCACCTGCTGATAGACGAATTAGTCCTCTGGCAGACAGTCACCCCAGCCCTTCCTGGGGCGTAGGTATATAATTGGTGCTGCACCCCCAAGATGGGAAGTGTTACCCTGACTAAGATATTGAGGCAGTCAGGAGTGTCACTGATGTTTCCTTTTTGGCAGAGCCATGGATGTGTTTATCAAAAACTGAGTTAATTTGGTCCAGTTCTTCTAGTTCCGGTGGAGAGTTACTTAATAGTACAAAAATGTAGAGCAAGCAGGAACAGGAAGGGCCAGGCAGGCGAGCACTTGTGCCATGCTGATTAATGCTCCAACTTCGGTGTGTGTGGGAAGCACTGCACCCAAATAAAGTAACAGATTTGCAGCCTGTTCCAGCAGAAAACTGATTGAAAACAAACTCAGCAAGAAACATGGATGCTTCAGGATGAACTGACACAAGTGAGAAATGTAATGGAGATGTAAAGCATACTTGTTTAAAAACTGCAAATGTTTCAGTAGCATGCACAGAAACTCAGAAACATAGATCAGTCTTGCAGTCCAGAAAGCCAACTATATTCTGGGATGCTTCAAAGGAAGCAGGACCTGCAGGTCCAAGGAGGTGATTGTCTCCCTCTACTCCAGACTCCACCTGTGGTACTGCATCCAGCTCTGGTGCCCCCAAAATAAGAAGGTCAGGGACCTGTTGGAATAAGTCCAAAGGAGGCCATGAAGATGATCAGAGGGCTGGAACACCTCTCCTATGAAGACAGGATGAGGGAGTTGGGGTTGTTCAGTCTGGAGAAGTGAAGGCTCCAGAGAGAGCTTACAGCACTTTTCAGTACCTAACAGGGTACTGAGACCTAAGAGAGCTGGAGAGGGACTTTTTACGAGGACACGGTGTGATAGGACAAGAGCAGAATGGCCTTAAATTGAAGAAGGGTAGGTTTAGATCAGATGTTAGGAAGTAATTCTTTACTATGAGGGTGGTGAGACACTGGCACAGGTTGCCCAGAGAAGTTGTGGATGCCCCATCCCTGGTAGTGCTCAAGACCAGGTTGGATGGGGATTTGAGCAACCTGGCCTAGTGGGAGGTGTCCCTGACCATGGCAGTGGCATTGGAACTATATGATTCTTAAGGTTCCTTCCAACCCAAATCATTCCCTGATACTAAGCAATACCTGCTCCAGGGCTGCACCTGGCTGTTTCCCGACATGAGTCCCTGCAAGGCCAGCTGTTGCTGAAGAAGGAATTTTGCAAGGAACACCTTGGGGGCAGACCCAGAGCACGCTTGAATCTTTATTGTAACAGTAATTCCAAGTTTCATGTTTCTGTAATTAAGAAACATCCCTGTTCCAACAGCGTTGTAGCAGGGGGAGGTGTTTTTCAATCTGACCTGGCTGTGACTCTGTTTCCCGCATCGGAGGCCCGTGGCTGGGCTGCCAGCCCGACATTTTAGCCCTCGAGCAGCAGCGTTCATCCTGCAGCGATTTTCCAGCCCGCTGTTTGTGCAGGCAGCTGCCGAGGGCCGCTCGGGCAGGGCGCGATGCCGTAAGAAGCGGCCGATCGGCTGCAAGGCTGCAAAGGCGCGAGCAGGTAAGGAACCAGCTTGAAACACAGCTTCATTTTGCAATGGTTGAGGCAGCTGGGAAGGTTGAGGCTTCAAGGGTTGAGGCAGCTTCAGGTGTCCTGGACCTGATTTGAGGCTCGAAGAGATGCGATTGCAGCCCTAAGCCGCTTCCAGAGGGTGAGGAGGGTCCTGCTCACGCCGGCCCCGTCCTTCCCGGCGGGGAGCGCAGGGCTGCGCCCCCTGGCCCGCCCTCCGCGGGGGTGGTGCCGGCGGCGGCGGGCCGGGAGCGGAGGATGGTGCCGCTGCTGCTGCTTCTGCTGCTGCCGGCGCTGGCGGGGGGACAGGGGGCGGTGGTGCTGCGGCTGGGGCTCCGGGGCAGCCCCCGCGGCGAGGTGAGCCCGGATTTCCTCTCCCTTACTCTGGATGCCAGCCTGGCCCGGGATCCGCGCTTTGTCGCCTTGCTCAGGTAAGCCACGTCTCGCTTCTTTGGGCAAAGGAAAAAAGGTCCTGGGGAGAGGAGGGGCACGGCAGAGGGGTCCCCCTGGGCAAGGGGAGAGGTCCTCGGCAGGCAGAGAAGTCCGCAGCCACGGGGATGTGGGGGGAGCCCTGTCATCCCGACGGAGAACAGGAAAATGCGCTGCGGAGCGAGATGGGGGAAACGGGGAACCCCCCATCCCTGGAACTGGGGTCGGGGGAGGCTGCTGGATCACTTCTCCTTCGGGATTCACCAATTCCATCCTCCCAGGGCAGCAAGGCGGTACCTTCCGCGGGTGCGAACCGCGCCGGCTCGATTGTGCTCGGGGAATGAGTAGCTGGGCTGGGTAGATGCAGGGAAGGGGCAACTCGGGGATAAACCTGGGAGAGGAGCTCCTTTGCGAGCAGAAAAAAAGGAGAAGGAAACTGAGGGAACTGGGGTGGTTTGACAAACGGAGGCTCAGGCGAGACCTTATCGCTCTTTTACAACTACCGGAAAGGAGGCTGTAACGAGGTGTGGTTCGGTCTCTTGTCCCAGGTAACAAGTGACTGGTGGAGAGGAAACGACATCAAGGGAGATTTAGATTGGATATTAAGTAAAATAGGCATCGGAACAGAGAAGCCATAGGATCACCATTCTTGAAAGTGTTCAAAAAACCTATGGATGTGGCACTTTGGGACATAGTTTATGTGGTTTACTGCTGAACATGGCAGTGCTGGGTTAATGTTTGGATTTTATGATCTTAGAGTTCTTTTCCAAGCTTAACGATTCTGTGAATTATACAGAACAAAGGCATTATGTGTGGAGGGGCTGGGGGCTGCTATTCCTGCTGTTCCACAGGATAAAAATCATCTGAGCCCTCAGGTAGCTTGGCAGACTTATGTCAACATGAAGTCAAATAAATGCTGAGGAGGGTCTGTCACCACCAAAGCTGAACCGAGAGATCCAACACATGAAGTCTTTTTTCTCGCTGGGTAACACTAAACAACTCTGGACTGCTGGGTGATGGTGTTCCCTGCCCATTCTTTTGCCTCTGACCTCTCTTCTGCCTTTTCTTCCCTGCTTTTGCTCTATTTTTTTATCTTTTTTTTTCCTCTTTTTTTTTTTTTTTTTTTTTTTTTGGAAACTGTCTTAATTCTTCCCTTTTCGTCTCTCTGATCCCATTTTTCATCCCCACTGTATTTCTCCAGTCCTGATTTCCCTCCTCTCACCCCTTTCATCTTTTCCTCCTCACCGAGGTGGGGAGAGAGGAGTCACCAGCTTTACTGGAGAGGGCTCAGGTCCCCAACCTCCAGCCCCAACCGCACGCCTTGGGGTTCACTCTGGGGCCAGCCCTGCCACCAAGCTGAGTGGGAAGTACTCAGTGGCCTCTAATCTGCTGTTTGTCACCACTGGGCAGATAAGGCTGATGTGCCTGGTGTCCTTCATCCCCCAGTGAGGGCTGGGTGTCAGTGCTGCGCATCCTGCACGGGGTGTATGCAAGTAACAGAGGCAGAGTTGTGTTCTTTTGTGCACCTGCTTTGCTAAAGCTAACACCTGCCCCAGCATGGACTCTTAATCTCTCTTAGGTACAAAAAAGATTGCTTTGGCTGTTTTTGATTGAAAGGGGGACTGATGAAGTAAAGTCAGTTTTATGCCCACCTTCTCAGGGGACTGTTATGTTAGTGTTGCATAAACAAAACCAAAAGGTCTAGGTGAGAGGCATGTTTAGGATAAAAAAAATACCTGTTTTGAAATATTGCCTTACTTTTCTTCAAGGATTTGGCTCCCTGCCTGTGCCCATGTTCCCTCAGGCATGTCTTCACCTTGTTGCCTCATTAATGCTCTCCTGGCTCACCTGGCCAGCAGTGTCCCTGTTGTAGAGTGCAGAGGGCTGGGACACAGATCCAGGCAGGTGTCAGGAGTGCCCTGAGTGAACTGGATAGCCCCAAGTCACTGCAGCATATTCCTCCAAGTACTTCCCATATTTAACCTCTACACCAAAGCTACAGTGGTTTTCTGTTTCTCAATGTTCCTTCCTCAGCAATCCCAAACTGCGTGCACTGGCGACAGCCCTGTCCCCAGGCTTCCTGAGGTTCGGCGGCACTGAGACAGATTTTCTTATCTTTGATCCCAACAAAGACTCAACTTCAGAAGAAAAAATCCTCTGGGAACTTCAGGCACAGCAAGGTAAAATGAGCATCAATGTGTTAGACTCAAAACCGTCCTGGGTTTAGGAGAGGACTTTGATGCAGGCTGGGGATGCTGCAAGGGCACGGCAGCAGTGCTGAGTATCCTCCACAGGGTCATCATTCCTCTCCTCCATGGAGAGGAGACCCGTGGACCTTCAGCACAGTTTGTGGGAAGAGCTGTGCCAGCTGTTGGAAAGTGAGAAAGAATGTGGGGGACTGAAATCTGCCATGGCATCTCTGCTGAGACTCTCCCTGCTGCCCTGTGCTCCTTGCAGCAGTCTTGGGACCTCCCACACTGCCTGGGAGGTGTTCAAGGTCAGCTCAAAAGCTGTGGCTTCATTATGAAAATCAAGTAAGAGATGGAAGAAATAATCTGAGGAGAACACAGTGCATGATTTCTCTGTGCCGGCCAAAGCCAGAGAGCTAGGCGGGGAGTGCAGCCTTGCCCTCCTGTGTCTGACAGGGCAAGCACGGATCCACTGGACCACTGCCAACTGCTTGAGCTTGGTATTTTCTCTTTAAACTTAGCAAAAGCACGTAAACCCTTCTAGAGGTGTTTCCAATGAAAAATTTCCCATCTGTTCCTGTGGTACATAGCACAACAGTGCAATCATACCTTACTGTACAACCAGGGATGCTCGGTTTTGAGGTTGAGTGGTACTTTTCCCTTCATATCACTTCCCTAAGTAGCTGCCTCCTGTGACCCTGGCTCGTGCCTTCCTCTCTTTAGGAAGAGGAACCTCTTCAGGTTGTGGCTTGTTTCTGGTTTGTGTGCCAAGAAAAAACATGAGCTCTGAAGAACAAGTGTCTCATGACTCCTGCCAGCGTTGCTGCTGGAGCCATGCGGGGGATGCAGCGCTTTCTTCTGCACAGGATGGGCAGTGCAGGAAGCATTGCCCCGTTTGTGCCCACAGCAAGGTGGGCTATGATCCCAGCCACACCACTGCATGCCAAGACAGCTTATCTGCTCCTTGGGCATGGCAGCCTATGCTTTGTCAGGTCACTGGAACGAGGGTTTCCGGATGGTGCTCCAAAAAACCAGTTTATTGGGGGTTGACTGCCACAATACCAGCTTACAGAAGCACAGCTCAGTCTTCCCTCACCCCACTATCTCCATCACCTCAAACTGAAAAATATTCGTTTTTTACATATTTATGCATCAAGCCAGCCCTCTTTTTCTATGTCGTTAATGCTATGGAAGTAGCAATGCGTTTCATAGAAGTGCATGACCAGCTCTCAGGCTGGAACCAAGGAATTGTGGTTCCTCCTGAGGGATGCAGCCCTTCACGCATTGGACCCTGGCTATGAAGATGAGGACTTAATTCCTATCAACCTTCTACCCTGCAGAGGCTTGTGGCTCAACACCTGTGTTCTCTGCTGTTGAGAAGCTGCTGCTGGTCCAGTGGCCCAGCCAGGAGAAGCTGATTCTTGCTGAGCAGAACTGGAAAAAGCACAAAAACACCACCATTACAAGTAAGACTTTGATGGATTTCTCTGTAGGGTTTATAAACAAGGAGGTGCAAATCTCTGCCCCACAGTAAAAGGGTTGTAGGCTGTCAGGAGTTGAAACCACTGAAAAATAAACATTTTACCTCCTTAGAAAAATATTCAAAGAACTCTTTTTCTACTGTTTGCACATCTGCAGCATCAGACTAAATAAATATGGGTAGTACAATTGTTGCTTGGCTGGAGCTCAACTAGCACAGTGTAACCTTGGGATAAGCATACTCCCTTTCTCCTCTGTGCAGAAAATACCCTGGATATTCTCTACAGCTTTGCAAACTGCTCAGGGTTTCACCTGATCTTTGGACTCAATGCCTTGCTGCGGAAAGGTGGTTTGCAGTGGGACAGCTCGAACGCCCAGGCGCTGCTGGACTACTGTGCCTCACAGAGCTACAACATCTCCTGGGAGCTCGGGAATGGTAAGTGCAAAGCCTACTTGTTGGCCAGGCCAGCTGTAACCTGGGAAAGTACCACCACAGGGTATGGGCTGGTAGTTTTGAATCATTTGGATGATGGCACATAAAGGCAAGGTGATGTTTTATTAAGAAACATTAAGGTCTTAATTTGCAAGGAGAGATTTCATGAGAAGATCCAATGAATGAGCAAATTGAGGTGATTTTGCTTCTCCTACCTAGGGTTTTAGATCAGGTGAACGATATTCCTCAAGGTGCAGGATGTCACCTATCGAGACTGGCTAGGATAGAGTGCTGGAGAGCAGCACGCTGCATCCCCCAGGCTTTTGATTTCATGCTTACTACCTTCAAATATCTCACTCGTACCCTGCCAGATCAAGTGAAGCCTTAGGGGACTGGTGCTCCCCATGTGGAACAAGCTGCCCTATTTTGTGTCCCAGAACTAGAGTGGGGTGTTGATGTGCACGTGTCTTTCCCAGAGCCCAACAGCTTCAGGAAGAAATCTGGCATCCACATCGACGGCTCCCAGCTGGGGCAAGATTTTATTCACTTACGCCAACTTCTGAATAACTACACCCTCTACCAGCATGCAAAGCTCTACGGTCCCGATGTTGGGCAGCCCAGGAAGCACACACAGAGACTGCTGAGAAGGTAGGGCTATGGGGCACCAGCAGCACCCTCCAGGGTGGGGCAGGTGTGGATAGTGGTACTTTATCTGCATCCAGATGCAGGGGGCATGAGGACGCATCTGAGCAGGGTTTTAAGGATTTTCTGTTCCAAATCAATAGTACGAATGTACAAATGGACACACCTGGTCTATTTGAGAACAATTTCATTGCATATTTCCTTAAATTAGAAACATGGATTTTTTTTCCCCTTGACTGAGGACAGCTAAAGCCTTACCTGCATGCATGAGCTCAAGACTTAAACATTCAGCCGGCTGAAACTCAGCTGCTGGCAATATGTCAGTGGTCTGCATGCTTTTCCACTGAGCACTGGCTGTACTGCTGTGCTAACAAGGGCTTTTTGCCCTAGAAACCCCTGTGTGTTAAACATTAATTCATCCACCCAGCAACCTGCTGAGGCAGCCAGGCTGCCCAAAGCCTGTGGTCCCAAAGCATTCACGATCACTGGTACCAGCCGGGGGCAGAGGGGAGGGCTGTGCATGGTGGCTTACTTGTGACCCATCACCAGTACCTCCTAACCCCCTGCTCTCCACCACATTCCCTCTGGTTGCAGCTTCCTGAAATCGGGAGGGAAGGTGATCGACTCTGTCACGTGGCACCAGTAAGTACCACTTGAATGCCATTGTCACTGATTATTGCCTGTTTTCTTCACAAAACGTCGGTTTGAACATCTCAGCAGGAAGGAGGGGGGTGAAATACCCTTTTCAGCAGTTCCTCGGGGGCCTCTCCACAAACTTTTCTGTTCAGAATAAGAGAGGAATTGAGGGAGCATACTAGAGAAGTGCAGAAACCTCCAAAGAGGCTACTTGGTGCAGAGACCCAAAAGCAGTGGTGGGGGGTTGTAACATAGGCACAGCTGCAGGGAATGCAATGTGTGCAAGACAGTCATTTTGCTTGCTAAATACGTGCATGGAGAAAAACAGAAGTGGGATGTGGGAAAAAAGATGACGTAGCAGCTTTTCTTCTCACAGGAGCGTGAGGGGTTACGTCAGTCATATGGCTCTCTCCTGCACGAGGAGAGTTTCTGCAGAGGTTGAGCCTTTTTGCATATGCATTTCAACACGTACCAAAAGCTAGTGAGATCTGAGCTGCAGTCCTGGTTGTTTCAAAGCTCCCACCTGCCACTCCTTGCAAATAAAATGCACTTTCCCATGGGAAGAAGGGGGTGTTGTACAAAAGGAAAATAAGATGGCTCAAGCTTACTCAGCAGAGATACCTCTGCTGAACCTCTGTGAGAGCGGAAGGTTTTTGATGTAAAGTTTTAAACAACCTAAGGGTGGCTGGACTTTTAAAACAGAGTCAGTACCCCTGACATTGATTCTTCTCTTGGCTTTAGAAAGGCTGAACCTGCTTAAGTGAAAGCTTCGCTTGCTGAAAGCAAATTCAGGGAGTCACTGATAATCCTCTTGACAAATGCACCCAACTCCTTCTAAAAAGTGCAACAGAAGCCTCGTGAGCCGATATGTTGTGCTGCCTTTTTCTCTCTGTTTATTTCTACTTGATATAAATGAAAAGCCCTGCAGGTCTGGCTGACCCCTACCCATGGAGAAGGGATAGTAGCTTTTCCTGTTCCCTTAGGTTTGCTCTCCAAGTGAGTGTGGGCTCTGTGTGGGTAACTGGCCCTCAGATCCCACCTGCAGTGCAAGCAGCACCGGCACAGTCCCAGCCCTTTGCTCTTATGCCTGGCTTAGATATGCAGGTTTAAAAGGCTCAGGTGGCAAGTTGGCAGCAGGGCACCTGCCATGAAGCCCTCATGCTTGAAAGACTTTTCTGTGCGAAGGCAGGTTTTTTTCCCAGAGTCAAATGCAGCACAGTGACGTGCAGCAGTCAGGTGAGAGTGGGAAAAGATGCACATACTTCTATTACATACATATGTGTATATATATATGACTTGTCTATGCATTTTGAACTGCTAGAAAGGCATGAAACTTGTCTTCTCCCCGTCCTGGGCTGTTCTTGCCCTTCCTGAGGCTGCCTTTGCTTTAAGTGGACATGTGTTACTTTCTTTACTAATTTAGCATTATCAGGTTTTAGCTTCCCCTTGTGGCTAGAAGACTTCAGCTACTTCTGGTAGAACTGAGTGACAGCACAAAAAATGCAAAACCCACAAGGATCCCAATTTCCTGTTCTTTATTTGGACAAACCAGACTTAAAAGCTCTACTGCTCCTAGTGAAGGCCAACCTTCATCCCATAGGGATGCCTACATCCTGTTCCCCTCCAAATGGCCAAAATATTCCAACAGAGGGACAGAAGCTGGGATCTGATATTTTTAATATATAACTTGATACAGTAATGCAAGTACTCATCTAGGAGTGTCGGACTCCTCAGCAAGAGAAGGTTTGCAGAAGCTGGCTTTTACCTAGTGATGTTTTCCTAATTCTAAATGAGTAGAGGCAAACAAACCTACTACTTTTGCTGTTGGTGATTTCTGTGATATCCTGCCTCCATTGAGGTAGTTATACCTGACAGTCCCTTAAATACAAATGAAATATCTACACATTTGGAAAGCAAAATAATAAAAAGACCTGGACAAAAAAATAGTGCTGTGGATAAGTGTATCAAGCAGCTGAATACTTTTGGTGGTATTTTGTACCACTGGTGGTATTTTTCCTTAATTTTGGCTATGTTTTTTTTTTCCTATTTTCAGTTACTATGTGAATGGACGGAGTGCAACAAGGAGGGATTTCTTGAGCCCTGAAGTGCTGGATACCTTTGCCACAGCCATACATGAAGTCCTGGAGGTACCTTGTCCTGTTCAATCATTCCCATGTTCAGTTTCATAGAATCATAGAATCAGCCAGGTTGGAAAGGACCTCTGAGATCATCAAGTCCAACCCTTGATCCATTACTGCCGTGGTTACTAGACCATGGCACTAAGTGTCACATCCAGTCTCATCTTAAAAACCTCCAGGGATCGAGAATCCACCACTTCCCCGGGCAGCCCATTCCAATGCCTGGTTACCCTCTCTGTAAAGAAATTCTTCCTAATATCTAACCCAAACATCCCCTGGCAGAGCTTAAGACCATGCCCTCTTGTCTTACTGAGAGCTACCTGGGAGAAGAGACCAACCCCCACCTGGCTACAACCTCCTTTCAGGGAGTTGTAGAGAGTGATGAGGTCTCCCCTGAGCCTCCTCTTCTCCAGGCTGAACAACCCCAGCTCCCTCAGCCTCTCCTCATAGGACTTGTGGTCAAGTCCCTTCACCAGCCTCATTGCTTTTCTCTAGACCTGCTCCAGCACCTCAATATCCTTCCTGAACTGAGGGGCCCAGAACTGGACACAGCACTCCAGGTGTGGCCTCACCAGTGCTGAGTACAGGGGAAGAATCACTTCCCTGGTCCTGCTGGCCATACTGTTCCTGATCCAGGCCAGGATGCCATTGGCCTTCTTGGCCACCTGGGCACACTGTTGGCTCATGTTCAGCTTCCTGTCAATCCAAACTCCAGGTCCCTTTCTGCCTGGCTGCTCTCCAGCCACACTGTGCCCATTCTTCCTGGGGGTCAGCAAACTTTCCAGAATAAAGCACAATTTCTTCCTAGCAATGAACAGGGGTCCTCAAAGCTTGGTTGCTGCTGACATTGTAAACTTAAAAAAAAATAAAAAATTAAAATTAACTATACTAATAATGAATGAGCTCCAACAGTTTGCCAGGCAGCAAGCATGGTGCCAGATGCATCTCACACCTACAACATTCCCATTTATTGAGGTAGTTGTTACTCAGGGATGTGATTTTTGGTCGTTCCATCCCCCCACCCCATTTTTTTGTATTTTTTGATCCTGAGAACATTATAACTTAGAATACAGCACTACTCTGCACAAGAAGATTTACAGAACCTGAATTTTAGCGATGTTTGCCTTATTTTACATGGGTTTTGGAGGCAGTGGGATGTAAATCTACTTCTAGTCTTTTTGATAAAAATTTCTGTGATATCCCATCTCATCTGGTGATATCCCTTAAATGCAAACACCGTACAAAGGCTTTTGGCTAAAGTACAAAATGTCACTTATTTCATCAGCCCAAAAACTTAACTGTTGTCCCTTTCTCTTCTTTTCTAATGCTACACTGGCCAGATTGTCGATGGGACCGTTCCCAACAAGAAGGTCTGGCTGGGAGAGACGAGCTCTGCCTATGGAGGGGGAGCTCCCAGACTGTCCAACACTTATGTTGCTGGCTTTATGTGAGTGCCATGTTCTAGATGTGGGGGAATTACACATTTTACCTGCTGAAGGGCCTGTGTACCTGCACCATGGAGGAATGTGGCTTCCTCAGGCTTCCTGGGGAGTGCAGGCAGTGGGTGGGTTGAGGATTGTAACCCTCCCATCACTCCCTCTGTGCTTCCCCTGTGCCTGAGGTTCAATGTACACCCAGGCAATAGCAGATTCCCACAGGAAATGGGGGATGAGAAGCATGAGAAGGCTGTATTTCTGGCCTCAAATCTGCGACGCCAACTCTGTCCTTTTGTGAGGAAAGAAAGACACACAGGTGTCCTTATCTTATGCCATCCTTTGATCACCATGAAATAACCAATCAAAAGCTAATTTAGTCACAAAAACAATTTTCTCCAAGGACGCCATTTGGTTGAAATTAAAGAATTCATGCTTTTATTAGAACTTTGATCAGTTTGCACATTCAGGGAGATAAAATTGCATTGGAATATGATGACGTTTTCATCAGGGTCTGGTAGGTCACGAAGTCAAAGCTGGTTAACAACAGGCAACCTTGTCATTGGTGTGATGATTTCCCTCAGCCTTCAAACCTTTGGCCAATTCAGGAGCATCCACTGCCGCTCCTGTTTTCCACTGTCTGCAGACAAGGGAGTGGAGCAACTGTTCCCACCAACTCAGACTTCCAGAGGTGGTCTGGAATTATTTTTTAATGTAATCATGGAAGATTTGAATTGAAATTACTTGTGTGATTTTAAGGAAGTCATCATCATGTGCTAATTCTTGCTTTTCTGCTTCCCAAGCTGGTCGGAGAGGGGCAACAGAGTGCAACTGAGGTCAGCAATTTCATCTGCACAATATTTGCCTCATTTTTTGGCAGGTGGTTGGACAAACTCGGGCTTTCAGCCAGGAAGGGGATTGATGTGGTGATGAGACAGGTTTTCTTCGGCGCAGGGACCTACCACCTGGTGGATGCCAACTTTGAGCCTTTGCCGGTACGTGAGGAACCCCCCTAACATCACCTGAATGCAGCAGGTACTTCTGCACAGGCAGCACTGGCTGGGGAGGCACAAGTCAGCTATTTTAACAGCACCTTTTTTTTGTTGAATAGTGGCAGTTATCCTTGTACCTAAAGTTATCTCGTTTCATTATGGGTTAACATATTACATAAATATTATATATACAAGATATTTACTGCAATTGCAGGAATGCAGCCACTCTTCAGCACAGCAGAGACTGATCTGTGGGACATGATGCTCGGGTTTGTATGCAGATACTTCTGGAGCTCATAAGGCTTTTCTAGATGGACTGGTTTTGTTCGAGTACTCCTCAGCTGAGTGATGAGTAATTTTTAAACAGAAGTGATACAAGTTATTAAAATAAATTATATCCCAGGTAAAAACCAGGCCAGCATGAAGTCAAGACTCAAGCATTTTTAGCTCATGAGCATATTCAGCCTTCAGTAGTGGCTGAAGGATAATTAAATTGAAATATACATTTAGTATAGTTTGATTCCTTAGGAAATAACATTCTGTTGTGATGAAACTTCATTATTTGAACTATACATTGTTCTTGCATGTACAGCATGTTTCTTTGCACTACTAGCACTTAGCTTGGGGTGAGAGGATAGCATCTTTCTTTTTAGCTTTCCTCTCATTTTTCTGTTTCCAAATTGTGATTTTCACAGATGGCCATAGAGACCACCTGAAAGAAAACCCAGCATATGGGGACTTTCCATCACTCTTGTTCAGCTGGTCCTTATGCTAGAGGCTGCATTGTCAGGCTTGTTGCTTTGGGCTTTTTATTCCTTCATTTAAAATAGATTTAATTTGGACCGAAACTATGTGCCTTGTTCCTCACCTACAGGTAGTACAGATGCTAATCAAGCTAATTATGCCTCTGAGGCAGGGAAATCTGGACCGAGGTCCATCAGTTGTAGTTAGCACAGAAATAAAGAAGCACAGCAGTGTCTGAAGGCTGCACCTCCTTGCAGAGGGGCTGAGCATGAAGGCTGATAGGAAAAGTAATTTCCCAGGCTCATGGTGAGTCAGGAGAGAAACACGACAGTTTTCCTTCTAGAAAAGCCTCAAAGACAGACAGATTTGCTGGGAGAAGCTCTCTGAAAGCCTGGAAAGATCTGGAAAAAATGAGTCTGCACTGGGCGTCACCCTGCTCTGAGGCATCATTCTGGGGTGTCACTGAGGTTCAGAAATCAATTCTGAGACCTATTCAAAAGCACATCATTAATGAAAGGGGTTAAAGTTGTTGGGGGCTTCTTCCTAGCATCGTGTCTGTACTTTAGGCACAAGCTTTCCTGCAGGAAGGTCAGCTTATTCCCTGTGTTCAGCCCTGAGGTGCTACAGAGAGCCCTGTAGTAGGGTGCTTCCCAGATTTAAACAGTCTCTCCCTGGTAGGAAGAGCTCTGATAGTTGCATATGAAGGAGAAAATGACTTTGAGGTACCTTGTAAACACAGTTGTTCTGCAGGTTGGAGGCAGGTTTCCTCTTTAGTTATGCTGTTTGTGAGAATTTCAATAGATACGGTGAAAAACTTGGTAAAGCAGAAAGCTATGGGGGAAACCCCCCTGAAATTAGAGCAAAATGAATAACATTTTATGTCATGCACCATGTGGAGTACCTGGCATGTACACAAGGGCTTACATGTGTTTTTGTGCCTCCCAGGACTACTGGCTCTCACTGCTCTACAAGAGGTTGGTGGGTACCAAGGTGCTGCAGGTCGGCCTGGCAGGAGCCAATGAGAGGAAGCTCCGTGTCTACCTCCACTGCACAAACACCCTCAAGTAAGCCTCTAGAGAGGGCCAAATACCCCAAAAACTGAGCCCATGGCCACCCCCAGGCCAACAAATGCGATTTGGGACGGTGCAAGGTCGCACATCATTTATGTGAAACCTCTTTCTCTCCTGATCCCCACCATCATCTTCTCCTGCCTTGCAGCCCAAAGTACAGAGAAGGGGATGTGACACTGTTTGTCCTAAACCTCTACAACATCACCCAGCATTTGCAGCTACCGGATTACCTATCCAGCAAGCACGTGGATCAGTACCTCTTACTGCCTCATGGCAAAGAGAATATACTTTCCAGGTAAGTGTGCAATTCCTCCTGTCCCCGTGGAAAGGGCTGTGAGTAGAGGTAGATGGTCTTTAAAACCTCCCCTTGTTCAATTTGCAAGGGGGAGGAAGAGGTTACCATTCAGTCATCTGGTTTTTTTTCAGTAAAATCTGACTTCTGTGTAATCAGGTCTCCTAAACTCAGTCTGCTGAAAGCTTTCTAAGGTACAAGGACACTTACTTGATGTTAATTGGGAAGTTTTTTTCTGGCAGGCTTCAGGGCTCTGGACCAGCTGCCAAAGTCCTTTTTCTTTTGCACAAGCACAGGAATATTGCTTTCCCAAATGCTGGGTCCTGATTTACAGCAACATGTTCAGGTTTTGTATGTTGGGGATTTTTTTTTTTTTTGTTATCGCTAAGGCTTCTGCATTGGCAGGATCTTCTCCATGGGCATAGAAGATACCTTAATAATTACAGGAGAAAAGGCAGTTAAAATCTGTATTTTTCAAAGCCCGCTTTGCTCTTACCTCACTGGAAGACTAAGAAACATGTAGTTTTCATTGTGCTTGTGCTACACTCTAAAGGACTCCTCGCAGAGGGAGTGCTGCAGATGCTCTTCCCTCGAGGGAAGTTTAGTTTGGCTTTGGGCTGAGTTAATGTTTACACTCAGGTCCGGAGCTATTTGTGCTTGATGGCAAACAGAGCACAGCTGCCCAAACAGTCTCTCTGTCCCTCTCCAGGTCTATTGAGCTGAATGGCCATGTGCTACGGATGGTGGATGACAAAACGCTGCCAGAGCTTATGGAAAAGCCCCTTGGTCCCGGCAGTGTACTCGGCCTCCCAGCCTTCTCTTACGGCTTTTATGTTATCAAAAACGCCAAAGCTGTTGCTTGCATTTAAATGATTAATACACACATGCAGGATAAAGGATAAATGTAAAGCACTTGGCTAGTAGGGGATTTTAATCCTAGAAATTCACTTTTCTACCATGGGATTTAATTCCGGTAAGGGATGCAAATGTGGCAGCACTGATACGATCTGTGGGCTGGGCAAGACATGAGGGCCCACTGGGTAATTTTGTACGTGAAAGATGCTTATTCAGCTCCCAGGAGAATTATCCAGGTAGAGCAAGACCAGGCAGGGGCTGGTTTTGCTCTTGGTCCAGCCTGTGTCGCTGCACTTGAGCAGGGGGCCCTTCTCCAGGACACGCACAGAGCCACATCAGCTTCTCACACTGTGCTTGGGGCTCTGTCAGCCTGGGAACTGCAATCTCCCCTCTCTCTCGTTTCTGCAAGCACAGCTCTAAAAGCAGTTTCTTCAAAAGCTTGCCTTTGGAAAGGATGAGCAGAGTTTTTATTTTAGCTGTACAGCTGTGACTCTGCCCATACCATGTGGGGAAGCCCAAGAAGGGGTTGTAGTTGCTGAGGGCATCTTGGGGTGGAAAGTGTGGACATGGAAAGCAATCCAAGGTCAGGGTGCCAGCAGGGGGAAAGACCTTGCGGAGAAACCAGGTCCTCTATCAGGTTTGGGGCAGTAACACACATTTTTCCCAACTGGTGGAGTTCAGTCACAAGATGGAGCTGTGGCCATGTGCCTTCCAAAGGCAAGTTTTTGACACATGAAATGCAGGCCGTTCCTGTGGGGTGGTTTACCTCTGCCGTAACGCGCTTCATCCCGGCGAGGAAAGGAGAGGAGCCCACCAGCACCCCTCTGTGGTCAGTGGGCTCCATGGTGAGAGTTCAGAACTCCTCAACCTTCACCACCCCACAGGCAGTTCAGCTGGAAAGGACTTCCCTGAACCTATTTGCAGGTGAAGATCTGTCTGCTTTACACTCCCTAATTCACTAAGGTCTCTTCGAGGAAATGGAATAGTAAAGAGACTGAGCAAACCATTCACTCCCTCAACCACCAGAGGGATGTCAGTGGCCTTAGAGATCCTGAGGACAAAACTCCCAGCCAGGCTGACATCCTTCCCGCTGGGAAAATAGCCATTTTGCCCAAAAATCTGTGTTGGTGGTGGCTTTTCCCCCCAGCTGTGCCTTCCCCATGCCCACCCTGTTGCAGTTCCATGTGCCACCGGCCGCTGGTCCGCAGGGTAACAAAAGGTCTTGGACAATACCTGTGGCCCTTCAGACACATTTATTTGCATCTGCTTTCCTTGAAGATATGTAATCCCTACCACTGTCAATGCCTTATGATATTGCGAGCACAGCAGGGAAAAACAACACCACACCACTGTACTTTCCTTTTTAAGCTTTAAAAAGATGCTACCAGCCACATGGGGTTTCAACTCAGGGCAGGGAACCTTTTCTAATGAGAGGACTTTAAAAACAGATGTACTTTTGTAGCTGTGATGAAAACCTGCACAATAAAAGGGATATGTTAAAGTTTAGTGTGTCAAAGGAGTGTTTGTTTGCATCCATAGAGCAGATGCATTCTGTGAAGGGTTATGTATCAGGGGATAAAACAGATCAGAAATGAGAAAGGCTGTTTGTTTACACTGTCCAGGTTCCATAAAAGAAGCGAAGAGAGTGTAAGATGGAGTGAAAAGTCTTACATAAAGTGAATAATTTATTATTATTGTTATTATTATTATGTAATTTACAACTAAAACATAAAAGTTATTATTTGCCTGGTAGTTTCTTTTTAGAACTTTCCTAACAGTTTTGTTTATTCCAATGCTTGTGACTTTTATATTTGAAGATTTTAATTAAAGTGATTTATACCAGCTTTTGGCAATCTTTGGGGTTTTTTTAAAACTTCTTTTTGACACACTGATACCACAACACTCCCTACTTTTCTTTTGGTCATACATCACCTGTACTTTGGTTACCAACAAGAGTACCCAAGCACATGAAAATGAAAGAAATCATACCCAGTTTGGAGCGTTTCAACTGTAGTTGACCACCAGTTCACAAGTCCTCCACCGCAGGGTCTGACTTGGACTCAAAACATGTGTTGGTTATTGGCACACAGGAAGTACTAGGAGGGGCACAGGGATGTCCGGGCATGCAAATGACAACTGCTCCCTACCATGTCTCCTCCTCTGAGCACAAGGACATGGTTCTTCACAGGGTGGGGTTTACAGTTCACATAAACGCCTTCAACTTAAAAAGTTCTCTTACACACACCCAGGTGACTTCTCCTTATGAAGTGTTGTATATTTAGCTGATAGCAGCCATTAGCTCTACACAAACAAAGCAGGAGGGAGGTAAGTGAAGGAGACTGGAAAGATGCTGGATCTCAGCACACCAAGACAGGTACGGTCTGAAACAGAAGCAAACATCACCCTCACAGGGCCCATCCACAGCAGCAATGCCTGCCCCACAGGCACCTTATCTCTGAGGCTTTTTTTCCTCTATGAATGTTGCAAACCTTGAATATGTGTGTGTGTGTGTATACTTATCTGAGAACACGGACAATTATTATATCTCACACACATTCCAATTTACTTTTGCATTTTTGACTCTGGAGGTCGGATTACTTGCCTTGGATTTACTGTAGGTTTTACTTCCTGGAAGCTGGAGTAAGTTGCACCATAAGACTTTTGTACAGTTTGTACATTTGTACTTTTGTACATTTGTACTTTTGTATATTTGTTCTACGTGAAAATAAGGAAACTGATAATCTCCTTAGAGTCAGGAGCAATTTGACCATCAACTCAGATTTGAGCCAAACAAGACAGTGAGGTCTTAATAGCTTTTGGTGATTTTCTGAAGTCTGAAATGAGCTATTCCCTAGAATATTTTTCAAGGAAGGGCCAGGCTAGTTTATTATGAATATAAATCTAGTGGCAGTAAGTTAACTTTTTTGCTTTATTTTCATGAGCTCCTTAAAAGTTTTCTGTAGACAGTCTGGGGTTTGCTTGCCACATCACACACACCCAGAAACCCCCCCAAAAACAGTGTCTGTGGAGGAGCACCCACATGGTGAAAATCAGAGTATCGGTGTTCCTGTGGACACAGCAGGCAGAGAGACTGTGGACATCTGTTGCCAGGAGTCAGTGTTCAAACACACCTCAGGCACTTGTCTGTACCTGAATAAAGCCCACAATTGGCCTTGTCAATGTGAAATGGAGCCAAGGTCACAAAGATAGTATTAATTACACATCATCACAGCTGAGCAACTATTTCTTTTATTGTCTTGTGCAAGTCATTTTACTGTAAAGTACTGCTCACTAAAACAGTAAATGGCAAAACATGGAAGTCTCTTCTCCATCACTTCCATTTTTCACTTCCTCCTGGCAGTCAACATCTTTGGAAATTAAAGTTCAAAACGGTTTCCCTTGTTTTTTTTGTCAGTGTGTCAGTCGTTCAAGCTGAAGGAAGTGTGGAATAAAAAAGAAGTTATCCTCTACAGGGACACTGAACTCCCCAAGAAATCTTTCAGCAGCAGTTTCAGCACAGTTGAAACGAGTTGGCTCAGTTAGTTTCTTCCTCATCTTAGGATTTCTGCCAGATGTCTCTGTGGACTATAAAATATGCATTCTTTGTGCCCATTATGAGTGATACATCCTTGTTCTGCAGCACCAGACCTTCAGCCTGTCCTTTGCCAAGCCAAGAGCAACCTCAGCCCCTTCAGCTCCATGGACAACCTGTGCTTACACAGCCTCGGCTTTCTGCCCTGGGTCTTCCTCCTAAGGAGGAAGGAGGCAGGGAACTCCCAGCCCCTCACCTGACAGATACAATCAGCACAATTCTTTCCAGTGGACTGCCAAACCTTTCATTTATTGCCTTGGTGCACCCACTGTGCAGTGTCATTTACTGCCTTATTGCACCCACTGTGCAGTGTCATGCACGCGGAAGTAGGGGGGAAAAAGGATCATGTCATCTCTAAGCAAATAAATTCAAGGTCCCTTAAGTAAAGCACAACTGTAATGCACTTAAAATCTGTGCTTTCCTCTATTTTCTCTCAAGTACTTTTATTGCCATTTATACATATCCCCTGAAAAAGCAGTTAATAACATGACAGCTTTTGGGGGAAAATAAGCTCTGATGAAGCTGGAAAATCTGTTTGATAAATATTTGGCCATGCTGCCGCATGAGAGGCAACACAAAATGCATGCAGGTTTTTCTATTAAGCAGCCACCTAATGCTGTCGAAGCTTCTCCTCAAAACACTCCCCTGATGCTATGTACGTGCTGCTGCTTGCAAAGTTAAGCTGGAGGTAAAATTATTTCCCTTCTATATAGAATCATAGAATCATTAAGATTGGAAAAGATCCCTAAGATTACGGAATCCAACCTCTAACCCAGCACAGCCATATTCACCACTAAACCATGTCCTCAAGTGCCACATCCTCACACCTTTTGAACACTCCAGGGGTGGTGATTCCACCGCTTCCTTGAACAGCCCGTTTCAATGCCTAACCACCATTTCAGTGAAGGAGTTTCTCCTAATATCAAATCTAAACTTCACCTGGTACAGCTTGAGACCGTTTTCTCTCCTGCCACTTGTTACCCAGGAGATGAGACCAACTCCCACCTGCCTACAACCTCCTTTCAGGGACTTGTTGAGAGCGAGATACTTTTCATTCAGAGCTGAAGGTTCCAAATGCTTTGATGTCAGTCTAGGAAAAAACCCCAAGGTCCTGCAGAATGGGCATTGCTTTCCCCACTGCCCTCACAGCCTGTTACAGGCTTGGTTCTGTTCTTTACGCAGTTGAAGCAACTTCTTTATATTAGGTGTATTTCCTTATTACTCTACCTGCCATAGCCAAGCTCTGCAATTTAGAGGAACTGTGTTCTGCTGATGTAAGCATTCGGGAGTGGGTTTCGTTTGTTTTTCATTAGGATGTGGATTTACACTCCCTCTTCCAGAAATTAAAGCTGTATTTTTAGAAGTTTTGAACTTGGCATTGAATTCTGGTTTTGTTGTTGTTTTCGTTTTGGTTTAATTGTACTAGACCTTTCTGGTCTGTTCAGACAAAATCACATATGTACAGCTGCCTGGAAGTGGCAGGAAAAGAGAAGTACTGTAAAACAAATTGTCTCTTTTGTGATTTTCTTTGTAACTCTGGTACTGCATGTAGTACACTCCATTAAAATTTGCTCTGGCCTTTTGCCTCTGCCACAAACTACAGGGAGGCACTGCAGGAAACTCACCTCTTCAGTACACCAGGAGCCTTCAGCTAGTACCTAAAACTTCACATTATCCATGACCAGTTAATGTCCCCATTTTTTCTTGTCTGCTTTGTTTTGAAGCTTAAACAGAGCTTGTCTTCACAGTATTTGTATTGTGAAGTGTTTCGAAATAAACTAATGGCCCTCTCCCAGCTTTTGCCAAAAGGAAATAACCAAGTGCCCACAAAATACATTCTCTACATTTTGCTTACCACACCAGTCCCTCATCACAACAGTTGTGCTTTCAGTGTCTCCCTTGAATACTGGCTAATCACAGTGCCGTGCTGGTGCAGGTGATGTGGTACCTTAATTTTCAGCTGGCTTTTTAGTGACCCAGAGGATGCTCTGATCTTTCCACACAGACACACCTTTCTGACCTAGTCAAGCCCCCTTTTCATTAAAAACGAAAAATAGTAAGTTTCTGAACAATTATGTGATATGACTTTAAGTAGCTCAGATTTGGGAAGAGCTCACATTCTGTAGTGCCTTTGAACCAACTGTTGTCCTTTGTTCAATGCCAAGCCACGTTACCAGTGGCTGGCAACACGCCTGACCTGCTGCCCTGGTGGCCCCGGGGGCTGAGCTCCTGCCAGCCAGACCGGCTGGCCTGGGTGCTCTGGCTCAAGCTGTTTGCTCCCTGCAGCTCCGGAGCCAAGTACCTGCAGCAAATACTTTCAAACGGAGGGAAAAATCTGGCCCCCTTGCATCACCACCTCCATATTTACCAAGAAACACACAAATAGCAAAATCCAGGCACAGTTTGCCTTGGCTGACCCTATGGAGAGTCCCTCCCTTGTCAAAGGTGAGCGTGAAACCTCTCATGTGCCACTGTGTTAAGTGGGCTCCTAAGGAAAAGATCCAGCCCCACCATGAAGGGATGCCTTGGCAACCTCTCCCTGCATCCCTGCAGGAACCAGCACCCTACTTCTGTAGGGCTAATCCTGGACAAAGAGCTGTTCTTGCTTTGATACACCTTTCTACAAAGTACAATGGGAGCACGCACAGGCAAAGGTTGGTGTTAGTTACCCAGTTTTCTGGTCCACAGAGGAACTGGAAGTGTTTCAGTAGGCCTTTGCCAGGCACATCTGACCTTCCTGTTGCCTGCAAAAGCATTTATCATCTCAATATCCTGTGGAGGAACGTTTGGAAAAGGAAGATAACAAGAAAGGCAAGGTTTGACAGTGGAGGAGAAACTTCCAGAGGACAGTGTTTATTTATGCAAAAGCACACTACCTAATAATAAAGCTGATGCTTAGAGACAGGTCTATTTGAGAACTTTTTAGTAGACTGTATCTAAATACAGCAGAGAGGAAGATTGTCCTTGTGAAGATTAGAAATAGAATGGCTTGGGAATGAAAGGAGAAGATGCACCTACACCTGCCAAACAGGGTTTTACTCAGGAAGTAGCTCAGCTTTTTTTGTTTTGCACTTGAAAAATTACTTCTTATTTCCGTGTATTAATCATAAAATGCTCAAACAAATAACATCCTCAGTACTATACAGCCTAGAACCTCAACCTTCCTTAGTTTTTCAGGCAATTAACCTAAAACACAGCTATGGCTTATCTTTGTAAAATGCACTTTGAGATGAACTTGGAAAACTCCCACAGAAAACATGAAATGATTTTCAAGTTTAGGACATGAGGACTGTTTTGGAACTTCGATTTTTACTCTGTTTAGCTACACCTTCTTCTTCCTCTCATTACAAGACAAATGCTTGTGACAAGCCATCATCGAAGGAAGGACACCAGTAGGTTCAAAGGCACTACAAAATGGGAGCTCTTCCCAAATCTGAGCTACTCAAAGACACTGCAGTGTATTAAAAATGGATGAATAACTTTTGCCACCTCTTTGAGATGATACTAAGTAGTATTAAGAAACTGATCCATCCTAACTGCATCACAAGACTTTTTAATTACTAGTTAATAGTTTATAAACAAAGTTCAACAGGGAGTTGGATGCATCCAATTCTCCCTCTACAAACGCAACTTCGTCACATAATTGTTTAGAAACATAGTATTTTTAAACTGTCCTTTTTTTTTTAACTTAATGCTTCCTCCACCCCAAATTTATAAAACTTATTTAAGAACAATTTCTGTGTAAGGATTGAGGATGCCCTAAAAGCAGTCACACTTCCTAATATTTTCATGTATTTCTATCTTATATGCAGTCAGGCTGAAAAATCTACTATTTCTGATTTGCTTAAAATGTATTTGACATCACTGATGCAAATAGTAAAAGAAAAAGCAACTTTACAGGATGTACATTAAAATGAAGTGTTCAGAACTGGCAGTTCCAGCCCCAAAAAGGAACTTCTGTGACCAAAGCCATTGACTGATTAGATGCTTTCTTTTTCCTACGCCAAGAGCTGCTTCGCCTGTTCACCATCACTGGTAATGCAAAATTACCCTTAGCAAACCCTGGACACATGGCTCTGGACTGCAAGGTCTCTCAGAAATACTGGTTTAAAAAACCTTAATAATATCATTTCCATCTTTGGAGCCAGAGCAGTACTGAGCCTTGTTATTGCTGTGACTACACACAAAACTTGTGCCCTACCACTCAAGGAGGAGAGCAGACATCAGGAAAGGTGGTTGGGATACCATAATGAGCTTGGCAACCAAACCTTCTGTATCACCAAACCACAGCCCCACATGCAGGCATACACAGTCACCCATGGAGAAAAGTGTGCTTGCGTTGCCAACCAGTACGGAAACTCAGGTAAGCTCCGCTGTATCCTTATCCCAGAACAGCTGTGCCTGCTCCTCCTTCCACAGAAATTGACTTCACAACACATCATACAAGTTCTTTAACACCAGGAGTCAAAGAAAAGGCTAAACACTGTGCACATGGTGGAACTGGGAGAGCATAAGCCAGCTGAAAACGTGAACAGTTTTAAGCAATTTAACTGTTAGCCTGCACTGGCTATTTTTATTGTTTCATCCTCCTAGAAACAAGTTCTTCCTGTAAGACTACAAATAAAACCAGTAGGCATAAGTCAAAACAAACGGAATTAAAAAATAGAAGTATGACAACACGTAGCATGACAAATTTGTAGCTCAGGGTCAGCCAGCAGTCATGGACACTTGGCAATAGTTCTGGGCTACTCTGTTTTTGTTCGAAGTCAGTAGTCTGTGTTCAAGTCACTCTTGACAAACAAGCTCAGCCCACTCTGTGCAGGCAACTTCACAGAAGCCTGTTCTTTTCACGTGAGAAGCACCCGCTGTCAGCAATCACAGCAAGAGCAAAAGGTAATCCTAAATACTTCTCTACTGACTTATTATGAACCTCACACACTCAAAAGTCCTGACTGCTTTTAGACATCTCAGGATGAAAACCGCTATTGCAATTCTTTCATGCAGCAAGCTCCAACTCAAACTGAGAATTATTCTTGTAATAAACCGGACCATCAAACATGTACAGGCAGATTTTATTTACATCCTGAAATAATTTTGCATTTTTGCACGTGCCATCACTAAGAGACATATGTTTTCTATAAAATCTTGCATTCGGTCTTCAGAGCTTGACACAAGCTCTTGACACTACACAGGACCAGCAGAGCAGCTTCACTTATTGAAGCTTCTACGGAGATTGAAGTTATTGACAGATAATCAAAACTTGCATTGTAGGATCATCTCAACTGCATGATTTTAGAAACAAGAATGTTTTCACCAGCTTTTATAAATAAACAGTATAAAGCAGCTATATTTATATTAAAAGTTTTTTCCTTCTTACAGTACTTACATTTTAGCAGGACTAAAATATCAGTATTTATAATAATTTCAACTATCTGTTTTCTAAAGGCTCTTCTACATTTTTTAAGTCCTTTTGTTTCCACAAATTTCCAAGTACAATCCCTGTAAAGAGCAGAATTCCTACAGTACGATTTGAAGCAAATTTCTTCCAACAGTCTTCAGGCTTGTCTATGTCCAAAGTGTAAATCTGCAAAAGCACAGTGAAACATTACAGGATTGTTATTCTACAGACTCGTAAATATTGGATACATCACAAAATGACACAAAAAGGTATGTAACTTCAAAAAATTATTCTTAAATTCTAAAGTCTACCCTTACCACCACAAGAAACAGGTATACCCTGTGCTTAAAAAAGAGCTTTTGCATAACTGGCATCTATGTTTGACAGATTTATTCAACATACAGCAGAAAAGCCAAGGATCACATATGAACATGATTCCCAGACCGTCTCAATGAAAGAATATATGAACAGCCTGGTTACTGGTGTGTCCAGTTTGATATTTAAACGTATGAAAATATCTGGGCATGTCAATAAGTCTTTTTGAGATCTTCCTTTGTAGGTAGCCACCTAATCCTTCAGTGGGAACTTTAATTAAAGATAAACCTCCCAGAACATGCCGACATCTTTCAATCCCTGCTGCAAGGTGTTGTCCCACGTTTCAGTAGAGGCAAGGCACTGGAGAGCCAGAAGTTAACCAGGCTAGATGGAAAGCACAGGAAAGTGCCAGGCCCTGCCTTGTCACACACAGCTGGTTCAGTCCAGTTGCTCTTAGTCATGTCCATTCAATTCCTTTGCAAACAAGAACCAGGACACCTGAAACAGCAGCTAGAACCAAGGCTTGGCTTACCCAACAGAGCAGCTGTTTGCTGTGAGTCACAGCTAAAGGTAAAAAACACCCACAAGGAATAGCAAGAGCAAAGTTACTGAAAAATATTCCCAAAATCAAAATTTGGTGCAAATGTCTGGAGAATGAAGACAAGAGGAAATATTAAGCAAACCAAGTGAAAGGATTAATGGAAAAGTACCCCCTAAAACCTCAAACCTTGCAATTCAGCCTTTGAAAAAGTTAGAACATATTCAAGTAAAAGAAGTGAAACCTTCTCCAGGAAATGAGTTTCTCTGCCATTTGTGGGTGTACAGAGAAAACAGGGCTGGGTCCTGATCAAATAAACAGAAACATTGTTCACAAGCTTCAAAGTCGTGTTATCCACACCCCTAAAAACCTGTTAGCCCCTCAAACACTGTGAACTTGAAACACTGAAGTGACAAATAAAACTCAACGGCAGCCAAGCCATGAGAAATACTTTCAGAAACACAAAGAAAGTAAAAGATGTCATGTTTCTATCAGTGAACGTCTTGAGAGGGATATAATTTGTCATCATCATGACCCAAATTCCTCTGTCTCATGCAAAAATTCAGCGAATTAAGGAAAACCTAGCCCTCAAGCAGCTTACTCAGCTTTCTAAACTCCATTAAGCACATGATCAGAAGCCCTGAACAAGAAGATAAGCATGAGAATGTTTAAGCAGGATTAATACTAAAACAATCCCTCAAAAAGAAGCTACTCTGTGGTACACAGAACAGTGCTGCTCTTGTGACTTTGGCAGTCCACAGTCATGCATTCTCCATCAGTTACATTCAATAGCTCTGCATCCTCACTTATAAAAATCCTCCCTGCAGCAAAGTGATTTTCATTTCAGCCAAAACTACAGTGTGAAGCCTCTCTGACAATTCAAACTGTAAATGGTCATGCAGCTGACATAGTATTCTTTCCCTCATAGATTTCCAAGCACAATCACTGTGAAAGCAGTGGCTGAGTGCCAGACTACATCACCACAGGAATTCTCTTACTCAGAGGTGTGGTTAATATCCATTACCTGCATGAGCTCCACCCATAAAAATGTAACATAAAACGAATGTGCTTTACAAAGTCCACATTAACCACAGACTTCTCAAACGGCCAATGCTTTCAATAGTTGCAATACACAAACCTCTGCCATCAAGACCAACAATTGATTCTTGTGTAGGCTCATTTGTTACTACAAAACTGTGCAACACAGTTGTTAGGATTCAGAAAGAACATGGTAGCAAGATCCTATCTGCTTCCTTTACTGACAAAGCCAATTTCTTTCTTTCTGTTATTCACTAAAATTTCTGAACTAATGCAACTGTAAGACTGAACCAGATTATTCTCTGCTAGAAGAAGAACTGTGAATTAGAACTGTCAATTACCACAAAATCACGATACTAACATCTGCTATCGTAACAGCTGTATCAGAATAGTAAAATTTTTTATCTTGCAGGATATTGAGGTGGATTCTAGCAGCAGCTGCTACTGGGAGTGAGACAAAAACCATCTCCTTGAGATCACAACTTAACGTGAGGCACTTCTTTTGGTTAGGAACAGACTGAAACACAGTGCTCCACAATCTGTGGACTGAAGGTCTCTTGAAACAAAAGGTCTGCAAAAGGTACTTAAGAGAAGCAAGCTTATGGTCAGAAGATTTCAGTCCTCTTTATAGGAACTGGTTTTTTTCAAGTAAATGGTGAATAGATGTGGGTTGAAAAGTGCTCTGATTTCTTATTAAGAACTTTCCCATGGAAAAAGTATGAATAAATCCATCAAACCTGGTGTGCTAGGTGAGCCCCTACAGCAGCCACAGCTGAGTAATACGGGAACGTCTGGTTACAGTTCATCCCTGCCACACACAAACTCAGGAGCATGGCAAGGCTGAAGCCACCAAGCCACTGTTTTGTATCCTCCTTGAACTGTAATGCAGTTGACTTCACACCGATCATGATGTCGTCCTTCTTATCCTAGAATGAAAGGATGGTTTAGCAAAAAAAAAAATCTACAATTCAATGTTGCTTCATAATGAAAATAAAAAGGGAGGCTTTGCTTAAATTCCCAATGCTTCTTACTAGGAACCCAATTTAAGTACATTTGTAGGCCTCTACATTAAAATTTAAATTAGAAGGTTGGTCTAAGAGCTGCTTTAGCAGCCAAGAGCTAATACCAACATCAAATTTGTTTACACAATGCAAATGCATAAGAGTGCAAAGGACATTTTACTTCCATCTTTCTATCTGATATATAAAACATTTGCAAACGACAATGAAACACCAAAGAGCTGGGACTTCTTTGGTGCTGTTTTAGCTCAGCTGAGGCTGAAGAACTGCCACGTTAGTTCTGCTCTTTGACAACAATGTTGTAATTAAACACACAAACTCGTGTATTTGAACAGAGAGATGTGAAATTTCTCAGTGTTACTCTACCTGATGTGCATAAATGGTATCGTACACCAGCGTCCACAGGACTCCAGACAAGTACAAGGGCAAACACACGGACCACTCACACGACCCTTTGATGGCAGACCAGCCAAGAAGGGCTCCCCAATTAAATGTAAGTCCTAAAAACACAAAGAGTTAAAAGAAAGAGAAAAAAGTTACAAGAATGCACATAATTAAATATTATTTGTTCAAGGGAATATCATGTCAGCACCTTTTTGTACAATACCAGGATCTCTATTTTTCTATCACTTATTTTCAGGCAAGTAATAAATATAATTAGTTTGGCATTAAATACTCTGGACATACAAGGAAAAATACACATGCCACACATTTTTCCCTAATTTAAATTTGACTTCATTAGTGTAGGGAAACATTTGCACAGAAATATTCCAGTATACTCAAACAAGAGGACCAAAGTTAAAATGCATAAATGTCAGTATAACAAAAGGTATCAGCATAACTGACTGCAAAACACTACATGGCAGCCAACTGTGGTACTTCAAGGCTAAAAATGACAATTTTGGTAAGGATACACTCTGAAGACAGCTGGAATGTGAAAGACAATGTACATAGATATGTTTCAGTAGCTCAGCCTGAAATACAAGCATCATCAGAATCTGTACTGGAGTTATTTTAGAGGATGAAGACTGAAACACAGGACAAATTTCCATCTAAGAAAGGTTTTGAGATAACCCCAAAACTAAATCTCATTTTCAAATGACAAATATTTATTTTCTTGCTCCCTTTCTTCCTCCTATCACTCCATCAAAACAAAGAATTGATTTCTAACCAAAAAATCCCAAACCCACACATCAACTCATGCATGTTATAAATTAAGCTTCTCATACAACAGAGCTTTGTCTATAACGTATTTCTATTTTGATATAGAGTTATAAAAAATCAGATTGCAAAAGTATGAATACTAATTTGTAAAACACCCCAAAAACTACATCTGAAGAAAAAAATAGTAAAAATATTTCCAGCTCACCCAAAACCAGCTGTGGCCAATACGTTATTCTCTTCATCAGAGGGTAGGTGACCACAAGAGACAAAGAGGCTGCTCCCAGAACGATACTGTAAAAAGTACCAAGAGGATTATTGTTTGCCAGGCTGAAGATCACTAGGTGTAGTGCAGCATTATGGGAGCTGTACATAGTACTGAACTAATTATTTTACTTTAAAATACAATCCATTACTGATAACCCCCTCCCTCTGCCCCTAACACTTTTTCTGCTGAAAATGTCTGTGATTAACTCTGGACCCAGAATCAAATTTTAAAAACCAAAAGATCACTCATACGTCACCTGTAGTAATTCAGACACAGAAGCACACAGAGTGCCAAGCTAAGCTGCCCCCCGAGAAAAACAAAGGACTGAAAAGTGGAGATATCTCCAGCTGCCAGGGGTCTACTTGCTGTCCTTGCAACCTGAAAAACAGAAATTATGTTAACACCAAATCCAACACAGAATCACAGAATGGTTTGGATTGGAAGGGGCCTAAAAGATCATCTAGTTCCAAGCAGAGAACCTTCCACTAGACCGGGTTGCTCAGAGCCCCATCCAACATAACACATCCCAAAGTATCTTTTGTAACTAACAGTCACACTATTGGCACGTAAGTGTGAAAATAAGCAAAAACAGGTCACAGAATGCATGAGATGGGGTTCCTTCAATGATAAAACACAGAAATACATCAAGGATTTCTAAGCAGCAGTGCCTAAAACCGAAGCATGAAGGCTTTAAAAACTAGTGCAGCATTAAGGTGCCACTTGTATGGAGTGAGGCTGATTAGAAACACTGCAAACATCTTGCATAATGAATTTTATCACCTTAGGGGAAAAAAAAATCAGACTTAAAAAGTTGTGAGCTAACTATCCTGATTTCAAATGGCACTTCTGCGCTTAAATGCTTTAATATGATTACCACGTAAAATTTCATGAAGATGCAGAGCTCCTCAAGCACACACAACCATAGCTAATGGTTATGTACCATCAAGCACTTCTGTGCAGGCAGAACTGAGGTCAGGCTTTGTCTAATGATCTCAGAAGGCTGTCTTGTAATGGCCTGACAGCACTGATTTTGCTCTGAGGCCATTGAGGTTCATACTGGTTAAGTAAGCAGATTCCAGGAAGGCAACTCCTCCTCCCTACCACCACAGTAGCATTTGGAGAGTTTTTCAACCAAGAATGGGAAAAACACACTGAGAGCATTGCTAGAAGAAGGGTGAATGGTCTAGTTGAGAGAGAAAGAGTGAGTAGTAAAGCTGATATAACAGAAATTATGGGAAAAGACATGTCTGAAAATACTTGAAATTGATGATGTTACCACATATTTTTTTTTATATATACTCTAAAGCATTGCAGTTTACATCCAAACAGCCTGGTAGGTTTAATTTTTAAATTAAGTTGGCTTGGAACTATGAATAAGGCCATTAAGTATGGCCTTAATAATCTTTTATTGCACGGATTCTGTAAATGCAGCAGGGAAAAGAACATCAAATATTTGCATTTGAGTAACTGATGGGCAATTTAAAACATTTGTTTTCTATTTTCTGGGGAGAAATGAAAGGGCCCTAGTTCTATTCTTTACATTTGTTTCTCTCTAATGGGATTTTCAGAATCCAGTCCCATCAATCTAGGGTTAATAACAATGAAAAGACAAATAATTTAATCCTAGTTGGGATACAAAGGAGTTCCAAAACTCTGTCTGGAATAATAAATCATACAAGGCAAACTGAAGAAAGAAACAAATATCAGAAAAAAGTTAAAACTATATGAATGGTGAGTTACTTGCCGAAGGCAACCAATTAAAAAAAAAACTCAAATGACTGAAATTCACCTCAACATGAGGAAGAACTTTTTTACACGGAGGGTGGCAGAGCCCTGTAACAGGCTGCCCAGGGAGGCTGTGGAGTTTCCCTCTCTGGAGACATTCCAAACCCACCTGGATGTGTTCCTATGTAACCTGTTCCAGGTGAGTCTGCCTTGGCAAGAGAGTTTCACTGGATGATCTCCAGAGGTCCCTTCCAACCCTAACAGTTCTGTGATTCTGTGAAATTGTGCATGTTGATGAAAATAGTGTAAAATGTCTATTTGAAGAGGTTCAAAAGCCAACTTGTTACAGAATATCATGTATGTATGAAGTGTCTTACATATGCTTTTGCAGATTAAACATTCACTTAACATATCTGTCACCAATTCCACTGCACATTGCAAACAGAGATGGGACATTTCACTTAAAAAAACCATTTACCAAATAATAAATAACACAAAATCTAACCCCCAAACCACTATCACCAACACCAGCCAACATCCTGCTGTTGACTCAGCTTCTCACACTTCTGTTGAAGGCAGCCTTTAAGGTACATCAAAAAAAGCCAAGGAGGCAATTTTTAAACCTTTACATCTCACCACATCACATAATGGAGAAATTAAATCACTATACTGAAAATTTCCTCATACTAATCACATCCCCCCCATCAAATATGTTTAGCACATGCAGTTGTTAGTATCTTGCAAGGCCTAAACCATCCAAGCTGCCACAAAGCCTGTACTGACTCACTGCCTTCCCAACAATACAACAGTGCTGTAGTAAGAACTCCACATGCTGGATTGGCTCATTATTCTGTCTCTTGCCAGCACCAAAAACCAAAACCAGAGAAACAATATAGGAACAGAAAACAGGACCAGCAAACAGTGACACATCACCAAGATACTTTTCAACACCTGACACCGGGCACTGCCTTTTGCTTATTTCCTTCTCCTGAACAAAAAGGAGATGATAAAAGAAAAATACAACACAATAGAAGGGGATTAGCTCCGGGTTAGGCATGATACCCTAAATAGCCATTCTCATGAAGAAATTAACAGTACAAGGAAACACTGCTCCTGAAATTAAGGGGGAGGGGGGGGAAAGTGATTCTTAGTGCAGCAAAAAGGTGTTACTTGTTTTGTTGTCATGCAAAACAATGCTGAGAAATAAACTTACATACTACCTACAGCTGACAACTGCATGTGTTTTATCCTATTTGGAGGTAAGTACTCCAGACGACTTATTACAGTACTAGAGAGAAATGTTATACAAAACAATTTCTACCATTTTAGGAGGAAACGCAGACAAATTAATTGTATGCATCTCAGAGAGAAACATGGAGGAGATTCTGAACCTGGAGCCCTATGATTGCACTCAGCAAGGCAGCACTGGTGATGTTCACGTACTTCGGTGCCTTCAAGATCGCTGGTGCCTGGCTAAAAAAGCCCCATCTACTAAAATAGCATCTGTTCAAGTGGAGTCTTCCTCTCTGGAGACATTCCAAACTCACTTGGACGTGTTCCTGTGTAATCTGCTCCATGTGACCCTGCCTTGCCAGGGGTGTTGGACTTGATGATCTCTGAGGGCCCTTCCAACCCTAATGGTTCTGTGATGCTGGAGATGAGTGGACATGTGTTTGGTTCACTGAATCACAGAATGGTTTGGGTTGGAAGGAGACCTTTAAGGATCACCTAGTTCCAACCCCCCTGCCATGGGCAGGGACACCTTCCACCAGGCCAGGTGACTCAAAGCCCCATTCAGCCTGGCCTTGAACACCTCCAGGGATGGGGTGTCCACAACTTCTCTGGGCAACCTGTTCCAGTGCTTCATCACCCTCACAGTAAAGAATTTCTTCCCTATATCTAAGCTAAACCTACTGTCTTTCAACTTGAACCCATTTCCACTTGTCCTGGCGCTACACTCTTGTAAATAATCCTGTCCCATTTTTCCCGTAAGTTCCCTTCAGGTACTGGGAGGCAGCATCGACCAGCATTGCCCACGTCTCTGCAAGCCCTCGGGGGCCCCTCTACCTTTCTGTCAAAGTCGCGATCCCACATGTCATTGATGGTGCAGCCGGCGCCCCGCATGAGCACGGCCCCCACGCCGAACAGGGACAGCATGTGCCAGTCCGGGAGGCAGCCGGGATCGGCCGCCAGCCCGATGCTCCAGGTGCATGGCAGGTACAGCAGCCACGTCCCTGCGGGGAGACAAAACCCGTGGGTGGCGTGAGCGGGGGATGAACGGGAGGCCACCGCGGGCACGGGGGCCCCGGCCCTCCCCGCGCTCACCGGCGGGCTGGTGCAGCCGCATGAGCCGCAGGTAGGGCTGCAGCGGGCCCGGCGCGGCGCGCACCAGCTCGGCCGCCGAGAAGCTGCGCGGCCGCGGGTGCTCGCAGGGGCGGCGGCGAGACAGCAACAGCGGCGGGGCTACGGCGAGGGGCGGGCGGGCAGCGTAGAGCCTGGCGGGGCCCCGGAGCCCGGCGGGGCCCCGGCACAGCCGCGACAGCAGCGCTGCCGCCATCTTGGCCCCGGCGGGGCGCCGCGACGAGGCCCCACGCATGCGCAGCGCCCGCGGCCGGGGCTGTGGCGGGCCGGGCTCCCTTGTCATCACCGGGACATAACGTGTTGGTGTTTCAGCGTGTGTGTCGTCTCCCAAACCTTTCCACGTTATATCGTTAATGAAAAAAAAAAAGCAAATAAAATGCCCATGGCAGGAAACAGGTGATCTTTAAGGTCCCTTCTAATCCAAATCATTTTATGGATTTCCGCAGGAAATGGGGCAAAACCCGGACTGGATTTTGGCCGGAGTACGGAATGGGGCAAAACCCGGACTGGATTTTTCTGGAGTACAGAATGGGGGAAAACCCGGACTGGATTTTCTGGAGACTGGATTCCCCCCCCCCCAAAAAAAACCCCAAAAATTAAGAAAAAAAATGAAGTGTTGGACTTGATGATCTCAGAGGTCCTTTCCAACCTGGTTGATTCTATGATTCTATGATTCTATGTGAGTGGCCTAAAATGGAATAAACCATTTTCTGGTTGCAACTGCTCTGTAAAATACAATGGTAGACTGCATAATTCATACTTTGTTCTTTGCAGAGAAAGCAAAAAGGTGTTAAGAAAATGTGTTTGTTTTTTTTTTTTTTAATCTGTGCTCCTTTATCTTCATCAATATTGCATTTACTCTAGTAAACTGGTGAATATTAATTTCAGCTGAATTTTTCCATTATCTGCTTGGAAATTATCACAGAATGGTTTAGGTCGGAAGGGACTTTAAAGATCATCTAGTTCCAAACCCCATCTGTGGGCAGGGATGCTTCCCACTAGGCCAGGTTGCTCAAAGCCCCATCCAACCTGGCCTTGAAGACTTCCAGGGGTGGGGCATGCACAACTTCTCTGGGCATCCTGTGTCAGTGCCTCACCACCCTGACAGGAAAGAATTTCCTCCTAACATCTAATCCAAACTTATCCTCTGCCTATTTAATGCCATTCCCCCTTGTCCTATCACTCCATGCCATTGTAAAAAGTCCCTTTCCATCTCTCTTGTAGCCCCCTTTAGGTACTGGACAATTGTATAAGGTCTCTCTGGAGCCTTTTGTTCTTAGCACCTGGAAAAAGGCTTTACAGGGTTGGTTTTGTTAGCACATTTCCTTTCTCCCTAGCTATTGAGATGTTCTGCTTTTTGCTTCTTGCTGTGGCTAAGAGATACACACTTTGCAGCCGACCATGTCTCCTTGCAGAGCCACGTTGCAGACTTGCAGAAGCCACACATGAAGGGCATCGGAGCCACCAGCCAGCGGCAGAGCCCTGGTCGGGCCCTGTGGTGAGCTCTGGCCACACCAGCTGCAACAGGAGGCAACGGGTCCTCCTGCCCAGCTGGGCAAGGGTGGTGCTCTTGCTGTGAATTTTGGGAGTTCACATTTTGATTTCACTGCTGACATTTTTGCTGGGTTTTTTGTCTGACTTAAATGCCAGATGAAGGGAACGAGCTGAGGTAGGTGTTTATGATGGACTTTTTATTGTCACAAAGAGCAGATACACTTGATGAACCAGGATCGCATATAGGAGTGGGTGGCCTTTCTGTGGAAGAAAAGTATTTTCATGGCTTGATTGCTCAGACAGTCAGTTTCACCCCAGTTCTGAATGGAGGATGAGCTATTAAAATCCTTAAAATGTTGGTGATGAGTGCTTTTTTAAAATGTGTTATCTCCCATACTGGCTGTGCATTTCAGCTTCCCATTTCCCTCCTCTCCTAGGCCAGCTGGTATTTGCTTGAGCCAGTGGGATGTCACGTATCCCCTCTTCTAGGAACTACAACTTTTTGCAAACCTCACTTCCCACAGCCTCTTGCAATGTTTTTGGAAAAAGAAATGAATCATTTATGATTCAGCTGGGGGGTGGCCAGGCAGCCCCATCTTAAAGCAGGGAGAGCCCCAGTTAAACTTTGGAGCTGTTGGAAGCCGAGGGAAGCATTCCAGGGCACGGCTCACTGTTATCTCAGGACTATTGTTAAAAGATTTCCTTTAAAGCACCATAAATCCCAGCCTGTTATCAAAGTTCCTAAATTGCAGTTTAATTGAATTTCCCCTTTCCCTGTTCTTGTTGAGGGTGAGAGAGAAGGAGAACACACCATCAGCACTTCCTCTGGGATGCACTGAACTTGCCTTGCTCCTGATCAAGCACTTGCTTTGATCTTCTCTGGGCTCTCTGAACAATCTGTGCATCCTGCTGGGAAACAAAAAATGCTGTCCTGCTGCCACAGATTCTCTACATAAGGTGGAAGTGTATCCCAAACTTTCAGTGACTAGCACAGGGCTTGAGTGGTTAAATATTTGGGGCATGTTAGTGAACAAACAGTAAATATTGAGTCTCAAAGAGGGAAATTGATATGTGTATGGTAAGTACTTAGTTAATTTTAAAGTGGCTGGGCTACATGGCTTGTGACAAGCACTTAGGGAATCAGCCCGATTTTTCTAGAAAGCCTCCATGTGGGGTGTATTTACTAAGTCAGAAATTAAAACCCAAATGCATCTGCTGAGAAGGAGCAGGGAGCACACCGCAGATTGAGAAGGGGATTAAAATCAAAGGTGTCATCACTCCCTGCTGCCTCCTTGTCTGGGGCTGAATGGAAGTGTAGTAGGATGGCTGGGGCTGGGGCTTCCCCTCATGTCAGGGTCATGGCACAGAGTGCTGACCTGTGGGGAGCTGCCCCTTGGTGCAGGTGGGTTTAGCTGCTGCTGGCTTTGACTGAGAGTGCCCTGTTTAGCCCCCTGCATCAGCAGGCTGGGGCAGGGGCTGTTCTGAGCTCCACAGAGAGGTTTCGATCACCCAGAACCCCCTGACACCGCCCCTTTTGCCACCACACTGCCCACCCACCATTGCCAAGCCTTGCTGTTAAAGCAAACAGGTCTGCACCAACCCCTTTGTCCAAAGCTTTTTCCATAAGGAAAGGGAAGAGCTCAGAGTGAAGCAGTCGGAGGTGCTCTGCCGTTAGTCTGGTCCGGGATATGAGAAGTACAATTTTTCTGGGTGGAAAAATGTTGGAAAAATATCTGTCCAAATGAACGCACATCATTCAGAGCTGTTCTCCCCTGAAGAGCAACAACGTGGAGGCAGAGTTAAGGGAATAAAGAATAGACAATGAACATGTAACTTTTTTTATTTTTTAAGATGAAAAATTAAGTCTGGGAAAAGGAAATCTGTGCTCTGCAGGCTTATTAAATCTGTAACCCTAACGACAGGGCACATGTCCACACCACCCCCTTCAAGTTACCTCCCACCCACTATACTTGTTTGTTGGCTGCCAATAAACCTCCTAGTGTGAGCAAGTTTAGTTTCACCATCCCCAGAGCTCTTTCTGCAGGGTCCCGGCTGGCAAAGAAGCGTGCTCTTACAGAGGCTGCTCATCAGAAGGTTGGTTCTCTTAAAGCATGGAAATATTAATAACTTGTTAGCCTGGGAAAGTGGGATAATAGTAAATAAAGTAAGGATTTTTTTTTCCTGCTTAGCACATAATTTAAATCAAACAATATTGCAAATTCTACTTGGGGAAGGGGGAGGCTTTTAAAAAGCTATGCATGAAAGCTGAATTCTGTAGCAGTTACCTTTTCTTTGCTGCTTTCTCCTGCTGACAGAATTGTATAACTGTGTTAAAGGAATCTGACTGGTACTTTACTCTCTGTTTAAACCGGGCTGTCCTGCCACCAGGTTGGATATTGATCGCTTCTATAGGTTGCTGCCTGATCTCCCTGAGTGTTTGCTGTCCCTTCAATGGGGTATGCTATTGGTGGGAAGAGCAGCTTCATGCTGCAGTCTTAATTTTTACAGCTAGGAGATCTGTTTCCATGTTTGCAGCTAAGAGAGGAGAAAATATGTGAATAATATTCGTATACAGAATACTGTGCATTTGTAAAAGTGTAGAGAGATTCACCACTTGTTGGTAGCACGGCTGTGGATCGGCAGAGGGAAGCCCTCGAAGGCATCACACGCTCACATTTCCCTCTGGACACACTTGGTACTGCCTCCAGCTGCATTCCCTTCCAACTCGGGACCTTCTGTGATTTCTGTGATTCACACCGGGCTTGCAGGCTGGCTTGTGCTGCCAGGTGAAGGCAGGAGTGGGATTTCTGGAGAAGCATGGGTTAATCCACAGGGTGGAGAGTACTCCCCCTCCCCCAGCACCCCCTACTTAATTTCAGTTTCTATTCCGGCTTTTGAGCTCAGAAACTGCACAGGGAAGAGCTTTATTAGCCAGCACTGTTCTGCCTTTGCCAAGCTGCTGTTTCTAAGAGATAAAACAAACCAACCGAATTTGTAGAAAAAAGACTTCTTTTAAGTCTTAATAGATGTGAGCAGGCAGTTTATCTTATCTAGAAAAACCTAGCCCCAAAGCCAAACTTTCTTTGAATTGTTATCTAAGACTGTTTTGCACTTTTTTTACTTGGACAGGAAGATAGAAGCAGAAAGAGTAGTTATTATTATTATTATTATCATCATCATCACCACCATTATTGTCATTACCATAATTATTATAATTATTACTATTTTAGATCTGAGGCTTACTGGTTTTCAAGATTTACTTTCTTGCTTAACCACAGGAAGGCAAGGAGAGAGCATTAGACTTGGGACACAGCCTTGAGTTTCTGTCTTTTTGACTCTCTATGAAAAGAAACTGGAGATATGAGTTTTCTATAGTATCTCTCTTGCATGGAGCCTGGCTTTGGTACGAGGACATGAGACCACAGGTGCTTCCCACATGTTTTGGCCCCATACCAAAGCCATCTTGTGTAAAATAAGCCAAGTTCAACAACTGAAATGCCCAAGTCATTCCCTTTAGCTTGGGTTCACTGCCTAGCCTGGCTTGGCTCAAGGGAAATCAGTGAGCTGTGTCTAAGCACTAGCGAAACCTTTCTGGGGTGGAGTGGGGAGTGCCAGTGGCCTGGTGCTGTTTTGAAGGCTGGATAAAGTGGTAGAAAATGCAAAAGCATTGAAAGGACACAAATGCAGGTAAGATATGGTTGTGCTTTATCACCGCCAGCAACAGCAAGAGAGCTGGGCAAAAGGCAGCCTGCTGAAGGGTGACAGTCCACAGTTTGGTTGGAGGTTCAGACCAACCACAGGTTTTTCACTAAGTAACCTGTTTACTGTTCCCCACCTGTCTCTTTCAGAAGAGCATCTAGGAATGGCCTCCCAGACGATCGTGACGATCCAGCCACAGTATGGCAGGCCCGCGGCCTCGAGGTGCATTTGGCAGACGGGGCTGATGGACTGCTGCTCGGACTGCAGCGTCTGTGAGTGCTGTGGGAAGTCCCCTCTCCTGGCCCTCATCAGGGGTGTGCTGCAGTCAGTCACACACCCTCGAGAGACAATTCTCTTGCCCCTGCTGCTCAGCTTGGTGGTGCAATGGCTCCAGCCATGTAGCCTGGTTCTCCCAGTTCTGAGTGGGCAGGCAGATCCTCACCCCCTGCTGTGTTTCTCCCCCTGCCAGGCTGCTGTGGGATGTTCTGCTTCCCCTGCCTCGCCTGCCAAGTGGCCGGGGACATGAACGAGTGCTGCCTGTGTGGGACCAGCGTGGCCATGAGGACCCTCTACCGCACCAGATACAACATCCCGGTCAGTGGGTGACCTGCCCCCTCACCCTGCTGCGAGGCTGAAAGGCGAGGTGACCCCCAGGGAGGTGGTGGATTCACTGTCCCTGGAGGTTTTTAAGATGAGACTGCATGTGGCACTTCAGGCCATGCTCTAGTAACCACAGCAATGTTGGATCAAGGGTTGGGCTTGATGATCTGGGAGGTCTTTTCCAACCCGGTTTATTCGATGATTCTATGGGGGATGAGCACAGGGCAGCAGTGCTTTCCCCTTCCCCATTGTTTTCCCTTCCGTATCCTGCATGATGCCAGAGCACGGAACAGGAGCTGGGACATCCTCAGTTGAGCTGATCCCTGCGCTGGTATCCAACAACACACGTAAATTGGACACAGCTCCTTCACTGGAGGCACGTGTCCTGCCTTCAGCTGCTGCTGACCACAGTGGCTTGCAGAGCCTGGGCTGCTGCTTCTTCCTTTGATCTTTGAAAGATGGGCGAGATTTGAGATAATTGTGGGCAGATTGAAAATAGATGAAATTGGTTATACAGGTCTGTAATGAGATTTGGGAGAAAGGTGGACAGTACATATGTGAAGGGTTTACATCCTGCAGGGGGTGGACTGGTGCCATGCCAAGTGCAAATCACGGGGGCCCAAGTTCACGTTGCCCAAATTGTCTCTTTCTGTGTGCATTTTTGTCCCCAGTGTGAACCTCAGGAGCCAAAGGGTAAGTAGCTATCCGCAACCTGCACAAAGGACTCTCTTCTTCCTTTCCATAGTGCCAGGGTTTCACCAGCCCTGGGCTTCAGTGTCTGCTACCCAGGATGCTGCAGCCAGCCAAGAAACAAAGGGCACACGACCTGGAATGGGATTAACATTTCCTTGTCTGGAACATGGCTTTTGGGAAGCCTGTGTCCCTAACTAATTTCTTCCTAACAGGGGTCCATTTGCTCTGACTTCTGTGTCACCTTGTGTTGCCCCGTGTGCTCCGTTTGCCAAATAAAGAGAGACATCAACCGCAGGAGGGAGCAGGGCATATTCTGGTAAGCTGGGGGTGCTGGTGCTGATTTATAAAGCTGCCCTCACACATGGCCAAAAGGCTTCCCAGAGTGTCTCCTACCGACACAGGGTTGCTGCAGTGGGGAAATGGCCATGGACATGTGAGAAAAGTGACCTGTCCTACAGCAAGATGTTGCTGGGAACCTCATGCAGGGTGGAGAGGGAAGGACTGGGGGACACACGGTGTGTGGTGAGGCACAGCCCTTTTCCCTGACACTCGTCTCCTATCCATTGCAGATGGATCCCCGCTGCATCCTGTGGAGCTGCTGGCAGGAGTTGCCACTGGCCTGGCTGTTGGGAAATGCTCCATGTGGGGCTTACCTTGATTCAGTTGATTTCCCCTTCCATGAGTAACACCAGCAATAAAGTTTTGAGTTTGTCTTCCTACCTCTGTCTATGTCACTCTTGTACCACCTGAGGGGATCCACCCTTCTCCCGTTTCATCCACCTCAGCAGCCCCTGGTGCAGCTGAGATTTCCCTTGCCTGCTGCAGAGAAAGATTTTCACGAGTATTTTGTTATTCAATCAGCTTTTAGAAAGGATATAGAATACCTGGGAGGAGTCAGTGTTGCTCATTCAAGTTGTAGAAGTTGGACAAGTGACTATGACTACAGGGTAGAGGTGGGGCTTCCCGCAGACAAGTGACATCTGCAGGCCACCCAGTGCTAAGTGTGTGCCTTCACCTTCACCACAAAACTTTTAAAGGGCAGGCAGTGGCTCTGACCATGCTGTGGGGTGGGTGTGTGTGGTGGCACTCCCACCTGCCTAAACTCCAGATGGCCCAAACAGTCTTATGGATGATCCGTGGCCGTACAGAAAATGCATTTTCAGCCTAAGAGAAGTAAAAGCCAGGAAAGTGGAGAGGGAGAGGAGAAAAAAGACCAGGCTGCTGCCTCATCCCAGCACAGTGTGTTACAATTTTGTAGATGTCCCTCGAGGCAGCACCTGTGTCACCCAGTGTAGTTACAATCAGCTCTTGCTGATGCTCAGGGTTAATGAAGGAAAGGCACTGCAGTTCCAGCAGAATATGGCTTAGGGCAGCACAGGTGTGCTGGTTTAAGAGTTAACCAGCAGGGGAAATGAACTCAACTCAAAGGAGAGATTATAAGTCAGAATAACAATTTACTAAAATAATACAGTAAGTACAATCATACAAACAAACAATTGGTCTTAACCCACAAAACCCAAATGTATAACCCAGTACCCTGGGGCATGAACAACGTGGTGTTCCTTGGGCCCCGCTTGAGTCCAAAGTAAAGGGAGAGGGGAAGAACCTGCTGGTGGGAGAGCTGTTGCAGTCTAGTCAAAAAGTGGTGATTGCAGTGAGATGCTGGGGGGAGAGCTGTTGCAGTCGGGTCAAAGTGGTGATTGGAGTCCAGTATAGGGTGATCCACGTCTGTTTGAGAGCGATGAGCCTGCAGTCCTTCTCTGGATCCCACAGAGTGGTTCCAAAATGTTCCAAGACTCCAAGATTATATATCCTGCAGTTCAGGCAGGAATGCTCAGCACTTCCCTCAGGGCGGGGAGTTCCACAAATGGTGTGAGGACAGGAGCATCCTCCTATCTCACAGGCCTCTTAACACCTAGTTTGTAGCCTGAGGAGTCAGGCTCTATGGGCAGATGGTGTAAATGGTTCATTGATAACAGTTTCTGGGAAATGGCATGGAAGGCTATAGAATACACAGTTTTGGGTTACACCCATACCCTGATGAACTGGTCTCAGTTGTCCTAACTAGGACAACAGGAGCCTGGAAACAAACTGCCCTTCCCTGAAAACGTCTCCCAAAAGCGGTATGTCCCACTGGGGCTCTGGGCCTGGGGAATACTGGGGTGGGGAAAGGTGAGGGCGGGCAGCAGAAGCCTGGCAGCAGCAGGCAGGCAGGCTGCAGCAAGGGAGCTGCAATTGCACAGAGCAGCACCTAAAGCAGAGTCTGGTCTGTGAGTCAGAGAGCAGAGGTCGTTTGCCAGAGAGTATATAAGGGATGACAACCAGGAAAAGGACATACGTGCTTCTGGGAGAAGGACGGCTTGGAAAGTATGTATGGCATGGCTTTGCTTCAGTTGTGGTACAGAACTATGGAAATTGCTTGTGGCTGAAACAGTGGTGCTGGGGAAGGGGTGGAGACAAAGGTGAGGTTTTCTACCTACCTGGAAAACTACTTCAGAGCTAAACCATGGCATGCTGGATGCTGCTGATGGGCATCTCAACAGAAGTGGGCATCAGGGGTATAGGACAGCAGCTTTTTGCACTGTATTGTTCATTTGTGCGTATATACATGGGCCTATAATTGCTGCTTTGTGACCTTGGTTATGGGTGAAATGTGGCTGCATGCTTCTCAGAATCCTTTTGTTCCTGTCAGTTGTTTCAACACAGCTGGCGATGCCATGGAGCTGTAGAACTGGGGGCACCGGGGGTGATAATGTTTGGAACTGTAGAACTGGGCCACCTCTTGGGAGGTGATTGTGTACCAGAGGCTTCTCCAGGCTGCTGCCTGCTCTGCACTGCAGCTTCCATCTGTGCAGGGATGTGGTGTGCTCGTACTCGAGGAGGGGAAGCTCGTGGTCAGCCCTGCCTGCAAAGGCCACAGTGTGTGTGTGAGCACCACTTGGCTGCGTTTTTATGAGGTGCTACTATTGATCATGTCATCTGGTAGTGCAGGAGCAGCAGGGGAGGCTGATGGGGTCCTGCCCCTAAAACGTAACCTGCTGCTGCTCCTGTGCACATTTCTCCCTGTGGTCATGCCTGCTGCTGGTCCCTGTGTGGGACCCCTGTGCTGTCCCTCCCTGGTGTCCCCACTGCACACTGTCTGTGGTCTGTCTCCTCTCCTGCCCCTCCCGGTTCCTGATTCTTAAATTGTCATGTGTCAAGACTCCTTGAAGGGGCTGCTGTTTTGGCATGCCAGGAGGTGTTACACTGGCTGCAGAAGTGGTGGGAATTACCTGGGATCTCGTGCATGAACAAGCAGGGCTGGCTGGCCAGGGCAGGGCCAGGAGGTATCTGGTGAGGGATGGTGGGTGCAGGGGCCCCTGCTGCACCCACGGTTGCTGGGGTTACCTGAGCTTGCTCCAAAGGTCGCTCCTTGCAAGCAGTGGGGTGACTTGCCCCAGAGAGGGCACAACAGCATTTTTACAGCTCGATAGCCTTGTTCAGTAGCAGGAAACAGCCTGATCTTTAGCCCCCAGTGTGACAGTGACTGAGACACTCCCACCAGCTGTCACTTTGCCCTTTCAGGCCACTCATCACCAAATGGGAGCAGGTGCCAGTATCTCCAGAAAGGAACAGCCCAGCCACACTTCCACTGCCTGCAGAAAGCTGCAAAAAGTCAGAGGCAAACCACATGGAGACTTTTTTCCAGCTTTCTTCCCTCTTACAGCATAATTCAATAATTTTTTCCTCTTCCTTTAACTGCCAGAAACAAGTGTTCGCCCTCCAGCAACAGGCTGTGTCTGACAGCAGGGATGTGTCTGGGGCAGTCTGTAAATGGTGGGGAACCACAGGAGCTGCTGGCGGAGCCATCAACCCCTTTGCCACCTGTTATTGTTGCGGCAGTTGAAAGTAAAGAAAAACATGAACAGTCTAGTACCGAGCAAAGTACCAGTCTCTTTATTATTTCTCATGAGTCTTTTTATATCCCATGTTAGTAGCAAGCAGCAGTTTTAGACGGTTAGCAAGTAACTGTATTTTAATTGGCTATTATTTGTTAGTGATATTTTTGGCAAAGCTCAAGGCTAAAATTTAAGTTCTCGCAGGACCGAATCTAAGCACTCCACAGCTGTCTTATTTTTGTTAGGGCTGCGTACATACCTCTCCTATCTCAAGGATACATCCGTAAATTTCCCAGGTCAGCATCTTCTCCCAGAGAGCTAACAGACCCACTGTCAACCCTGACAGCCACCTACTGGCAATAGTCAGTAAAAATGCAATACCACAGCCTATGTCTCCCTGATGTGGGTACCATGTACTCAATGGCATCATCTGAGTGCTGGGCATAGTAAAATATTTGTTCCACCATATTTCTGGTGTTAAATATTTCTGTGTAAATGTGCAACTCTTATATGAAAACAATCCCATTTCCCCTTATAGCGTTTTAATTTACAGAATTTGACAGAATTTAATGCCATCATCCTTTTCTTCAAAACTTAAATGCTTCCACTGTTTTTCTTTCTGCTCCTCTCAGCATCCTGAAACTCAGGCACTCCCTTGTCACACAGGGGTAGGGCAGGGAGTGCTGCTTGGTGGGCACCCCCACTTGGCACCCAGACAGGGAGTGCTGCCTGTGCAAGCAGGACAAATGTGCCAAAGGTGAGCAGGGGCAAGCAGGACCTGAACTGCCTGGAGATGCTTTGTTAGACATCCACAGTGACTGCCGCAGAAATGCCTGAGTGCTGTGCGAGGATGTGGCCGCTGGACAGGACTTCCCTGAGGTGCTGCCTTGGGACTCTTCCCAGGCAAGAAGCAGCAGCTTGCAGTTACAGGATCCAAAGCTCAGGCTGTTTTCTCGCTGATAGTTTCTTTGCTGAGGATGTATGGTGTGTGCTGGGAGTGGGAGAAAGCTCTCGTAGCTGTAAGACATGGGAGCCTTTGCACCTCAGCCCCGTGCTGCTTAACAGAGTGGTGCTGAGCTTGGGCATAGGGCAGGGGATGTGTCTGCATGGGACTTCCTGTGGGAGTATCCTCTATAGGGGCTATGGGGACCCTAGGAGACTGAGGAAGAGGAGGATGATGCATTGGCACAATCAGTCAAGTGGAGGAGGGATAGGAACTGGTGACTGGGCTAAGAACGATGGAAAGAAACAAGGAAAACCCACTGCCTTGAAGCCCGCTAAGAAAGCAGGTGAAGAAAGAAGGGAGAGGGGGAGGCAAATAGACTGAGATGATCATGGAACAACTACTGAGAGCCTGGGGAAGCTAGAACTAAGCTTTGGGAGACTGTGATCATAACAACAACAAAATACCCAACCCAAAACATTTTAAGCAGATAATAATGGAAGATGAACTGGAGATGAGAAGACAGGATTGAAGGTTGAAGCACTGCAGTTCTGAAGCAAAAGGACTTCTGCCTTCACAGAAGCAATTTACTTGCACAGGCAGGGGACGAGGTCCTGCTGCCTTTGGTGGGAGGCTGGTTTTGGGGAGGGCTTTGCTTCAGAGGGCGGCGGCAGCTCCTGGCAGTGCTGCAACCCTCACTTTGTGGTGGGGGTGGCAGTACCCTGGCAGTGGAAATGCCCCTGAGACCTGTGTTGCCCTCTCTTTGAATGCAGCAGCCTGAGCAAGATACCCACTTCAGAAACACCTGCAGCATCTTTCTCTCATGGCTTTTCTTTCCAGACCACAAACTGCCCAGAGGGACCTAACGCTGTGCTGGCAATGGACTCTCAAAATGTGGTTGTGATCCAGCCCCAGTTTTCAACTGCCCAACAACCAGGCAGGTGGCAGACTGGGCTGATGGATTGCTGCTCCGACTGCGGCGTGTGTGAGTACATATATACTCCTCATTCCTGCTACTGGTTCATGATGTGTTTCTGGTGTTCTCCCTGCTCCTTCTGCAGCATTGCCCCTTCTGCAAACCCTACTTTTGTGGGTACTAGCAGCAGAGAAGCTCTTGGCTGAGGTCAAGAGTCACAGCTCCCATGGCCACATTCCTGGCTGGCCTTTCCCCCTTTCCTCAGTCTTTGAACCCCTCAGCCAAGCCCATATCTCACTGTCCCACAGGTCTCTGTGGAAGCTTCTGCTACCCATGCCTGGGGTACAAGGTGGCCGGGGACATGAACGAGTGCTTCCTGTGTGGGACCAGCGTGGCCATGAGGACCCTCTACCGCACCAGATACAACATCCCGGTCAGTGGGTGACCTGCCCCCTCACCCTGCTGCGAGGCTGAAAGGCGAGGTGACCCCCAGGGAGGTGGTGGATGCACTGTCCCTGGAGGTTTTTAAGATGAGACTGGATGTGGCACTTCAGGCCATGCTCTAGTAACCACAGCAATGTTGGATCAAGGGTTGGGCTTGATGATCTGGGAGGTCTTTCCCAACCCGGTTTATTCGATGATTCTATGGGGGATGAGCACAGGGCAGCAGTGCTTTTCCCTTCCCCATTGTTTTCCCTTCCGTATCCTGCATGATGCCAGAGCACGGAACAGGAGCTGGGACATCCTCAGTTGAGCTGATCCCTGCGCTGGTATCCAACAACACATGTAAATTGGACACAGCTCCTTCACTGGAGGCACGTGTCCTGCCTTCAGCTGCTGCTGACCACAGTGGCTTGCAGAGCCTGGGCTGCTGCTTCTTTCTTTGATCTTTGAAAGATGGGCGAGATTTGAGATAATTGTGGGCAGATTGAAAATAGATGAAATTGGTTATACAGGTAAGGATCTGTAATGAGATTTGGGAGAAAGGTGGACAGTACATATGTGAAGGGTTTACATCCTGCAGGGGGTGGACTGGTGCCATGCCAAGTGCAAATCACGGGGGCCCAAGTTCACGTTGCCCAAATTGTCTCTTTCTGTGTGCATTTTTGTCCCCAGTGTGAACCTCAGGAGTCAAAGGGTAAGTAGCTATCCGTAACCTGCAAAGGACTCTCTTCTTCCTTTCCATAGTGCCAGGGTTTCACCAGCCCTGGGCTTCAGTGTCTGCTACCCAGGATGCTGCAGCCAGCCAAGAAACAAAGGGCACACGACCTGGAATGGGATTAACATTTCCTTGTCTGGAACATGGCTTTTGGGAAGCCTGTGTCCCTAACTAATTTCTTCCTAACAGGGGTCCATTTGCTCTGACTTCTGTATCACCCTGTGGTGCCCCGTGTGCTCTGTTTGCCAAATAAAGAGAGACATCAACCGCAGGAAGGAGCAGGGCACATTCTGGTAAGCTGGGGGTGCTGGTGCTGATTTATAAAGCTGCCCTCACACATGGCCAAAAGGCTTCCCAGAGTGTCTCCTACCGACACAGGGTTGCTGCAGTGGGGAAATGGCCATGGACATGTGAGAAAAGTGACCTGTCCTACAGCAAGATGTTGCTGGGAACCTCATGCAGGGTGGAGAGGGAAGGACTGGGGGACACACGGTGTGTGGTGAGGCACAGCCCTTTTCCCTGACACTCGTCTCCTATCCATTGCAGATGGATCCCCGCTGCATCCTGTGGAGCTGCTGGCAGGAGTTGCCACTGGCCTGGCTGTTGGGAAATGCTCCATGTGGGGCTTACCTTGATTCAGTTGATTTCCCCTTCCATGAGTAACACCAGCAATAAAGTTTTGAGTTTGTCTTCCTACCTCTGTCTATGTCACTCTTGTACCACCTGAGGGGATCCACCCTTCTCCCGTTTCATCCACCTCAGCAGCCCCTGGTGCAGCTGAGATTTCCCTTGCCTGCTGCAGAGAAAGATTTTCACGAGTATTTTGTTATTCAATCAGCTTTTAGAAAGGATATAGAATACCTGGGAGGAGTCAGTGTTGCTCATTCAAGTTGTAGAAGTTGGACAAGTGACTATGACTACAGGGTAGAGGTGGGGCTTCCCGCAGACAAGTGACATCTGCAGGCCACCCAGTGCTAAGTCGCCCCTGCTGTGGTGGCCCGGGTGGCTGTCCAGGGCTGCTGGCCAGTCCCACCTTTCTGAACATAAAAGCATGGGATTGGGGCTGCCTGGCACCAGCCTGCCTCCTGTGTTGCAGAGACACGCTCCCGGACGGACCCTGAGCATGAATTCCCACCCACCTGCAATTAAAATCCTGATTGGGTCATGGGTTGGCCACGGCCTGTCCATGGTCAAACCCTGTTGCCTTCATGCATGACCTTTTAGAGTCCATCTGCCTGCACTGGGCTGTTAGCCCTGCACTCCTGTCCAGGAGGTGGAGGTTGCATCCACCCTGTCTTCATCCCTCAGAGAAACGCTAAAGGATTTTCGATCCCTGCAAATATTCCCCAGCTTCACTTTTTAAGGAAAATGTGAGAATTTTTTGTCCCCTCTCTGCCTTCACCTTCACCACAAAACTTTTAAAGGGCAGGCAGTGGCTCTGACCATGCTGTGGGGTGGGTGTGCGTGGTGGCACTCCCACCTGCCTAAACTCCAGATGGCCCAAACAGTCTTATGGATGATCCGTGGCCGTACAGAAAATGCATTTTCAGCCTAAGAGAGGTAAAAGCCAGGAAAGTGGAGAGGGAGAGGAGAAAAAAGACCAGGCTGCTGCCTCATCCCAGCACAGTGTGTTACAATTTTGTAGATGTCCCTCGAGGCAGCACCTGTGTCACCCAGTGTAGTTACAATCAGCTCTTGCTGATGCTCAGGGTTAATGAAGGAAAGGCACTGCAGTTCCAGCAGAATATGGCTTAGGGCAGCACAGGAGCCTGGAAACAAACTGCCCTTCCCTGAAAACGTCTCCCAAAAGCGGTATGTCCCACTGGGGCTCTGGGCCTGGGGAATACTGGGGTGGAGAAAGGTGAGGGCGGGCAGCAGAAGCCCTGTAGGAGCAGCAGCAGGCAGGCTGCAGCAAGGGAGCTGCAATTGCACAGAGCAGCACCTAAAGTAGAGTCTGGTCTGTGAGTTAGAGAGCAGAGGTCATTTGCCAGAGTATAAAAGGGCATGACCCCAAGCAGCTGATCAGGCACACTCTTAATTCAAGGCTAATGCAGCATGAATGTTAATGTGCTGGGTGGTGGTAAAAGCACAGCTAATGCAAGCCCCTCCTGAAACAGCCTTCCTACTTTTCCAGAGTGGTTCTCTACATTTTCAAGAAGCGCTTCTGCCATTGCTTCATTTTTGTTTCATCTGGGGCAGAGCAGTGGTGGTGCTGCCTGCATGAAGTACAGGAAAGTAAACCAGACCATCTAGTTTCATATCCCACACTGTTACTAATGGCTAAACTCGATGATACCGGTTTTCTTCCTCCGGGCCTGGCCCCTAAGCAGCAACGTGTTTTAGGAGTCCTCCGTGAGCCAGTAGAGCAGAGTGTCAGTCACTAGAGGGCATCAGGGAAGAAGGATGTGAGACATCCAGCCTACGAAGGAGAAAGCGTTCTTCAATAATGCCCTGCTGCTGCTGTTTGCCCACAGGCAATGCCCTCAGGACACATTTCTGCCCAGGCACAAGATCACAGCAATTTAACAGTGAGAAGGAAAACGTGTCGGTCCCTTGTATGTATTAGAACAGCAATGAATGGATGTAAAAACTCCGAGGGTATCTATCAAGTTTTCTTTGCCCTTCTATGTATTTGTGTTCAGGACATTTCACAGTGGGTGCAGTGCTTGCCACTGTGGTGCTTCAACTCCCTCCCTGAGACTTACTGTCTCAAAGAAATCAGAGAGCTGGGAAGGAAAGTACGACAATGGACACAGAGAGCTGTTGTTAGAAGGAGCTGGTGGTAGCAGCCCTAGGGACGGTTGTGTTCACTGATAGGCAACAGAGGGCTCTTAGATCTTTCCTGGGTATGTTAGTTTTTAAGTGAGCCAGGCTCCAGCCTAAAAAGAAAGGTAGAGGCAAGACACCTGTAAGACAAAGCAGGGTTGCAGAGGAGTATAGCTCTAAGCCTAAATTCAGGAGGGCTGAAATGCAGCTCACTCTATGCAGCAGGAAACCTGCTGGGAAACCTGCCACTCAAGTAAAATATGTGATGTTAACATGGTGATGATTTAACTGGTACTTTCTGGGGCATAGTTGAAATATTTCAATGTGGGAGTGTTAAGCCTTACAGGGGAGAGGACGGTCATGTTATTTTTAGGGCTAATGGGACAGACCAAAAGGACTCCTGAGAGATTTGCATCTGATGCCAAGCTGGAAGTACTGTACAGTACTGTGCCAGCCTGGTCTGCAGCTCAGGAAAATTCCTGGTGAGCATCATATTGAGCAACATTAGATTCAACCTCCACAGGCCTTCCTCAAGGTTTACTTTAGGTCTTTCAATGACAATTACTCAAATAAGACTTGCTATTTTCTCCTCCTTCTAATAAATTTTTATTATGTTTTTAAACATTGCCTCCCAGAGCTGGGGTGAAGGTGCACAGCCTTTTCCACCTCTAAACAAAGGAGGCAGGTGTGGCAGCTGCACGGATTCCAGCTTCTGTCTCAGTTAATGGACAGCTGGTGGTGACCTTCTGCCAGATTTAATATTTAAACAGTACATGCAAGCTGTTTGGAAGCATTGTCTGATAAGGAGATAGCTTTCTTACGATGTGTATAACATCTCAGGGATGTTATATTGTGAATTGACCAAAGGTCAGCTGTGTGATATGGGTGTGCCACACATCTGAGCAAGCATAAAACACAAGTGTGAAAGGTTGAACATGTTTAATCAGTTACTAACAAGTAATTTTGTGATACACCATAGGTTAGTCTGAAGATAGATGAGGAAAAATTTATGAACACTTGTCATGCATTCTTGTCTTGTCTGACAAATATGCACCTGGGGCAAGCATGGCCTTGGAGACAGTAAGATAGAAAATAATTTGTTAGAGTAGAATTTATTACTGACTTTTGCACTCACTTCTGAGGGCACAGGTTTCGAGCCCTGCAGCAGGACATGAACACTGGGTTCACCTGATCCCCCTGGGAACCCTCTAGTAGCAAAGCTGACGAAATGCCAAAGTTTACACTGTCTCTCTCCAATGAAATCTGTAGTCTTATCACGGAGGAGTCATGTTCCTATACTGCATCTCCTTTATACTAATTTGAATCTAGATAGCCCTGTATTATCTTTACACAAGATCATTCAACTATCAGCAGGTAGCAGGGTTGATAACACAGTCCCTTCAGCCTCACTAGTAAACATGTCTAAGAGTGAAAACTTCCCAGTGAAATTAAATAAATCCTGGCCACCTCCCACAACTGCAGAAAGAAATGCTGAATTCCTGTCACTCACTGTTTCAGACTCCAATGCAAGCATTAGCTGGGGCTTTCCTTCAGACAGTCTACTCCGTGTCTGAAGACAGGAACAACTGTGAATTGACTCACTCAGAAGTGACCTCAAGGATACTTGTGCCCACAATTAAAAAAAATCCCAAATCATATTTGCTTTTAACTGTAGAGCAAATATCTGTGTGAACAAAGCAACTATAGTTTTTCATCTCCTTTTTTGTTGTTGTTTGTTTTGTTTCAGCGTGAGTGCCAGTAATGCTGAGAGCAACAGTTACCTCTCACTGCATCCTGTGCAAATGCTTTGTTTTTTTCTGACTCAGAGAATCACAGAATATCCTGAGTTGGAAGGGACCCATAAGGATCATTAAAGTCCAGCTCCTGGCCTTGCACAGGACAACCCCAAGAATCACACCCATGTACCTGAGAGCATCGTCCAAACAATTCTTGAACTCTGTCAGTCTTGGTGTTGTGACCACTTCCCTGGGGACCCTGTTCCAGTGCCCAACCACCCTCTGGGTGAAGAATCATTTCCTAATATCCAACCTAAAGTTCCCATGACATAGCTTCATATACCCTTTCCTTGAGTCCTGTCACTTGTCACAGAAGAGGAGAGATTGGTGCCTCTCCCTCTGCTTCCACTCCTGAGGAACTGGCAGACCCTGATGAGGTCTCCCCTCAGTCTTCTCTTCTCCAGGCTGAACAGACCAAGTGCCCTCAGCCATTCCTCATATGGCTTCTCCTCTAAGCCCTTCACCATCCTTGTTGCCTTCCTTTGGACACTCTCTAATGGCTTAATATCTTTCCTATATTGTGGCACCCAAAACTGGCACAATGTTTGAGATGAGGTCACCCCAGTGCACAGCAGAGTAGGACAATCCCCTCCCTCAACTGGCTGGCGACGCTTTGCCTGATGCCCGCCAGGACACGGTTGGCTCTCCTGGCTGCCAGGGCACTGCTGACTGATATCCAACTTGGCCTTAAACAGAACCCCCAGGGCCCTTTCCACATTGCTGCTCTCCTGCCTCTCGCTCCCCAGTCTGTCTGCACATCCAGGGTTGCCCTGTCCAAGGTGCAGAATCCGGCACTTGTCTTTGTTAAACTTCAGGCAGTTTCTGATTGCCCAGCCCTCTGATTTATCAAGGTGTCTCTGCAGGGCCTCTCTGCGTTTGAAGCAGTCAACAGCTCCTCTCAATTTAGTATTGTTGGCAAACTTAGTATACCTTTCAGTCCTGCTCCAAGTTGCCTGGGAATAGCCCAAATCTGATACTATGAATGGTCTGCTGAGGTTTCCGGGCCAGGCTGTAGGTATGCTCCCTGAATGAGATAATAATGTTTCTGCATCTGTTTGGTCACATGTGCACCTTCTCAAATGCTACTGGGACTATGCAATGGTCTTCACTAGCTGCTGGCATGCTTATAAGTCTTACGCAAGTCTTGAGTACAGAGTTAATTATTATTAAATTATTGACAAAGGAAAGATCCTGGGAGCATGATTCCTGAAAAATGAAATGCTTACCTATCCAAGGCTTCAGCCAGCTAAATGTGTCGTGGTGTTCTGTCCAGGATAGCTTTTACAGGCTGCCTTGGTGTTCACTAAATAGTGATGAGTATCACTAGGAAAAAGAGAGCATAAAAGTAATGATTTTAACTGGAAACCATCTGTAACTTGTACTCTTCTGCATTGTCTGCCAAGAAGAATGATTGTGACTGCATGAGCTCACACTCCTGTCAAAGCGCTGGCAGAGCCCTTGTGTGGGATGGTACCTGGGACACTGGCCAACTGCACGGAAGGAATTCCTTCAGCATCCCCCAGAGCCTGGACAACCTCATCTCTGGGGTTATTGGGCTCAGAAGCTACCACTGTCCTGGAAAGCAAAACTGTGTCAGGGAGCACATGGGAGAAGTGATGTGTCCATCACTGATACTGCTCCAAATGTTAGCACAGCTCCTGGAAAGCTGTGGCCTGTGCTGCCCAGTAGCCTCACCTGGGGACCAGTGCCCCTACCTTGTATAACAAAGGCTGCCTCAGCTTTGGTTCCTTCCACAATGACATCAATGACACGCACACATACCCTGTGAAAACCCCGCTCTGATGGGCTCAGAAAAGCCTTTGCACTATTGCAAGCATTTGGAACTGAAGGAAAACACAGTATCCATCCACAGGACACTGGGGGAGAAGGCTTCGCAGCCAGCTGAGCCTTTTCCGACATTCCACGCTGGCATTCATCCCACCCTTGCAGCTCTGCCAGCCCCGGCCACCGCTGCAAGCCTCGGGCAGGTGGAGATGCTTTACTTCATTCAAATGTCAACGCTACCGACACAGCTGGGTTGGGTCAGCTCCCGACGAAGTGCTGTGCCGCAGCTTACGACTTGTTCAGCTAAAAGAAGGAAAGGTGAAATTGAGGCTCGTCCTTGGCCCTGCCCTCTTGACAAAGCCCTCTGGCTTCCCCAGCGTGCAGGGAGAGGGTGGAGACTCCCCGGGGTGACGGAGCGCGGGGATCCCAACTCACAGCTCCCAGCTGTTCTGCAGCAGATGTGATGACACGGGTGGGACTGCCCTGCTGTGCAAGCTGAGCAAGCCGTCGGGGCTGCGCTCCTACACACCACGCTCGTCTCTTCCCTGGATCCTGTGTCCCTTCCACCGCTTCTGCCGCCTCCTCAGTAGCCCTGCAGCACTGACCCAGACCTGCTGCTGGTAAGTGAGTCCGTAGCAGCAGTTCAGCCCTTTTATTGAGATAGATTTAGTTCGGTGTAGTGGTTTGCTTCCTCGCCCACAAATTGCTTACGCTGCCATCGCTATGGAATTATATTCAGCAGCTGTTTTCCTCCAACAGCCAAGGAAAACGCAGTGAAACGCTCGCCTACCTTCTCCCAGCGTTTCAGGGGATTTTAATTGAGAAGGGAAGAAATCAATGAAAATGTTTCATAGATGGGGGGTGGTGGAAAGCTCCAAGGCTTAAACTAAAACCAGGAAAAAGGTGAAAAGTTAGAATATTTTGCAGGAACTGCCATGCTCGGGGTCCCCTCATGCATATTAACGCGCTGCCGACAGCGCGCCTGCAAATGCCTGCACGCCCAGTGCGCTGCTTGCTCGGTCCCCAGTGAACACACAGGGCTCTTTTCATGGAAGGTAGGTTACAAATCCCTAGTAAGTCGGTTGGCAATTAACTTACAGATTGCCTCAATCGCATTATCCTTATTTACTCAAATGGTTTTAATTTCCTACGCGTGTTCCTGAGAAAGAGGACTTCTGTGGTCCTGGGCTGGCTGTACTAGGCTGTGCTGCCCTCTTTGCATCCCCACATCCATTCTCTGGCCAGTCTACGCCGCTGTAAATGCATGCAATTAAAGAGGAAAAAAAGGTATAATTACAACTTCTGTGAATTTATATGTATCCAAAGTCCAAAATGCACATACTGTACTGTTTTAGCTTGCAGGGTGCAAAACTAAACTTTGTACCCATTAAAAATGAGAGAAATAATAGCATACTTAAATGTTCATCTAGCATCTCTGGCATGTTCAAGTATCCAGAAAAAAGGAAAAGGGACTATTTTTAAAAAGGGTTTGAGGCGGCTTTAGAAGACTCTGCTGAAAGGTGCTTGTGTCTCTAAAACTCTTCCTCTAAGTAATTTCAATGCTTATTCTCTATAGAGATAAAATACTTTGAATAGCTGCCTGCATTTTAAAAAATGCACTTCTGAATTTTGTTATTCATAATTTTAGTACCCCTCCTACAGTATTGTTTTTTAGAATTGTTTTTTTTTCTATTTGTAGTGCAAATCACTCCCGTGCCAAAAGCTTTGCAGGCAGACTGGCAAGAATGAATGTTACTTGGCTTTTTATATAGACAGTATATCTTAAGGCATACAAATAGGTTTACTGGAATTGTTTGAAAGACTCCAGGTATGGTATTGTTGTGGTTCAAGTGGGTTTAAGTCAATGGAACTTTCTAGTACATTTTGTTATTGGTCGATGTTTTTGTTTAGTGTCCCCTGTGTATGTAGGAAAAAGGAGACTGTACTTTACAAGTCTCAGAAGAACACACAGGAAAGTGACTGTACTGAGGGTTTCGTTTTCTGTGCATGAAAACAATGGGTAAAGAGATTTTGTGGTAATTTTAAATAAAGTAGTTTCATTTTGCCATTAATAAAAGGTTAAATCTCTTGATCCCGTGCTTTGTCTCCTGACAAAATTTTCTGAGACTAAATATCTCTGAAGAAAAGTATTTTCTATTAGGTTGAACTGAAATTATGTTGAAATCAGTGGCAAATATGAAAATATTTTAGAACTATACAGCAAAAGAAATTAAATTTGTAAAATTCCTGGAGTTCATAAATTTTTTATTTTGCTGATGAAAAAATGCATTATACCCAGGGTTAATATGATAAGGATATGAAACACATTATCATATTAACAAATATTTCTGAATACAGCAGGCAGTACATATTGTCATTGAATCTACTGCTCATTTCTGATCCAAAGTAAATATTTGCGAGCCATTGGCAATGAAATCTAGGAAACTTCATTCAGAGAATTTTAGTTTGCATAGAAATTGATTTGATTAACAGTCATCATGATTGTTTCTTTTTCCTGCACATCTTGTGACTAAAATATTTAATGACTACATGTCATACTAAACACAATGCATTATTTTTTTAAACAATTAAAAATTGCAATATTTAAAAAATTCTATTCCTAAGGAGCAATTGCAAACAGCTGACAATTATATTAGCTGTAAAGGGGCATGCCCCTGTATTCTTCTGGTGAAGTTTATTGCTAGATTAGAAATGGAAAGGTTGGTTTGTAAAATACCAAACTGGTTATGTCACTGCAACTCCTCACCCCACAGAGAAAAACAGGTTTCCAAAAAATAAAAGCAAATTAAATGCCTAATTTTAGCACATGGGCATCATTTCTGCTGTTAGCGCTTCATCTTCTTCGAGTACACTGTTAGCCGAGATCCAAATCACCACTGAGAGGTTTCCACAAATCACCCAGGCAAAGCCACAGCTGATCCGATCATGTGTTGGTCACAGTCTGGCTCGGAGGGAGAAGCTGGGTTAGGGGACTTCCCCAGGCCCCTTCCCACCAGCATGTCTAGAGCTCTCTCACTCTGCCATCCCCAGGAGCTGCTGTGAGGGAGACCTTGCAATGGTTATGCACCTTTGAGAAGAGAGCAGCTGACACAGGTTTCACACAGCATAAGTAACCACTCAAGCTTTAAGAGAATGAGTATTCTGCAATTTCTTTCTGCAATAAATTCTAGAAGCTCTGGAAGTGTAAAATGCTATTTTCAGTATTAACCTGACATCTGAAATAGATTTGATTTACTCTGGTAAATCTACCTCCCAGGTGTTCCCCTTACAGCACCCTACCCTGTCCCTCCAAGTAGCACAAGCACACTGCAGACACAAAGGGCTGTGCCAATTTACACCAGAGGTCCAGCAAGACCTGAATCCAGTCTCTTCTCTGAGCTGCCAGTAGCCAATGGCTTCCCAAGGGGCAACAGCAAAACACACTGTTTGGCATATTTGGGCAATCAGTGAGCTTGGGCCTTCCTCAACTGGAAGTTTCCCGCCAACAGTTTTATTAAATAGCCATTGAGGGACTGTCTGCTATGGACAGGTGTGATTCTTCTCATAGGTATTTTATTTATATAGCTTCTGCACACATCTTTGCAAGGATGTGTACAATCTCAACATAACTTGATTGGTAAGTTAAATTTGACTTTGACATACTCTCTGTTCTTAAGAATGACACTGTGAAAGTAGTGTGATCGTGTATTTATGAGGACAGTTTCTGATTCTGTGCTTGCTGTCTGCCTGCCTAGTTCAGTCTGGATGATTGAATCTGTTTAATTCTTAAAAGAAAAATTTGTTTTCTAAAAAGCATTTCTGAAATTTCAGTGCAGATGCTGAGCTAGGCTTTTGTGCTGGTCTCCAGAAAAAACCTCAACAAAACTAAATGAAACAAAGAAGAATTTAACTATTCTATTGATAATGCTTGAAGTCAGACTCCACCTTACTCTTCCCCGTTTGTTCATAATATTACATGAGTAAAGCTGAGAAAAAAATGTAATCAAACAACGTACTGATCTAGATACCTTATGGATACAGTGATATATCAAGGTCAGAGTCACGCTGTTTTCTGAAGAATTCTCCACTCTCATTGTGCTGCCTGGTTATCCAGCAGTCTAAGGGACTTTGTAATATCTACCTGTGTTATTGTCTCTGAGGTTGCCACCTTGCTCAGCAAACATCTGCTCAGCACGTGGTGAGCCTTGAAGTGAAAAGTTTCCACTGCAGTTCTGAACACACATCTCTAAGTTACCTTAGAAAGCATCTAAGTTACCTTAGAAAGCATCCTTTCAAATGGCAATGATCGATGTCCAGCCAGATTAGCCCAGAAACTACTCTATAAATAGCCTTATGAAATTAGCTGCCCTCCTGCAGGTAGGTGAGTCTTCTCTGGCACAAGTAGAGTGCAGGCAGTAAAAGGCCTCTCGACTTTAATTGTTGCACATTTAATTGATGTTCAATTTACTCAAAATCCATTTTAGCTTATATTAAAGCTAGTCCCATTATAATAATAATTGGAACACAGTTTCTTTGCACTGGGCCAAGATGACTGGTTACTAAAACATTAAGACCAACACAAGAAGACTGTGGCTTTCTCAGAAGAGGCAAGCTTGGGCTAGATTTGGGGTAGCATCACTGAGAGACAGATGAACCAGCCTTTACATGCAGATAGGCCTCCTGCTGAATGTAGGGCTTCCAGTGGGTTCTCTGTGTTGATAGCTACAAAGGAGAGTTCAGCTAAGTTCAGCTGTCTGCCAAGCAACCTTAGCAAACTGACAAGATAAGGGCTTGGTTTGTTATGTGACCGTATGTCTCTGTTAGATTAAACAGCTTTTTTTTTTTATTTTATCAACTGCTCTCAAATTCATTCAGCATGTCTGAAATGGTCTCACGATTTGCCTTCTTTCTTGCTATAAGCACTGTAACTATGCTGAGGTACAGGACTGATCGTTCCAGAGCTCCTAGCTGCTCATCTACCCTCTCAATTCCCACTAACTAGTGCATTACTAACATTTCTTATAGTGGCAATTAAAGTAATTAGACTCTGATGAGTCAACATGATATATCAAGAGAGGCCAGATCCTACCTCTCACCTGAATGACGCTGTGCTACTTAGGAAACACAAAGGGGACAAAGGTCCTCATGCACGGGGACAGCCAGAGGTGCCCCACGGTGCACATGGCTCACAGGCAGGAGTCTGGCTGATAAGGGAGGTGAGATAACTTTAATTATCCCACACCTACTTTCTAGATTTTGTGTGGAAATCAGATCCAAGGAAGATAATTACTTGTAATCACTTGGCTGCAGTGTCAGCTCCCATGTTCCTATAGCCTTGGCAAAATTATTTTGATTAAAAAAATAACGTATCAATTTTTAGATTTTGTTAACATTGCACTGGAGCACTAGAGGTCGGAAGTATGTCTTTACTTTCAGACTATCCCTTTTAAAGAGTACCTAATGGGCTGACTCTAAGCACATTCAAAAAGAGGAGGGGCAGAAGACCAGGTCCTTTTGGACCTCAGTAATTTTGAGCAGATCTTTTGGTGAGTCACCTGTTGTACCCGTGGTTTCCAACAAGGGTGCAGTTTAAGTACAGGCCTTTCTGCCAGGGGCAGCCCTCCAGAAAGGGCATAATGTTGTGCTAGTGCCACTGTGAGACGTACCTACTTCCTCATATCTGGAGAACAGACACAGCTGGTGCCTGTGGCCAGGTGCTGTCGCAGGGAGGGTATTGTAGGGGGAGGCCTCTGTGAGAAAGAACATGCCAGACATGGCCACCTCCAGCTGGTGCCAGCGGACCCACTGCTGGCAAAGCTGAGCACGTCATTGATGCTGGAAAATACAAGAGAAACAGCTGTACAGACACCAAGGACAGGGAGGAAAGAGTGGGAGAGGGTGGTCCAGGTGCCTGAATAGACATTCACCTGAGAGGGCAGCTGGGTGGGCATCTGGTGGCCTGGCAAGGTCAAGCCACCACAACAGACCGTCAGGGTGGAGGGAGACTGTTCTACCACCCTAACACCGCGTGAGGTGTGAAGCAGTAGGGCAGACCCAGCTCCTCATCAGCTCCATGTCATATCAAGGTCTGACCCCACAGGACCCAAAGTTATCCAAAAGAGAGAGATCTAGATGGGTATCTGCAAGGCCCACCATAGGTTCAGTGTCGAACAGTGGACCCAAAAGACGCATCTTTCCTCTCCATACCTAATCAAATCTTACCCTACCTGTTTTTCCATTTCCAGAGGAAGGATGGCAGAAGACCAGCCACACCTGTGCATTCAGATGTCAGACTCGAATACAAATGGCATCCCCAGCAGAAGGCCGTCCTCGCCAGACTTAGCTGGCAGGGCAGGGAGCGTGCTCACTTTCCACAACATCTGCTACCGTGTGAAGATAAAAACTGGGTTCCTGTGCTGTCAAAAAACAGCCACTAAAGAAGTTTTGAGAGATGTCAAGTATGTATTTAAATATCTCTGTAGAGTACGTGTATGTTTTATTTCTGTCTGGACAGCTGAGTCCACTCACATCACTGAGCCATTAAGCACAATATACAATATTTGACCAAGATTTAGAAAAAATTATATGTTCATGTTTGCTATCAGCTCTGTTTAAGCTTCCTCCTAGGCTCCAGTGGTCCTCAGTCTCTAGTGCTGAGCCTGTACATCAGAAAGCTCATGCTGCTGGGCATCATTTCCCTGGGCCCTAGGGGTACAGCCCTCCTGGCTGCTATCGGCACAGGGCCACACCAGCCAGCTCTGATCATTCTGCAGTACTTGGCAGTTCTCCCACTGGGCTGTAGTGTTTAACTGAGATACCAGCAGCCTGTCCTCGATGGTTGTGTCTCCCACCCTAAGGTGGCCTTTGGAAAGGTTAATCTTGGGAAGTTTACTTATAATGTGTAAGACAGTAATATATAATATATATATTATAATATATAATACAGTAATATAAGCGAGGGTTATGTTAATTTTAAAGAGATGCATAGTTTTCTGGGTTTTTGGTGGTTTTTTGTTGGGTTGTTTGTTTTTTTTCCCCCAACATTGGACACTACTGTAGTAAAGGAATCGTGTCATTATGGCCTTTGTTCAATAATCGATGCATAAAGTTTGCCTATTCACAGTTCAGTAGTTAAACTAAGTGGCAAGTGCTTATACAATATGCCATTCCAAGTCACCTGTGACTTTCAGCTCCCTAACTTCAATTTCTATCGTAAATATTCACCCTTTTGCATAGCTCTGTCTGTTCTGCTCTTTGTCTGTGCAATTTCCACACCTCCTAAACATGAGCTCTGAAAGTCTTTCCTAACTTCCTCAAGAGCCATATGTTGTGGTAACTCAGTTGACTGACATTGGTCATTTGGAACATTTTCTATCTGGCTTTTGAGTTTCATGTGGCCTAATGTCAGATACAGAGAAACTGTCAACTACAGTTTAAGTAAAGACAAATCCTTAGTATGTTCTGCCTACAAGGATCATTATTCTCTCTGTTAAAGAGAATACTACCTTTAGAGCTGAATATGGTTAAAGCAAGTGTGTGCTTCACTTGTGGAGATCCATGGGGTAAAAATATATGTACAGATTTTTTTACATTTTACTGATGTTTCTGTATTGTCTTCAAAATATGAAGACTAGTTCTTCTTGAATTAGGAATAAAAATTAAAGTGGAGTTTGACTGATCATAAATCTTGCTAGTGATCAGGCAGCTTCATTAATTCCAAAATTAATGGGATGCAGAAGGTAGTTGTACAGATAAGTTACACAGCCTACCAGTTGAAACAGTAAAAGAGGTAAATACACTCTATTTATTTTGTAAATCTGTTTCGTCCTACAGTGGCATCATGAGACCTGGACTGAATGCAATTTTGGGACCCACTGGCAGTGGTAAATCTTCGTAAGTGCCCCCTTTGTCCTACACAGAGATTATACCAAAGAGAAAATGAAACTGCACATATTTAGCAGTAATGGACAATACTTTCAGAGAAAGATCGTGCTTTTATTTTAGGTCTGTGCAAATCTCACCTGTTTCTGAGAAATACTTGAATTCAAAAAAGACAGTCAGGTTATATGACAAAGATGAAATTCAGCTTTAGTCCAGACTTTGCTGATAACACGATCTTTATGCATCATTCTAAGAAAAGCTCAATTTCTTGAAAAAATGGACATAAAATTGCACAGATCTCATTTCTTTAGGAAACCAGGAAAAAAAAACCTCAGTCCTTCAAAGTTGCTGGAGATTTTCTAAATTGCAAATGTTTAATGTGGTATGCTTTCATGTAGCTGTTTGTTCCATGAACTGGGCTTGTGACTCAGAGATCTTTACCTCCTGCATGGTCATCTGACAAAGTAACTAACTTTTCCTCTAGGCTACTTGACATTTTGGCTGCAAGGAAGGATCCCCATGGGCTTTCTGGTGACATTTTGATCAATGGAGCTCCTCAGCCTGCCAACTTTAAATGTACCTCTGGGTACGTAGTACAGGTAGGCAGTTTTTATTACTGTATGGATTCTATTGTAAAAAGTTGCTGCTGTGTTCCAAGTACCTTGCCTTGATCCAAGAAGCAGGGCTGTTGCTGTAGCAACTCTCCACACATCTACCCTTGCTGGGAAAAATACTGTGCTTTGTATTTGAGTTGCTTTCATCAAATGCTTTACAGCCTATGGGAGCAGGTGCTTTGGATCTGGATCCCCTCTTGTTCTCCATTTGGGGGAACAGCTGTAGGCCATCAATATGCATGGAGTATTTTCCAAGTATGATGTTTTCTGGTAATATGCACCTGGCACCTTCACTTGCCCAGTGACAATGTCACTAATTCCCGTTCTGAGAAAACCTTTATTCTGCCAGGGTGGGCTGGGAAGATGGACAAAAGAAGGAAAACCACATGCCTCTTTTCATTTCTTTCCCCTCCCCACTCCTCGTGCTCAGCAGTGGGCTTGTAAGTCTATCAAGGTCTGTAAGAGGTGCACCTGGAAAAATTATAAAAGCATGGTCAGCATGTTACAGAAAGGGGGTGGTATCTCAAAACACACGTAACTGAATTCCTACATCTAACAGATTCCCTTTGCAAGAGACAAGCAGATAACATCTAAAAAACCTACCCTCCTTCCTCCTTTGCTGAAACAAGTTTGGAACACCTTCACCCTCACCAACATGGACACAACCTGTGTTTTCCTTCCTTCTTTTCTCCCTGCTCTCACCTGTAGTGGGCTGGGGCTGCCTTAACAAACACACTGTGATGTAGCTGCTCCTTAGGTCCCTTCAGCCCTTCAGTCTCTCCCTCAACACCTTCAAAAAACTGCATAAGGTAAGAAGACAAAAGGGATAGTTTTTAATTACTTTGCTATTTATGGATTTTGATATCATGCATGATGAAGGATGTTCCTATATTGCGTTGCTTATGAATTAAGTCAAATACAGTTACGTGCATGGAATCAACACTGCTATGACACAAGCATTGAAGATGCACCTTATCACATGCTCTGGCCATTGCTACTGTCTCTCTGCATGCAAGAACAGCATAAAACATAGGTAAATGCAGTTCTCGGAGGAATAAATAGAAATTACTAAGCAACCACCAAGTATCTTTTTTTTTTTTTTTTTTAATGAAGGATGATGTGGTGATGGGAACCCTGACTGTAAGAGAAAATCTGACATTCTCAGCAGCACTTCGCTTGCCAAAGTCAGTAAAGGAACAGGAAAAAAGAGAACGAGTGAATCAGATCATCAAGGAACTGGGTTTGAGCAAAGTGGCAGATTCCAAGGTAAGGCATGTAAATATGGTGCTTAAATCATGAGTAAATATTAAGTGATTTATCTAATGAGCCAAATGGCTCAGCATGGCAGATTAAAAAAAGGCTAATTTCAACAGTCTGTTTCAGTAATACAATAATTAATAACATTTCTCTATGGGGATCTGTACAGACTGCACTGATGCTGCCCTGTGCTACTACATTGCAGGGAAAGGGAAAGGTACTCTGTGTTTGGAGAAAAAGAGAACACCTCAAGTAGTACTAACATTAATAAATAGCCTACGTGTGAAATAACATTTACATCTATTCCAGAGAGTAGGGCCAAAATTTCTTACAACTCTTCCCAAATAGTGCTGTGTGGGTAGGATACTGTTCACTCAAGGATTTGTCATCAGGCCAAATGAGACAAGTTTCTTGTTTTATGGCAGGTTGGCACCCAGTTCACTCGTGGGGTGTCCGGAGGAGAGCGGAAAAGGACCAATATTGGGATGGAGCTCATCACGGATCCTGCCATCTTGTTTTTGGATGAGCCAACTACTGGACTTGATGCCAGCACTGCTAATGCTGTTCTACTGCTGCTGAAAAGGTGATGGCCTAGGAAACAGCCTCCTGTTTTCAACACTCCTCTCTGCTACACTTGAGTCGTATTTTACTTAAATTACAGTTAGAATGAGGAAATAGGGAAATCAGACATGTAATTGTTTACCAGTGAGCCAAGTCTGCAAAGGGGGTAGGAAAAAGCCTGTATGGATTCTCTCTCTCCAAAGTGAGAATTTTTTTCTCAGATGGACACTATAAATATGATTTGAATATTTTCTTTGGATTTTTTTTTCCTTCTTCCTCCCCCCTCTGGCATGACAGGTTAATCAAACTTCACCAAGGCTTAACTGAACTTTTGAATTCTTTTATCTAAAGGCTGAATTGACTTGTAAAGCTAACACCCGTGTTGTTCTTCACGTTCAGGATGTCAGAACAAGGAAAAACGATAATCTTCTCCATCCACCAGCCTCGGTACTCCATATTCCGACTGTTTGACAACTTGACGCTGCTGGCTGCAGGGAGAGTGCTGTACCATGGGCCAGCCCAGCATGCCATTGGGTACTTCCAGTCCCTTGGTGAGCACAACTTTTGCAGCAACACCCTTAGTGTGCACTACTAGCTTGAATAAAATGCCAGTAGCTGTGGGTCAGAGTTGGCCACAGCATGTATTAGCAAGCCCAGGGTTTTAATAGGCTAAGCATTTCTCTGGGAGTTTCTCCTCTTAACCCACATGTAGGTTTGGATGACAGGGCTGACCTCTAATGAACTGTTCCTGGGTGCATCTTAACTAGACAAAGCCCACGCTAGGGCTGGGAAGGCACATTGCCAGCTGACACCTTGCTTTTACTGATGGAGCTGCCTGGCAGTGCCATTCATCCCTTGGGAAAGCACAGACCTTTTGAATCCTGCCCTGCCCATGGTACAGGCTGCTCAGTGGGCACAGCGTGTAGCTGTGTTCTTGACAGCCTTTGTCCAGTCACACAACCATCACTCAGGTCTTGCACTGCTGTCACCACAGGCTACCAGTGTGAGCCGTTCAACAACCCTGCTGACTTTTTCCTGGACGTCATCAATGGAGACTCCACCGCTGTGGCAATGAACAAGACTGATGAGATTAACACAGGTATGAAATGCAGAGCTGAGTCAAATTATCACAACATGTATTTTGCCAGGAGGTGTCCAACACAACATTCTCAGGTGTCAACCAACCAATAACTTTGTTGTACAGTGTATGGCTGTTTGTATGCATAAGTGTCATGCACTGCTGATCCATGTTGCTTTAAAGGAAAAAAACCCACAAACACGCAATTCCTAAATCCTTTTTGTTTATGTGTGGAAAATAATTAGCACAACCTGCAATAAGTACCAAATTCACATGCAGCTCTACTATATAAAACATTCCTGCCTATGCAAGAATAGTTTGCCTCTCATAAATAGGTATTTAGTAATTTGTCACTGCTATCCATAAACTGACCTGCATGCTTTTGTGTCACATTCAAATAATGAGATGTTAAAGGTGCAAGAATATTTTCCTGTATTGAAATTATAACGTCTGGGAATATAAGAAACTATTTTGGTAACTCTCAACACAGAGAAAGAGCTTTCATCTTCAAGGCAAACCAACTGATGTCCTGCAGAAGCAGAGATGATAAACCAGTTATGGACATAATTTGATGCAATTATGACTTATATTTTTTACCCAATGGAATGGTTAATCTATTAGGAAATTACTGTTTTCCTTCCTCTGAGCCAGGTGGGAAGACAGCATAGAGGTAGGGGACCAGTGTTCACTTGATGCTTCCCTGAAGTTGTGGTAAGGCAGAAATTATCCCCAAACTAAAAAATCAGATCTTGCCTATGTTCAGTAGCATGCTTTTTCATCCTTTTCTGCTGCCACTCATTAATAGCATACTCTCTTTTCCCAGGACTGAAAAGGAACATGAAGTTGTGAATATACTATGTACTCAAACACACAGTTTCACTATATCTTTACCAAAAAAGTAATTGTTTTACAAAATGCATTTTTCAGGATCTGAAAAATATTATACCTGGTAATAGATGTTGTTGGAAAAAGCACATTGGACTATAGTTGAGAAAAAATGGAGGTTCAGCTGAAATTTCTTCATGACTAAAGTAGACACATGCAGGATTACCTGGATTTAAAAGTCTGGAAAGTCTAGGGTTACCTCATCAGATCTGTGAAACAGATCATTTACAGAAACCTTGAGGGGTGAGAAGCGGGTGTTAAAGTCACTTTTTGATTAAAAGCTATATTGTTGTCATGTTGAAGCTTCATGGGCAGACAAGGGTTTACCTAGTGAGTCTGCTGTGAAGCTGCTGCCTGTGGTCAGGTTGCACAGACAAGCACAGAGGTTTGGTCTTACTTACACAAACTCTTTTGAACTGCATGCTATGAGGGCAGTGAATCACTGAAACTACATGTGCATATTAATTCTTCTGGTTCATTAGTAACTCTCCCATCCCAACAAAACTTCCCTGGCCTAACTCCTAAACAACCTTCCCATCCTTTACAGGCACGGTCATGTTTCTTTTTAATCTTTTCAGCAGAGAGCACTGAAGAACGCACTGAATATGATAAAACCTTGGCTGAGCACTTCGCAGAAAAATACTCCAGCTCTACCTACTACCGAGAAACAAAAGCACAATTAGAGAATATTTCTTTGGGAAACAAAAAGAAAACCAAATCAGTTTTCCGACAGATCACATATGCCAATTCCTTCCTTCATCAGCTGAAATGGGTGTCCAGGCGCACGTTTAAAAATATGGTACGAAACCCTCAAGCTTCCATAGCTCAGGTAACGCTATTTGTATCTGTTGTTTTGTGGTATATGTTGAATTTATTTGACTCCTGTATTATTAGATGAGTCACTGGGATAGTTTTGCCTCTTGATATTTTGATTGTAGAAAGCATCTGAAGAAAGTGTGTTCAGGGTCTGGGAATCTGATTCCCTAGAAGGTGTCCTCAATGCTCCCAAATGAGAAGCATGCAGGACTGTTCAGTAATTAATTTTGGACTACTGAAAGACTTTAGGAGGTAAGATCTTTTCCAGTAGGGTATTCTGCTGCTCCTGACCAGGAGCACATTATGTCCCAAGTAGTTTCTTGTATTTGCTCATGAATATTCTTCAAACTTGACTCTAATTGCCCAGGCTTGGCACTGTGGGGTTTGACCTCCAATCTTCTCCCCTGCCAGGAAAAGTTAACAGACTACACTAGCGTACCTAATTAACCTTCAGTACAAAATTAAGTGCTGGCAGTTGGCTCAAGCGCAAAAATATTTTCACGGTCTCGTAATGTGCGTGCTGTTTGGTCATTTGGCTGTCCATATTGGCAGTGATGTCTTCTGGATAAGATGTGATGAGGACCCACAATGGGGTCTAACACCCACCATGAAAGACAAGCATGTTCTACATGACTGACCCTGTTAGTGCTGCTTTTTCAGGAGAATCAACACCAAAAGTGTTGACTTCTTCAAAGCTGTACATTGCCTTCAGAAATAAAGAATGTCTGGCTGCAGAATGACTAATCCTCAGGAATCCTGTAATTCATGGGCCAAACTGCAGTCACAGTAGCAGCAAAACTCACAATTCTCAGCAATTCTAGAGGAGACAACAGAAAAATTGGTCTGGATCCAGGGGTATAAATTATCTTCATCATGGCTTTTATAATGAGTGAAAAAATGGCCAGTGTGGAGGGGAAATGAGTCCAGAATCCCCAAGGTTAAAAGGCTTTGATATATGTGTGTGTGTCTGTATGTTGATACTATGGAGATCTTTAATAATTGCTTTGTAAAAGCTTGACCTTGTGACAAGAATTAGGCTCTCAAGGATCTCCTAATACCCCCAGGTTAATAGTCCTGACTTGTTTCTCACAATCTTTTCTATCTCCCCACCCTCATTAGGGATGGATTTGACCAGCATTCTTTTAGTGGTACACGGCCCGTTAAGCCTTTTTTTCATTAATCTGCTCCAAATTGGTCTTGAAATGATCCCTGCTTTCCACTGCAATTGGCTTAGGACCTGAATTATCCCTGACATTTGCTCCTTTCGGCAGGATCTTAGTGATAGGGTACCATGGATCAAGGGGTTTATGGTGTTAAGACTCATGCATTGCTCAGGCTTAAAGATGACAGAACTGCCTGATACCATCAGTTTTCTTGTGATTTTTGTCATCTGCGTTTAGCGTTTTAAAAGTGTGATGCACACACTTCAGTCTTCATCCCTGAGCCAAGTGTTATTTTTGCTATTTAAATTGTGTTACAGACTGCAAATATCAGCACATCTACAGTCCAATCGTAGTATCTTGTTAAAAAAAGTCTCAAGAATAAGATGTGTAATAGAGCCCAGCAATTAGACATTGTGGGGCATGAAAATAAAATGTCATCCTCAGCCTGGCAGTCAGGAAAGACTGATTGCCCAGCTCAAAGTAGCCTTGAGATGGCTGCAGAGAAATCCCCACAGAAGCAGTGCACTGCAGAGCTGTAGTCAGCCCTGGAACTGTAGTGACCCTGGAACTGACAGCAGATGGGGAGTCACTTTCTGTCCAAAGGAGAATGAATTGTGGAGATTATCAGTAGCGAAAGAGGAGAAATGTTGCAATCAACTTAATTAATTTAATCACACCATCTAAGAATGGTTGAAACAGTGCTTGGGGAAAGGAGTTTGGGTGAGGTCCGTGTGATGCTGGGGATCCCTCTTTCTAACCTGCACCAAGCCTCTGCTATCCTCATCCTCCCATTGCTAGTATTAGCATCCTCCCGGCATTCGTGGAGCAGATCCTCAAGATCTGGCCCCACAGGAGGTCACAGAAAAACCATGATATCACTGCAGGATTGTGCCTCCTGCAAGTATCACCACGGCAGAGTGAGCAGCAGCTGAAGCTTCCACACTGTCCCTCCTGTCTTCACTGTCCCACTGCCTTGACCACATGAGGCAGCAGCAGCTGGCCACTGCCACGAGCAGGTGGCACTGGGGAGTTGCTGTATCTCAGACACCTCTCTGAGGATGTCATGGCTCGAGACTCACAGTACTGCAGAGCTGCAGGTTGCTACCACCCCATTGACCCCCTTCCCAGCTTGGGCAGCTTTTGTCCTTTCTGAAAATACTTCTTGTCAATCCGCACTCGCCTGCTACATATTTTAAAAAAAACCTACTGAAGTTTTGAAGCAATGAAAATGACACTTTTCCTCTTCTTTTCTTTTTTTTTCCATTTAGGTGAGTGTTACGGCTTTTCTGGGACTGGTTGTAGGTGCCCTTTTCTTTGGACTTAAAGAGGACTCCACTGGACTACAGAACAGGTTAGTCAGTTTGAGTAATGGATGTTCAAAAATTTGATTTAAAGCTCTACCTCTTTAAAGCAAATGCTTCCCTTCAAATCAGTAAGTAAGGCCAAGCCTGTGTTACTGACTCCGAAGTGAGGATGTTCTTTGGTCCCTGCAGAACTGAGAGGGGGATGCAGCTCTGCCCTGCCATGCTGGAAGCTGGACAAGCAGTCTAAATGAAATGAGTGATGATGCTTCTGTAGGATGACACTTTTCAGTGCCAGTCAGGCTGCTAAAAATGCTGAAGAGCAGACATCATATTAAAAAGGTTTAATTCAGCATGGCAGCATTTCAACTTATTTTCTACAAAGATTTTTCCAAGATGAAAAGAACAAAGATTAAAATATGCAGACTTGGCTACATAAACCTAGGAAACAAAAGCTTTAATCTTGCATCTGTTTCTGTATACACACACTTGAATTTACCAGCAGTAAGTCAGAAGGTGCACCTAAAGCTAGGTTTTCAAATTATTCTGGTCTATGTATCATTTTGACAGCTGTATATACATGACCTGACACATGATTTTGCAACTATGAAACCTCTGGGCTGCTAATCCTGAAACACTTCATATATGGCATTTACCTAAAAATGGCCCAGTTTCAAATTGGGTATGAAGTGCCTTAAATTTCAGTGGAAAAACTGAAAACTACTTCTCACATTGCTTCCTCAGTTCCTCATAGTTTGCCATCAGACAAATGTCTCACAATCTGAGAACTTTTAATGTGTCAGGAAATTATATAAAAAAACTGCATCAAAGAACTTACTATTCTTGCATGCCAAAAGCAAATACGAACTGTACCATTGTAATTCAGGCTTGTTACAGACTCAGACTTGTAGCCAAGCTTTCTCCTGTGGAATTTGGGATGAGAGGTCACAGACTGCTAAACTTCAGGCGCTACAGTTGGATTTACATGCGCAGGAGTGGAAACACTACATTTACATCACATTTTTAATAACAGCTTGCTGTTTTGCTTTTTGTAGAGTGGGTGCAATGTTCTTTCTGACCACCAACCAGTGTTTCAGCAGCATCTCAGCTATTGAACTCTTCGTTGAGGAAAAAAAGATATTTCTGTAAGTAGAGCATACAAAAGGTTATCAGGCACTACTGTTATAAAGCAAGTTTGTCTGCCCTACTGTGGCTAATTGTCATTTATGTACACCAAGTGGAGAGTTTTCAAATTATTTCACTGATAGTGCTCATTGCAAATGTGCTCTTTTAACCTGTGAGTTGTCTGGAAATCCCCCAAACAGTAGCTGTGATCACAAATAGCTGAGTTTAAAATTACTGACAGAGTAGGAGAAAAAAACTCCCTGAATATTCAATTTTGGTATTGATTAATAAGTTTGTGACTTGCTAGTGAGGGCAATAAATACTATTTAACTGGATTCTTTAAAGCTATGCATATTACACTGTATAAAAAATGAAAATTATTTAAACTTTACCTTTTCTGTTTTGATAGCACAATATATATTTACTAAAAACCATATGCACAAGTATCCACGTTCAGTGTCTGGCTTACTGGACGTTTGCATTACAGCCTAATTGTGAAAGATTTTTTTCCAGTTTGAGCTAGAATTCATTTGTCTAAATAACCGTACTGATTTTTAGTGATTTACATTTGTCATATGCTGTACATATCTCTGTGTTCCAGACATGAATATATCAGTGGGTACTACAGAATATCTGCGTATTTCATCTCAAAGCTAATGGCTGATTTAATACCCATAAGGACTCTACCAAGCATCATCTTCACCTGTATAGTTTACTTCATGTTAGGCAAGTATGGTCTCCTACAGTCACACTGCAACTCCCAACCCCCTTCAGTAAATCAACGTGGAACATGTGTTTTATAGATGTGTATGTACACATACATATTTATGTAGGGTAAAGCACTGCATCGGCATGGCATTGGTTACTGCCAGTTGCTTTTAGCACACCATGTGGTTTTCTACAGAAAAGAAACACTTTCAAAGATTTAAGCATTCAACACAGAATCTGTGACATCTCGTGTCCCCTGTCCCTAGAAGGAAGCATGACGTGAGCATTATTGCATAGGTTTGTTCTATTCCTTTTCATCTATGGCCTTCTTAAACATCTGATGACTATTACAAGATACTTTTCCAATCCCTGCAAGAACATCTAAAAGAAAAATTTTTGGTTTAAGATCTTAATATTGTGTGAATTAGTATCAAATTGTTATTTTTGGTGAGATGCCTTCTGGTTAGTGATCAGATTTTTGAAAGTTGCTGGCACCAGCTTTTACAACCGTAGAATACATTGAATGTTATCCTCAAAATATGTCCACAGCAGACCATTTTCCTAGAGTAAGGTTTCAGATGATGACATCCTTTTGGGATGTCCCAAAAGCTTGAAAGTACAAGCAAGACTTAAAAATAATCACAGTGTGCTTTGGTCTGAGATTTTTTCCCTAAGGAATAGGAAAAAAGGCTGCATCAGCAAGAGGCTCTAGGACTGTGAAACTGGAGTGAGATAGACCTTGCTACCAAATCCACAGTCACCGTAAGTCTACTAGGTCCTTTAGGAGAGCTCTCTGCTGGAAACCAGTGAAATGCTGTACAACTGCTGCTCATGGAATTGCACTATGTGAGAAATAGAAACCCAATCGGGCAATTTCCAATCAGAATTTTATTATATGATAAAAGCAAATTCAGCGCTGGGTGATCAGGGAAGGGGTTCAACAACTCCCAACGCCTGTCACACCCAAAGAAGATAGTTGTCCTACATTTATTTCCAGCTACTTCATGAATATTCATTATACATAAGCATAAACATTACACATTGTTGAGTCAGACATTCAACAGATGTTTTTCTTTTAACAAGAATGTTATCTATAAGCATCCATAATATATTGTCAAATCAGACACTCTGCAGATGTTTGCTTGCTACAAAGTTATAAATTTCAAGAAAGGTCCTATTATCTGGCATCCATAATATATTGTCAAATCAGACATTCTGCAGATGTTTGCTTGCTACAAAGTTATAAATTTCAAGAAAGGTCCTATTATCTATCTAACTAAACAAAATTGTCTCACTATAAATCCTACACAAGGTAAAAAGGGAGGTGACTTGTTTTATCTCTTTATAGGGCCCCAATTAAGTTTTACGACTTGTTTTTCTTTTCTCTCCAGGTCATATTGACCCTTCACTGTCTCCTCTTAATCAACTCGAATTATTTTCTCAATAATCCCATTCTGCCATCTCTAGTGTTACTAGTTATTCCTCCTGTCCTCCACTGTCAGGGCATACACACGGGCTGTCACAAGCACCATGGCAGTCTTGGGTCTTGGTGATGTAGCCCATGCTGTCAGACAAAGGGTAGTGTGTAGGCAGTACACACGACGGAATTCAGGATAGTGTTCAGCTTATGGTAGAGCTTTTGGCAGGATCATACTGAAACCCTTCTTGTTCTGATCTTTAAGGTTTGAAACCAACAGTAGAAGCCTTCTTTACAATGATGTTTACCCTTATGATGGTGTCCTACACAGCCACTTCTATGGCACTAGCCATTGCAGCAGGACAGAGCGTGGTCGCTGTAGCAAACCTACTCATGACTATCACATTTGTTTTTATGATTGTGAGTAGCATTATTCAGTTTTCTAGACTGAATCCTGAAATCCTAGAAATGCCGAAATGTAGAAATCCTACTAGCACAGAGTTCAACTGAATTCTGCAAAAAGACTGTTGGGGTCGAGCATGTTGAATATCCTGATTTGTCTGATTTGAGTATTCTGATGCTGTGGGGTTGAATATTCTGATTCGTCCTTTGAACAAAAAAGAACGGGGGGGGGGCTGGGGGTTTGGGTGTGAGGGGGCAGGACAGTGGCTCCTCCACCCTCTTCGGTGTGGCTCTGGCAACTAGCAAACTACCTTGAAAGGAGAAAAGCCACCTATAGCTACATTTTTTTCTTTCGCCCTTAGCTTTGCAAAAGACAAGTGTGTCTGGCTGAGAACATGACCTGCAGTCTCCTGCTCTCTGAGACCACTATTCCAGCTGTGCTTCTCAGCTGCAGAGCCCACCACCGGGCATCAGAACCAGACAACACACAAACAGCTCCAGCTGGGAGACAGGCACCATAAACAATGAGGCAGCCCCGAACTCACAGACAACATTCACATTGCCTCAGACTCAGGGCACACAGGCAAAACCCGGTGCACACCTGAGGGGCAGCAGACAGTTCATGCGAGCCCATGTGGGGACCCCCTGCCAGGAAGCAGAGGGTTTTAATGCACAGGGTAAAAGCATTCCCCGTTAACCTATTTCGGGAGAAGGACCTGGGGTTATGGCTCAAAGCTGGGTAACACAACTGATTCCTTCCCTCTCCCTTGTTCTTCCACTGGAACGTTTTTTTTTTTTCTTTGGAAAGGCTTTCCCACTCATTTATATCTGAAGAAGCAGAGTCAAGAGCTAGAGAAGAACACATGATAACAGCATGTAATTTGTAATTTGCTTTTTTTTTGTTGTTGTGGCTTTTTTGTAATTCTTGTCTCTAGCTTTTCTCTGGGTTGCTGGTCAATCTCACAAGTGTCCTGCCCTGGCTCTCCTGGCTCAAATACTTCAGCATCCCTCGATATGGAATGACAGTAAGTGTTGTATTTTCCTGTGTGCAGATTTGGAAAAGGTGTGATAGAGAGGAGTATCTTTCGTGATAAAGAAAACTTCAAACTTTATGGTCTAATGAGCAAAAGGAAACTAATTAAGTACAGCAACCTCGGAACGTAGTGCAGGATCTTGAAACAAGAAAGGCTTCTCATCAACCAGCGCCCACTGCTGTCTAGAAGAGCTCATTTCTGTAACCTAGAAACACCTCATATGAGGGAGCAACTGAACAACTACACCCAGTGCAATGCAGCTGGACAAAAACGATACAAAGTAAAGAACAATGTTATCACTATAAAAAAAGAAATTAAATTCTTCTCTTTTCCATCACTCTCTCTTTTCCATCTTGACAAAAACTTGTCAAGCTAAAGCTTTTTTCCTAATTTTTGAGAATATAGCTAGGGTGATGTTTTGCAGAGAAATTTGGGCTTTACTGTGCCCCTGCAGAAATAGTCTAGCCTGGGGGAGGTGGTAAAGCCTGCTGTTGTGCATGCTTAGCAGGGTCTGGGCTGCACACATTCCTTTCTTAAAAGAACCTGCTGCTCACCTTAAAAAATAGAAATTTGGCCAACATAGTAGTGATACCATCACATTTTTAGAATAAATTTTAATTGCATTATATCTCATCTTGATAATGTATCATTCCTTTGCCTACTGATTTCTGTTGTCATTGTTTCCTTTATTTTAAAAGGCTTTAGAAATCAATGAATTGAAGGGTCTGAACTTCTGTGGCAGCATTAACACCACAGTTTTAAGCAGCGACAATAGCTATCCACAAACGGGCCAGATGTAAGTATTTTGATTCATTGAAATGAATCCCACCATGAGTAACTTCAGAAGTCCTAAAATATTAGTCTGAGTATCAGAGATACACACTGATGACCAGCAGAATCTGTGAGTTTTTTAGAGAAAATGAAGTTTTGACTGGGTTTTTGCATTCTGCCTGCATAGAACACGCATTCTGCCTATTGTCATATTTAGTATTTAAAAGACTAGAAATATCTGACAGTATGCTTCTTCCCTTTTCTTCAAACTGCATTTACTGAAAGACATTCACGCACACTACAATTTTACAACCTCACAAAATCCATCTCAGCTTCCTATAGGAAACTGGAGCTACAAGACAAACAAATTTACAAATAGAAAATAAAACAGTAACATAGCTGGTGTTCGCCTGACCTGCTATACACATTAAATCACACTGTAGCTTCTAGGGATCTTCCTAGGTACTGACAAAGTTTATAAATGCGTGTGTGTTTATCTGCAGAGTGTGTACTGGAGATGACTACCTGAAAAGTCAAGGCATCGATGCGAGTACCTGGGGCCTGTGGCAGAACCACCTGGCACTTGCCTGCATGTCACTAATATTCTTCACCATTGGGTACCTGAAACTGCACTTCATGAAGAAGTTCTCTTAAAACCAGAAGAAAAGATGCAATTTCCACTCTTCAGGAGTTTGATGAAACTGACTGTGCAACTGCCTCGATTATTTTTTTAAGAGGCCTTCCTTTGTACTTTTATGATGACACGTCAATAATGTGAATGCCATCCTTGTATGTTATATCAAATACTCACTATTAATGTACTTTGCTGAAATATCTAGCAAGACTCAGTCCTCCCTGCCATAAAAAATCAACTATTGATTTCTTCAAGAGACTGTTCAGTCTTTCTGCATCTTCTAGCTATGAACTTGTTAAACACTAAAATTAACATTTAGTGGCTTAACCTGAAAAAAAAAAAAGGTTGCATACTTTAATTAGCACCTACATTCACTGGCAAGAAGCTCAGTGCAAAATGATGCTTATCCAGACACCAGTGCAGTCTCAACTGCTTATGGGCTCCCAGTCTATGGGAGACAGCAACAAAAATCTCTCCAACCCTGTGCACATCTCATACCCTTTTCCATTTGGGAATCATGACTGCTCTGGAGCGTAGTTGATTGATGACATAAAGTCTTTCGTACCACACTGGAGTGGCAGAAGCACTGCTTTTTTAAATAAAGGTGACTGTGAATTTACTTACTCTGCCAGTTCACATAATCCTTGTCATGAAAGTTGCATTTCTTCTGTGTAACTGCAAGTCATCTTCACTGTCCCATTAGTGCGGCTATCATGAGCTCTTAGTCTTTTTTATAGTGACCAATTTCAAGTGCAGGACTTAACAGGATGATACCACATTTTTAGAGGTCCACAGGTTGCAGCAATCCGTTCCTGGCAGGCCAGCGTGTCCCTGGCCATGTGCAGCAGTGCTAGCTCATCTTTATTTGGAGGACTTTATATGCAGAGTTATGCATAGTAAATGTGTTAAAATGCATAAAGACAACTTTATAGCTCTTTCTTGAGCTGTTACTGGTAATCTTTGCCCTGGTTTGTGCAGGTCATACAAAACAAACTTACAGAACCTTATTGCTCTAAGAGACTTACAATCATACAATATACTGAGTTGGAAGGGACTCAACAAGAATTATTGAGTCCAGCTCCTGGCCTTGCACAGGACCATCCCTGAGAATCACACCATGGGCCCGACAGTGTCGTTCAAACACTTTTTGAACTGTGTCAGGCTTGGTGCTGTGACCATTTCCCTAGGGAGCCTGTTCCAGTGCCCAGCCACCCTCTGGGTGAAGAAACTTTTTCTAATATCTAACGTGAACCTCCCCTGACACAGACTCATGCTGTTCCCTCAGGTCCTGTCACTGGTCAGCAGAGAGAAGAGAGCAGTTCCTGCTCCTCCACTTCCCCTCGTGCGGCAGGTGTAGACCACAATGAGGTCTCCCTCAGGCTCCCCTTCTCCAGGATGAACAGACCAAGTGCCCTCAGCCACCCCTTGTATGGCTTCCCCTTTAGACTCTTCACCATCTTCGTGTTCCTCCTTTGGACACTCTCTAATAGATTTATAGCCTTCTTATATTGTGGCTCCCAAAACTGCACACAGGACTCAAGCTCCACATTGAAAGGACTCGAAGGACACAGGACTTGAAACCGCCCCAGTGCAGAGCAGAACAGGACAATCCTCTCCCTTGACTGGCTGGCGATGCTTTGCCTGATGCCCCCCAGGACACGGTTGGCTCTCCTGGCTGCCAGGGCACTGCTGACTGATGTCCAACTTGGCTTTGACCAGGCCACCCAGGTCTCCTTCCACAGTGCTGCTCTCCAGCCTCTCATTCCACAGTCTGTACATACATCCAGGGTTGACCTGTCCCCAGTACAGAATCTGGCACTTGTCTTTGTTAAATTTTCCATAGCTGGTGATTGCCCAGCCTTCTAACTTGTCTAGGTCTCTCTGCCAGGCCTCTCTGCCTTCTCTTACACGACTCCTTCGAGGATGGTTACATTTCTATGTCTCTTGCAAAAATTAGCCAAGGTAGAGTGACAGAATCAAAGAAGCAGAAGGAGTGTGTGCTCTCCTGTCAGAAGTACTTGGTTTGGAGGCAGTGGTGCAGACCTAGGACAAGGACATGAGGCAGAGAAGTGAGGGTGAAGGAGAATAGGAAAGAAGCTACATTGTTCTCCAGCTTCCCTTTGCAAGCCTTACAATGAGTGCTGCAGAATTAAGGTTCGTACACTCGTAATCTGTAGCTGTGCTCCAGAATATTCCTATGTGAGTTTTGAAACAAGTGACACGGGGCCTGTGGAAATAACATTTTAATCAATCACTTACTCACAGTTGAACTGCATGAGAGGAAACATACAGCTGTAGAACAGCATTGCAAATGTAAAGGAATTTTACCCCCTTGACAGAGATACATCCTTGCAGTGGAGTCCTTGCTCCAACTGAAGCTGGGAACTCAGAATCTCACAATCTGTTTTTTGTAGTCAGACCCAGGGTTTCTGCAGAAGCCACTGCTAATTTCCATAACATCTGCTACAAAATTGAGGAGTATCATTTACTATTGTCAAAAAAGTTGATATTTTAATAAATATCAAGTAGGATTTTTAAAAATACATATGTTTCATACCTTTTTTTATTCAGCTTTGTCACAACTCTGCATAAGCATCCAGGAAATGAACTGAAAAGATGAAATAGTGTAATGAAGATAAAATTACAGATTCACAGACACAATAGCACACACTAAGTTAAATTTTCAATTTCCAGGTTACCTTAGAAGGGGAATTTTGTACAGAAGGGTGTTGACATAAACCTGAATTTTAGGGAAAAAACACGTCAATTTAAGAACACATGTACAAATAGAATCACACATGAGATTCTCAATATTATAAAGAGCCCTAAAAAACTGAGGAAAAAAACTTGCTTGATCATTAATATTTCTGAATTTGGTCATTTGAGTGTATTTAGTTTTCAGAAAATAGGTTATGACCCTGTTAAATTTTAAAATATCTGCACCCAACTCTTGTATGACAAAATAGTTTGCTGTAAATTTATACTTTGGTAAAATAACTTAAGTTGCTGCTGAAAATAAAAATCTATTCTTCTTCCTAGATTATCAGGAAATGGTCACCTTAAACTATACTAACAGACAGATTCTCTACTTTTACATTGGTATGGCTGAACTATAAGCCTGACCTTATGTATTTCTATGCATATAACTAACAAATAGAATCAAATATGAATGAAATCATAGTTATGTAGTATTCAGGCTTTTTATTAGGTCTTGACAGATTTGCATTTTAGGTATATCGGAATGGGCAGACATTCAAGTTAACAAAATGAATATACAACAATCCTGACTTTTTTCTGAGTGTTATTATTGAAGACTCAACTGCTGTGGCACTGAAAAATGCACGTGGCATAGTGGTTCCTGTACAGCAAAAGATTCACAGCTTCAGAATAAGCAACCATATGTTATTTGCAAGATGACAGTCTTACTTCCAACAGAATGATAAGAATATTTTGTTAAAAATTTCTGAGGCTAGATTAGTTTTAATGTAAATTTACAGGATACATCTAAAAATCTGTATGAGATTTATACAGACAACAGTAAACAAGCTGCCACAGCAGGCAGGGGTTGTACATAAACAGATGAGACCAGCTACAGAATTATTTTTGAAGATTTCACCTCTCCTTTATGTTTGAAAGCATTTAAAAGCCTTCCAGGATGTAGCTTCTGCTCTCTTTCTCATGAAAACCAGAAAAAAATTTGCATTTGAGATTTGAATTTTTTGACATTTTGTATTAGTATTCTTTTTCAAATTTCAGTACTTTTGTTTAAAATTTTAAAAAAGTCTTCCCCTTGCCATTCAAGTAATCCACTGCAAATACTGCCCAACATTTTAGTATATTAAAACAGGATGACTAATTCAAGATTTGAATCATTAAACTGAAGCAGATATTCACTCTTTCACAGCTTGCATTGATGAGTACTTGCAGGTACAATAAGGCTTGGCTGTTTGGTCAGAGCTGCTAAGACTGCAACATAATACTGTATTTTATCCTCCTAAAGAGCTCGGGGAAACTTCTGCACATCCTGAACATAGGGAGTCCTTTGATGAACTTCTGAAAGCTGAATCACAGTGTTCATTCTACCAACTATGTCCAACATCATCAGCGATGATGTCAAAAATATTTCTTATCCATGCAGCTTCCTTGACAGTTTCAACAATCACAAACCACTGAGAAGGTAACGTGGCTTTATGAATTCCTTATTCCTGTCTCATCTAAGCCTCTGTCTCATGTAATTGCCCTGGTATGAATTTCTCCTTTGATGGTTTCCTTTGTGCAGAAGGCTCCAGAAAAGTGAATCAAGAACGATAACAGAGCTTTCAGGAGTACAATCTTCCACTGTGACTGTTTTCTAGTAAATTTATGTTATTATCTAGAATCTGAGGTTGGATGGTGAAACGTACTTCTGACAATGAGCCATCATTCTTGGTGGTAAAATTCTGATTATAAAACTTCAACTTTTTTAGCTGTATTTGTATTTACAGATTTGATTGATCTTTGATTTCAATTCAGATTTTATCTTTCCAGAACATTCAGAGCTGGGATGTTGCTTATAAGTAAATGAAATGATCTAAGCTTTTGGGCAGGTCACATTTGTTCTAAACTTAACATTTTGATATATATGACTTCAGGATTCACGTTGATCTAATCACTAATTATGGTATTGCTTTGTTGGTAAGATATAGTGCTGCAGGGGCAAATGAGAGCTTCAGAACACAAAAATTGGCAGAAAGTGTTTTGTACCTTTAATTTACTTACACATTTGTCCTTTTTAAGCAGAAGGAAACAGTGAGAAGATAACAGCAATGGGGTTATTCCAAAGAAATCAACAGAAAGAATACTCCAGGTCATGGTACTACAAAGAAATGAAAGTACATTAGAGAAGCTGCCTTTGGAGACAAAAAACAACATCATTGCAGATTTAAAACTGTAGAACTCTACAGCCCAGACAGTTGTAGCTGGTCCTTAACATTTCAACATTTTTAAAGAGTTATCAGACTGTGTTCCAATCTGACAATAAAATAGATTTTAGTACACAGCAGTGATTTCTGAGAAAGGAAACAATCAAATTAAGCAAAACCACTCACATTTTGAACAGATTTTCACACAGTACTGCACAGGTAATATTTACCATGAAGCTCCTAAACTTCTACTCATTTCAGCAGTTGGCCATCTAACTGGCCATACGTAAAGCAAATATTTCTTCTTGCTCTGTCCAATACCTAGTTCTGTTTTTCACTCAGCAGAGAAGTTA